TCTTTGCAAACATTCGCTGCAGGATTTCTTCTGAAGGCCGCTCTGAAACCTTTAAGCCAACCCCCAAAAAGGGTGCCATCAGAAATGACACCCGAATACGGGGCTGTGGGAAATGCCCACTTCTGTGATACATGAAAAAGGTAAAGAGGGGATTCCCTTGTATCACAGAAGTGGGGATAAACCCCCTTGATCCCACAACCTTGCCCTACTATGAATGTGTTCGGAACCCAAAGAACTGATCCATTCTTTCGCTTCATGACCCCACAATGGAGTACTGCCACCGGTTGATTCCAGTCAAGATCATCCTTTTGCTCGCCCGCTACGGGTGTCCCCTAAAAAAATGGACACACCCACGTATATGTATATGTATAGATGCCTTCAACCGTTTCTCCGATAACGCAGCCAAGAAAGGATTGTGCAGACATACCCTTCCCCTCTGAAACCCATCACGGAAAATACCCCAAGTACCCACGAGGTTCAAAAGGCCGGCCGCGCTGGGACCAACCCAAACAAACCCGCACCCAGTGTTTCCATTATACCTCAAGTTCGCAAATGCTCTGCTCCCTTCCGTCCGGCTCCTGGAGGGCCCGAGCCTTCTTTTGCTTCTTGAGGTATCCTCGCAATCGTTTGGCCGTCACCAAAATCATTTTGCTTACCGATCAAGTGGCCTGGCATTGTAAAAGGTTCAATTCAAGGGACCTATTTAACAGGTCGGAATTTCGGCATGCAAACAAGAAGCTTCAAAAAGGATGTACCTAAAAATATCTTAAAAGCCGTTGAACTATTGCGGAATTCCCGGCCTGCGTAGAAGCAAACCTTGAATTGAAAGTTGGCACATGCCAAATTCCATTGTGGGCTGCGCTCAATGCGCCCTGGAATGTTCAAGCAGGCACCCTTCCCAATAGTTGGTCTTGATTAGCAGGCTCCCCCGTTCTGATATTGATTGCACACACACACACACATCTTCATATTAGGTGCTGGACATTGTCTACAGCAAGCCGAGGCAGCGCAAACACCCCCATGCTTGGTGAATTGAACCGGCTGTACCTTGGTTTTTTCCCATAGGACCCTGCCCAGTTTCAGCACCATGTGCCTCTCACTCTGCCAGGCAGCTGTAGGCTGTTAACACGGGACCACCTCACATGAGCTATTAAACACTTTGATATGGTATGATATGGTGAACGTCATCGTTTGGTCGGGGGTTCCGTCAGTACACGTGTCAGAACGTTCACGTTCTGATCTGATTATGTTATTTGGGGTCAGTCAAGACACGTATTCTCTAGGCCGACGAACCCTTTCAATTTGGTCGTGTTGGTGCCAATGAATACCCACGGCATCATGTTGCATGATGAGTCACAGGCACAGATCAAAGCCTGGCGGTGCCCTGCATTCAAGAACTCGACATGATCGTTGCAAGGCATACACACATCTCAGAAAGCAGTGAAATAAAGGAAACAATGTTTGTTTTGCGCTTCAGCGCTTATTGCGCCGCCAAATGGCGACAATACTTGAGCAACACATCTTCAAACATGGTCAAACTTGGGCTGTCCTCAGATCCCCCGCCAAAAGTGACTAACTTTGAGGTTAAATGGAAACCCAACCGCTAAACCAGCTAAAAAGCTAGAAACCCTAAGGAACCACATGGCAGGGAACCACCAAGAAACCACCCAATGAGCTTGTCGGACCCACTACGCCCGTCTCCTGCACGGAGCATCTTCAAGACTTTGGAGAAGCCCTAGCGAAAAGCCAGCCCAGTGAAGTCCACGTTCTAAACTCGCAAACATCCACATCTCCCGGTTCCTTTTGGCTTCCATTTCACGCCATAGACAAAAAACTCTGGTTTAGGACATTTCTTGAACTTGGACTACCCCCCGAACTGTTGACGTCGCCTTTGAAAGCTAGACAAGGTCAGCTTCAGGTTGCTCCCAAAAACGCCTATTGGCACTCACGCGGCCGAATGGATTTGACTTCGGACATGAAATTTTCTCCGCTGCCAGACCTTGGCAGATCGGCTCATCGGCTCGGGGGACTTGTGCCGCAAGAGCCGGGGACCGGGCTTGGATAGGGGGAATCTGTGGATCCAGCCCGGTGGGACATATCCAGAAAACCGTACGGAAGGAGTACTAAACCGTAAGCCAAACCGTTTCCTGGAACTGTGGGCAAAGGGACATGAGTGAGCAACAGCGTGAATCAAATTCAAACTGATCAGGAGTAAAACGTCTACCCAGAACTGTGTAAAGAAAGAAGAGGCGGCTGCACCCAGTTGTGGTTGGCGCTATCCCTTACCAACCTTCATCAACCCGGGTGTTGATTGTGGCTCAACTGGCTCTACCATGGTGAAAGTACTGCCTCCATGATTCTACCATGATCAAAGTGGTAGGTTGCAGGGAAACAGCCCCAATCTCAGACTTTGACAACCCCAAGAAAGAAGTAAAGACCCAAAAGAAGAAGGTCGATGTGTGAAAGGAAAGGGGATGGCTATATGCTTCTTCTTCTTCTTGTTTCCCGATTCTGTGGGGGATGGTCGTAAAGGGAAACCAAAAGGAGAACCACCATTTTGGTGTGCCCCCTATGTATTTTTAGCCCCCCCCGAGCAATGACCGTTGAATAAAACGCACTCCCGTGCTTCAGAAGAACCGCACCCACAATGTTTGAAGTCTTTGAAGGCCGTTGCCCCCTACGTCGCAGGTCAGGCGACACGTCACCACTCAAAAGCGCCGCTCTGGTCAATGTAACGGCTTGGGAGCCCCGACGCGCAGGACGCAGGCAACACGATGGTACGCAGGCAACGCTGGTGACCCTCAGGAGACATGCCAAAATCACCAGGGGCCGATTTTGCGCCTTGCTACGTCGTGGCCCAGTAAACTCGCTTTCCTGCCTTCAGGTAGCCATCCCACAGCTTCGAAAATCGTATGGGTATGGGTCAAATTGAAGCCACCCCAATTGTTGGTCCATGCTTCCACTTGCCAGGGCAAGCCATTTGGGGGTTACCCTATTTTTGACCCACCCAAATTGTCGCTTTGCAAAGGCAAATCATTACCCATCAGCTTGTGGTTTCCTATAGGCTTGAGAACCAGTCCAAAAGTGAAACACGGGAGCCGACGAAAGGTAACTAGGTCCTCCAGTAGAGAGGTTAGAATAAGGGTACCAACTGTTTTCTGTAGTCGATTTTAGTGGAACCCTGCCCCAAAAAAGGTTGGTAAAAGGGCACGGCACTACTGGGGGGACCTAGATAGGGAAGCGGATTGGCGAAAAAACAGGCATCGCACTTTTAGTTGGCCACACAAATGGTCCAAACCATGAAAAGTAGCGAACGTGCAAAAACGGAACTCAGGAAGTGAGAAAACGGGTCCGTGCAAGAAGGACACTCATATGGGGTTGTGCAAAATTGCGTCTCCTGAAAACTGCCCTTCTGCCGCCCTTCCGCAGACCTTCCGCGCCCATTGTAATTCTACACACAAGTTATCACTGGTTTTCGGTCAATGTCGGTTACTGGCCCTTCCCCATCTCCTCCGCCGCCCTTCCGCGTCTCTTCCCCGAACACAGTGGGAAGCTCATGCCACGTAAGCCTGGGAATTCGGAAGACTCCACCGAACACATGTGTGTTTTTTTTCACGACGCCAGATGGGGGTTAGAAAAAAATCGGGGCCCCTTCTTGGCTGGTTTCCTTCTGGGATTTCGAAAGGGCCCATTTCCCGTCCAGCCCGCGCCTGGGCGATCTCCTCATGGGACCGCCGCCCGCAGGGCTCTTCCTGGCCGTGCGGCGTAGGCGTTCTTTCCCGACGCCTTGAAAAGGGTCGGCCGTTACGGCGCCTCTGGGGTACTCAAAGTTTAGGCTGGCGACCCCCCAAAAACCCAAACGTATACCTGGAGTCTCCTTCTGACCCTTAAAACATGGTTGGTCCTTACCCAAAGTATTTCGGGTCCACCGTTACCCCCAAAAAAAGAAGGGGGGACCCTAACAACTCAGTAGGTTCTGAGGGCCATTTAGCCATGGAAAAACACATGGTTTTTTCCCAAACGGCTGAAGGCTTTGGGGTCTCAGATACAAACCGGGGTAGTCCGGGGCGGCCCTGAGGTAAGGTTGTACGAGGGTTCCACAGGGTTCCACCAGGGTTCCACCAGGGCGCTGTTGGGGATATCGCCTGAGCTTATTTCTCGGCGACACGAAGCGCAGCAAACTCATCGGAACCACGTTCCAACAGCCGCAGCGAAGAACGTCGGCGCTTTTTCGCCACAGACTGCTCTCCGTTCTGCAGCCCAAAGCCGCTGCTCACCCTCCAGTTGCGAGCACCGTTCCCAGAGCGCCAGGAGGTCAGCAAACCACGCGGCTGGCTGACGGGAAGCCGCTTTCCATCTGCTCGTTGAAAAGCCACCTGGCACCTGCTAGGACGGATCTGAACGGTGCTTCTTTTCCATGTGGATTGTGGCCAAGTCAACTTCTACAAACCAACAAGGGCTACACGGAGAAAAATCGTCCTGACTACCATGACAATTGCACAGGGAAGCATTTGGACGAGTGTTTTGCTTTGACACAATCAGACATTGAAAAGAAACTAAGTTATGATTGTCTAAATGCCCTAGAGGCCTCCGTTTACTTGAGCTGGAAAAATAAGGACATATGTCCATTCGTCATAGATCGCCTTGAAACCAACTGGAGATGTTTCTTGAAACAAGCAAATGGAAGCGAAGTCTTCTTCTGACCCTTGAAAGATGAGCTGAACGCCGAAGCTGATGGGCAAATTCATGTTTTCTTGGTGTCATGCAGGCGCTGCGACGAAGGCTGCATATGCGGGTCCAAACGACGCTGGTGTACATGAAATGACGTAGATGACTTGGTTGACGTTGGAAGGGGAGCAAACATTTAAGTTTTAGCAGTTAAGTGGAAATGTCCCACTCAACCACAATAAGCAAAAATGTAAGATGTTTCCCAACAACAACCATGATGAAGCAATCAAACTCGCTGCTTCCAGTTAATTACCACTATAGTAGGTAACCAGGTATTCTTGCCTCTGGGTTGTTGATGGTTTCCCCTGGTTACCTACTATGGTGGCTTGCCCGGAAGCACTGGGAATTATAGCAAGAGATGCATACCGGTACGTACATCCCCAGAACCCGGTGGTGCGAGTCATGAACTGCTGAATTGAAGGCTTGGCCATCTTCCGACCCTATCCACCCAGGTGGCCAAAACATGTCGCCGATTGGCCAAGGGTACAAGCCGCACAAGCCACACCCAATATGAAAATAACACCCAAGAACTTGCGGGTTCTCAGCCTCATGATTTCCTTTCAGGGAATCCCAGGTTAATTCCCAACACCCGGTCTCGGTCATTCCCTACCTATCGCACCAGCAAGATAAAGAACACAATCGAGGGATCCCCAGGTATGATACGGGCACTTGCTCTCCATCTACTCGATGACGACACAAGACAAGAAGGGACCAAACTCTCACGACTGGTGGGGAGGAATCATGTTGAGCGCTGCTCCGACACTGTCCCTTTTCAAAGGGATATGGGTCACAATTAAACCACCAAGGAACCGCAGGTTTTAGTCCATTTACCAGGGCTCGATTTTGGGTACCTATTTTTGACCCACACCCAAATTATCGCTTTGCAAAGGTAAATCATTGCCCATCAGCTTGTGGTTTCTCGTGTAGGGCTTGAGAACCAAGATCTAGTCCAAAAGTGAAACACAGGAGCCACCAAGCAATCAGGCGTTCGATACACTACTGTTCTGAGACGTGTCTGATTGCACACCCATCTGAACACCAAACCAAAGGATGCTATAAAGAGCGTCACAATAAAATGAAATCTGACTGCAACGAATAATCTCAACATCATCAATCTGGTTGTTGATTCAAGTTTAACTAATATACAAACAACAACCTTCAAGGGTGCTTTACAAGCAGCCACTCAGGAAGCTGGGCCCAGAAAACCCCCTCAGAAACCCGGGCGAATCGATTCGCCGGGATTGCCTCCCGCGCTTCCAGCGTCCGAACCTGCGGAGATGGACAGGTTTTGCCATCAAAATTCATGAGAGTCCCTTCGCTGTTCAAGCTGACCCCCGGGCAAAAGTCACGAACTTGTGGGTTTCATTCGGAAATTCGACCACTACACCAATGAAACAGATCTAAAAAGAGCTGTCTGGAACCGGATGCCTGGAACCACCAAGAAGACCTGCCAGGAGAAAGTTGTTGCTCTCTTCCGATTGAGTGGACTGGCCAAAGTCACCAAACTCCCATGATTACAACTAGAAGAGTCTTCCCGAAAAGTGACTCAAGTCCATGAAGTCGGGGAGTCTTGGCTGTGCCTTCAAGGGCTCCAGAAAAAAGGTGACAACCCCTGAGAGGAACAGCCAATGATGGATCAACTTCCCCAGTTGGTGGGTGGGAGCCGAATCGGTGGTTTGGGGTTAGGCGGTGGCTTCTCATTTACCCTCTACAAAGCCCAGGGGTTCAAATGTCGAAACCACCAAAGCACTAATCCAAACCGCCAACCAAGGGCTACCTGAAGGGAATCCTCACTGAAAGAAACACAGCCACATACGCACACACATACACCAACACTCGGCTGCCGCCTTGGGCGTGTCCTTTGGTACCTAAGATACCAAGAAACCCGAAAGATCCTCAAAATCCAATGCCCTCTCGGCTTTCCACGAAACACTCCCTGCACAAAGCGGAAGCTACCACACATGTGGCCAAGAGTCCACCAGTCATGAACCTCGCAGGGACTGGGGGGGGGGGCGGGTATCCCTGAAGCAGCACGGAAATTGCACCAAGTCGGACGGCGAATCGTTGGCCTCGTTTCAAACAACGAGCTGAACTAGGTCCTCCAGTAGAGAGGTTAGAATAAGGGTACCCTTTTTTCTGTCGTCTATGTTAGTACCCCAAGAAAGGGTAAAGGGCACCACGATGTCGGCTATGGGCACGGTCCATGATCATTCCTACCCCAAAAAGAGTGCTTGGACCAAGGCGCGTCCCACAAACAACAGGGATCCTTACAGTATACACCTGAACATTGCCTTGTAAATGGTGGTTTCTCTTTATTTTGGTGGAAACAGCCATGTTTCAAGGCAAGACAGCGACTACATGCGGACTGATTTCAATAGGGAACCCCTAGCCTACATACATGTGCTTGAATTTTAGGAAACCCCACTCAACAGGGAAAGCACAACGAACCAGAAACCGGGCCCCTTATTAACCCCAGTTGAGCGCTAACCCTGGTTTTCCTGGGCAACATACGTACTTGAGCCAAACGGGCATTGCCGTCGGCAGTGAACAACCGTGCAGTCAAGGGGCCTCAAGCAATGCATGCCATTGGCTACCTCTTTGGGGGCTGAGGGGTCGTGAATTCTCAACCCTGTGAACGAGAGGGCTTATGCAAGAATTCTGCATTCCTTTGTCATGCCAGCGCGAGCATCTTCCAACTTTTCGGGCAAATTTGTCCTAATGCCCAATAACTTGAGAGCGCGGTCCCACTTCAAAAGTTGCAGTGCTTTTGTGAAGATGTCGGCTGCTTGCAGGTCGGTTGCTGCATACTTGATCACTACACCTGTGCCAGGCTCAAACTGTTCCGAAAGTGCGGACAAGTTCACTCTATGAGTGCGCTGTATGTGCCGCATTTTCGGGGAGTAACCTTTCTTAGCAACCAGGATAGTGGCTTGGTTGTCTTCACGCATCACCACTTCAATCGGGCGCCCAAGCAAGTGTTCCGAGAGGGTCGAAGAGGGAAAGCCCGCCTGACACAATGAGAACGCGAGTGACACTACCTTGGCTTGCATGGTGGACCTCGACCCTGGCGTTTGTCGTTTGCTCAACCATGCCAACGGGAAATGTGTGTTCAGTCCTTTGAGAACCAAGAAGCCACCGGATGTGGACTTCGCGCCCCTTTCTCCCGCATAGTCGGCATCTGCGTGTAGAGCGAGGTGAAGATCTTGCGGAATATCCTTTATGTCTCCAAGCGACCGGTAGTGCGTTGTTGAGTGGATGTACGCAATGAGACGGGCAAGCTGCCTGTCATGGTTACGAGACCATTTCTGCACGGCGGTGGCTAAGCCACCTGTGGGCTTAATGATATCAGGACGGGCTAGTTGTCCGAGCCATAAGGCCTTCATGAGGAGTTTGCACGCATTTGGGGCGAGCTCACCGCTGACTGATCATCTTCAGGAGGAAATGACCCGTCTGGACAGAACGGAGTAGTCACCCTTCGGAGCTTCTCGGGTTGGGCGCCGGTTGTGGAACAAACGTGCATAGTCGGTCATGTTGAAAGCAACGGCACCTTTGAATGCGCTTACAGCAGCACTCAGATCGATCAGGTTCTTGAGGTTCTGCGGGACCGTCGGCAAAGACATGATTACGCCCAAGCAGTTCTGGAGGCTCTACGTGAATCATTTTAGCGAGTTTGTGCATCTGAGGCCTATATTTCCTTGAAGAAGAAGTTTCCTTCAAACTCTGGGATTTCTTTGCCTCCCAGCTGCTTAAGCAGCTTCTTCAAGTGTGCCTCCCAAAGACCTCCTGCGTCTGGATGGCCATATAAGGCCATAAGGCATGGATCAAAAGGACCACAGGTTTTACGAACTTGGAAATTGCGAGCTGAGGAATGTCTGGACATGGGCTTTTACCTCAGCGGTGGTGACCGTGTGTCCTGGGGCGGCTACGAACATCTCTTGATGAGGATGCCCTACAACCTACGGGAACTACGGACATTGCGGGTACCAATATATCACCAAGTTCAGGGTCCTCTTCATTAGCATCTCTCCAGCGGTTGACCTTGACCTATCTTCCAATGGTGGAGAAATCCCTGAAACCATGTCGGAAGCACTCTTTCACTGGAGGCCAGGCTAACGTCTGCTGACACACCGTGCTTCAAGCTGCGGCCTTGGCAAAATGATCTAATTCACAACCGGTGCGGGCAAAATGCACTTCGCAACTGGGCCTTGGTGCGGCACTGATGCACCAGCTGCGCTTGAGCTGCAGCCCTCCAGAGGCAACGGAATCAGCGGAAAAGCCCTTGACCGCCCCTTGTGGAATGGAGCGGCCAGGCTTTTTGCAGGTACTCGCTCTGCTCGAGCGCCCTTGCTGGGCGCAAAAGGCACCGGCGCTTCTCGAGGTACTCGTCCAGGTCGGCGAGGGCGTCGTACAAAGCGCGATTTGCGTCCCTGCGTGCAACACCTATGGCAAAGGCACCTGCGGTTCGGCGCTCCTTGAGGACGGCGTTGTTGTCGTCGACAATAACGCACGCCCCTAGCTGCGCTAAAGCTGCAGCCTTGCCAAACGGCCCAACCCGTTGCCAGGCAGGACTCATTTTCTCGGTATGCTCGGAAACAAAAGGCGCTGGCAGCCAATCCTTTTACAAACTAATGCTCTCAAGCTCAGCAGGCTCAACGGGTCGGGGTATGGTGAAAAGGCTGCATTTAGACCACCCCTTGGAACATCAGACCCGAATGTCCCTTCCCGGTAAAGACTGTGCAAAGGGCAATTGGGTGTGTACTTCTTGAGGGTGACCTGGATTTGACGGCTCGCTTAAAAACCGACACACCCAACTACCATATTCTGTTTGGATTTGGATCTGGCTCCTTGATTAGACTCACCAGGCTGTCGTATACTACGTCGGACGTCGTATATCATAAAGCTAGAAAGTCTAGCAGAATCAAAGTGGATGCCCAGAAGCTTCGAAAAATCCAGGATGCCCCACACTAACGAACTCACCCAGTTCCTGGCTGCTGTTGGGACACATGGGGAGCAAAAATCCCGGATGCTCTCTGGGAACGAACCCATCAACTTGCGACATTGGCTTCGCTGAGTATGCCTATTCTAAAGCGAATACGGCCGCAACTCGTGTCGTGGACACCGGCGTGGAATCCAAGACTCGTCAGCCGGTACCAGAATCTGCCAGCACGTGTGTATCAGTGCTTGTGTCCACAGAATGGGATCTGGTTAAATTTTTGCAAGGCCACCCGACCTCATTGACCCAGAAATCCTGACAAGGGTCTGGGAGACATCTTGTGGTGTCCGTTGCGTCGCCCTGAATTCCACTTAGGGGGGTCCAACCTCTTAAATACAGGGAATTAAAGGAGTTGCCGCCTAGATTTTTTTGATGGGGTGGGGTTTCAGAAGTTGCCACCGCAACCCAAGTTATTTCAAATCGACCTTTGACAGACTTGCGCTTGCGCGCCGACAGTCAAGGGTCTGGGAGACATCTGACATCCTGTTGTGTCAAATTGAGCTGCTGTCCGTTTCGCCGCCCAGAATTCCACTTAGGGGGGGCCCACCTCTTAAACACAGGGTATTAGAGGGGTCGCCTGGATCTTTTTTTTTGATTGGGTTTCAGAAGTTGTTACCGCAGCGACCTTTGACAGACTTGCCCTTGCGCGCCTATAGTTAAGGGTCTGGGAGACATCTGACATCCTGTTGTGTCATGCATCATGCCCGTTTTCAGATGCAAATTGAGCTGCTGTCCAAATCGACCTTTGACAGACTTGCGCTTGCGCGCCTACAGTGGGTGTGGCTCGATGGCTATGAACATATCATGCTGAACGACTGCAAGGATGCATACTGCGCCACGCTTGACAAAGCTGCCAGCATGACTCCTCGGGCACTCCGTTAAAGCTCCCCATGTGCAACACCAGCCAGGAACTGGGTGAGTTCGTTCCCATGGGGCAAGACTTCTCCTTATCTGTACTGTTACGTGTGGCATTGAAAGTTGCAGATAACTGACGCAAAAGCCTAAAATTAGCAAACCAATGAAGATAAGACGCAAAGCACTATGAGTGTTGCTTCAAACGAACAGAGTCTGCAGGGGCTCATGCATTGACTGGCAATCACTCGTCACGGGGCTAGGCTTGTCTTCCGCATGAAGCTGACTCATTGACTCAGATCGCCACGGCCGCGAGCGCACACTGGCCTCCAATGGAGCACCGGACCGGGCTCATCCCCTACCTGACGGAAAGTCAGACTTGCGTCAGAGCCAGCCTCAAAGTGGAATTTGTGGCCCTAGGCTGCAGTATCCTTTCGTCCTTTGGCACTCTTATTGATGGCGAGCTTTGACGCTGACTCTTTGACTCATCTACAGGCGCGAGCGCCGAGTGCGCTGCCCTATCAGAAGCCTCCAATGGAGTGAGCGTTGAGCATTGGGCTCATCCCCAATCACTAAGCACACGTCAGCAGCCTCTATGGAGAGCATCGGACTCCATCCCCTACCCCAAGCAAAATCAGATAGTAAGATATGCGACTGTCAGTCGCCAGTCTGAAAAGAGATTTACACGGATTTTGTGGCCCTAGGCTTAGCATAGCATCCTTTAGCTTTGAGGCGGACTCTTTGACTCCTATCATTGAAGTTGCCGGTGCATCAAGTGGCTCTGCTTCGTCCTCTGACCTTGCAAGCAAATTCTGGCTGCTGGCTACGCACCTCCTCCTCAGTCCACTCACCCACCCGGCGAAGATGAACTAGCGAGAGGTCGTGCAACTTCTGGAAGTAAGCAGGAAAGTTGGCGCAATCATCTGGGAACCCGCTTGGCCATGCCCGCAAGTCAAAGGCAACTCTCAAGCATGGCGGCGCCGCGGTCATGCCTGTCACCATCACCACGCGAATGTTCTTCACATATACGAACTCACCGAAGTCTTGGTGCTTCCACAGCATGCCCCGGAATGCGTGCGCATCGTCCCGCATGAAGCCCTGGTACACACTTGATGCTTGTTAGGCGCTGACGGCCGATGATGTCATGCTTCTGACAACCTCTAATCTCTAGCTGGCATAGCTCATCATTCACTGCGTTGCTCGCCAAAAATGAATGTCTCAAAGCCCATCCGCAAGATGCAGCCAGCTGCTGCGAAAGGAATGATTCAGACGCCGTGGGGCTGCCACTTGGAGCTAGGAAAATCAGACAGGCTCCATCCAGCTCCAGATTTCGAACGGTTCAGAGTGCCAACTCCACAACAGCGAGTTGAACACGTCCTTAGCAGTGCGTCTTTTCCAAAAGGGAAAGGAGATGGCACATTCCCTTTACGCATCTAAACCGGGTGGAATATGAAACTTGGAAATTGGGCCACCTAATTACCTTCACAATCTGTCGCCCAACTGCATCATTGGGGCAAGGCTGCACCAGCACAAAGCAATGAGGTCCTTGCAGCGGGAACCCTACCTGAACAGAGAATGCTAAAGGGGATTCCTTCTTCAATCTGAAAAAGCACCAAACAGGGCCCAAATGAGTGATCAACCCTCCACTCCATCCCCTTGTGGCGTCTTTTAGGCGAAGTCTGAACAGTCCCCAAGGTTGGTACGCTATCGAAGGTGGCATCCTGGAATAGGCCGGCTCCCAATTTGAAAAGGGCTTGAACATAAGCAAAAAGGAAACCATGGCCATGTTCACGGGTCGCTAAAAGGCAGCAAGCCACTTGGAGTCATTTCGTGTTCGACGAATATGAGACGCGCCCTTTGCGGAAAAATGCAAAAGTTGTTGTTGAACCCGTTGTTGGCAAAAAGGCAAGTGAAAGCGAGTCAAACTGCTTGTCGCTGGTGTGGGAAAAGGGTCCACGTCTCTTAGCAAACAATCAAACATTGGCTAGTAGAGCGGGCGGTGAATATCCCCAGCTGTACTCTTCTACAAAAGACATAAAAGGCGGGCTGCGCCTCCGCTGCCATACCTGTCTTGGCGGCGGGGATTAAGTGTGGAATCTTTATCGCGGGCTTGATATTGGTAATCGAAGCAACCCTGCATGAGCTGCAAAGGCGGACCACCCAACTGATTCCATTTCCCTGCGTTGAAGGTAGCCAAGCCCTGTAAAAGCTAAATGGTGACTGGGATTCGCTGGGCCCCTTTGAGAGAATAGCCTACTACGCTTTGCCTGTGTCCGCTGCTGAGTGGCTGTGGCACTGCGACATTTATTGAGCTCCCAAGCCGCGCTGCTCAGGCGTTTCAGAAATTCAAGCGGGATGAAAAACTGAGAAAATGCGGGTCGACAGCTGGCATCATTTTTGGGCACAAGGGACTCTTCAAGGGACCTGCTCAGCAAATGAGCCCAAATGCAAAAACATATGAATACATGCGCCTTCATGCAGGACAAGCCCAAGAAACATTTTAATCCATGCAGCTTCATGCAAACAATGTCCACATTCAACAAATTTCAGTCACATTCAACAAAACCCAGGACGCATCAATCAAAGGCAGCGTGTTGGGGCCTCCTCAGGAGCAAAGCAGCTCATTGTGCGGAGGCTCTTGACCAGGCCTAATCCCAAAAAGCAATTACGGCTGATGACCACTCAACAGTGAGAGGCGTCGGGCTTGGTTCGAATCCCGCTGGGCACGCCTCACGGCGACCACCCGGAAGCACCACTGAGCCCAGAAAGGTGGAAGACATCAGCAACTGGCAGGGTGGGCTGGGGGTTACCACCTACGGCTGATAACCACTCAACAGGGAAAGAAACACAACGAACCAGAAACCGGGACCCTTATTAACCCCAGTCAGAAACCGGGACCCTTATTAACCCCAGTCCGGTAAGTGAGCGCTAACCCTGGTTTTCCTGCAACATACGTACTTAAGCCAAACGGGCATTGCCGTCGGCGGTGAAACCATGCAGTCAAGGGGCCTCAAGCAATGCATGCCATTGGGTACCTGTTTGGGGGTCTAGGGGTCGCGAATTCTCAGCTACCCCAAGTGCTACCTGACAGCGCTACCAAACTAACTTTACTACACACTTACCACTACAGGTCCGGATGTTTTGTGTTTTTTTTGATGGCCACACAAGTTGTGGGACACCAATGGCCCGTGCAATCTTGTCTAGAAGTTCACTAGATCTGCGAATCGGACACTACTTCCAAAACCTGAAGTACGGGATCCCTTAGCACTTGACCTTCTTCATGGTGGTACAGGGGTCCGGGTAAGCTCGCCATTTGGCAGACTAGATGATAGCGACAGTTGAAACTCCTTCATGTTCAACCCCCACTTCTCCACGTGGCCGTGATTTGATCGTCCCGCACAGAACCTGGAGACCATGTTCCTTGTATCGAAGCTATTGACCAATGTGCTATCATATGCAGAGTGGGAAGCCCGTTTGGGTAATCATTTGTCATGGAATACCAAGCCCCTGCACCCTCGCACGGGGAGAGAAAAAGAGCATACGGGTGTGCTTTTTTCGGGGATCCCCCGCAAAAGAAATGTTGCCTGTTGGCTTTCCTTCAAAACTAGAAAGAAGAAAACCAGGTGCCCTCAACAACGCAAACACACCCATGAAAAATCCCGTTCTATTTTAAACAAGCTGTTCTCATATCCCCTGCAAAGTTGACCATGGACCTCGAAGGGGGGCATGGGGAGGGGGAGGCTATCCCGTATTAACCCCTCAATAAGGCGGCACCCCTACATCTTCAACCAAAAAACACACCTAGGGAAAAGGCTGTCGTTATCAAGCTTCGTATATTGTATCCTTTGCTTTAGTGTACCTTTAAAAAAAATGGTATCCCTACCAAAAAAGACAAGCCCACATCCTCTCGATTCCAACGAGTTTTGGTCTACTCTAGAGTCTTAGGGTCTAACTCCGATCGTAACGCATGACCGGAGAGAAAGCGCCTGAACCGAGCGCACCGACGCGCATGTCCACAGTAAAGAAGCGGACCTCAGCCCGAGCTTCAAATGGTTTGGCATTTGAGCGTCCGACCTGCTTGAAGGGGCGATCGATTCGGTACGTCATGTAAGTGGTGATCGTACGCCTGGTGAGATAGCCCACTGAATGGAGACTTATAAGCGGGTCATAAATCTAGTAACAATAGTTACTATAGTTATTGCCCTCTTACAGTTGAGCGACCAAAAAGAAACGAAGACGCGCTGGGCTTTGACCAAAATGATCGCAAGCAACTCAACTGGCAAGTCCCCGTCACAAGAACCAGAAGCTCCAAACAACCAATCCAAACGGAAGGCTGCCCGGTGCGCCGATTTTTGTCGCGAGCTGTACCCTTTTTGGGTGACATGACTGTTCTTTTAAGGGAAGCCAACAGGAAAACAAAATCCATTTCGGGCATTTGACACATGGGACACCCATGGCTTCCTTTTGGTCTCCCTTTTTTTGCAACAGCCCTACGTATCGGGCACCAGCGGAAAAAAAAAAAAAAAAAAAAAAAAACTCATCTGGCTGTGTCTTTCGGGCAAGCCCGGCAAAATGGTGGTTTTCCTTTCTCCGTTAAAACCACAAAACACGCGGGCACCCTGAAACAAAGACACACCCAAATATGTGTCTGATCCTGTATCTTGAAAAGGGCCCGGCCACCGGACGATTCACAAAGATGTCCCTTTCATCCCGAAGAAACTCACAGATGCTGATATCTACCTTCTCTGTTTTACACCTAACGGACAACACCAACACTTCATCATTAACCAGTGCAATTGAAGCAAGTACATGACACAATTCCAGTTGCCAAATGTTCATGGGGTTGCTGCTCGTCAATTTGGCCCATTCCTGTCGAGTTCTCCTGGTAAATGGGTCTGGAGAAATAACATTCTTCTCTCCCTGCTTGGCTGGCTTCAGGAGAACAAATGCTTGCCCTTGGCACGTGGTAAGGCCCCCCCCGCCTCTTGACCCCAAAGATTTATTGGCCTGGTTCTAGTGATTTTCAGGACTCCTCTCCTGTAAAACGAACATCAACGGCTGTGTATACATACACACATATTTGGCCATGGGTCAAAACCCCGTACCCCCAGTGAACATCCCAATCCCCACTACAATAGACTAAAATGGGTGATGCACCTATCCCAAAATGGTACCATTGGTTTTGAGCCATGGCCATTTCAGCCCTGCTATGAACCTCTTCCCAATTACCAGTCCTTTTTTGGCCCATCAACCGCGGGGCAGGCGCAGCTTCAGCCTTGAAGAACTCATTTCACGGGAAAAGAACCTGGTTCGTTGAAAAGATGGGGTCGGCTCTGAGGCCGCATTGAGGGACTCCAGTTGACTGACTAAAGTTCTTCACCTCATCAGATCTAGGGTTTTTCAAACAAACTCAAAGGTTTAAACCTCATCAATCCCTTTGGGCATCGTGTTGTGTCCGCCATCATGCCTTGTTGAAGCCTGCTTTTTGGCATCTCCTCTCTTGTCTCCCAGCCCATGCCCAAAGGAGCGAAAGGTGCTTTGTTGTAGTCGGTCTGCGCTTGTTTTTGGAGGCCAACAAATCAATAAGGAAACCAGGCATATAGAGCCGTCGCCCCATTGTCAGACACATGTCCACAACTGCTGAAGTGATTTCTCAAAAAGGAAAAGGCGGCATCCAGAGCATCCAAGGCATCTGCGATTCTACTATAATCTCAAAAGCTGGTTTAATCGGATCCCCAGGACCTCTATCATGGCCTTCGCTCGCTATACCCCCGAATCGGTGAACTCGCTAAAACATACGCAGGTATCCAAGGCGCAAGATCCACCTCATCTTAGCAATTGGGCAAACTACAGCAGACTTGACCCAAAGGTCCGGCGGAAACATCGGAACTCCCAAGGGGCCGCGACATAAAAAGGTCTATATGTGCCGCTCTATATATATATATATATTTGTATGTGTGATGCGGCTTATGTCTTCAATACACGATGTGATTTGGTATGTAAAATACTATACGTACATACCGCTAATATATATATATATATATATATGTCATTATATTATATATATATATATATATCACATGCATATATATATATATGTATCGCATATATATATATATATACATTTATACAAATATGAATGAGCACATATATATATATATATATATATATGCTCCACTCAGACAAAAGCTTATGCTTCTTACCTGTTCTGAAAAGACAGTATCGGGTCAGCCGCGGATCGAATTAACAAGTGTGTCTTGTGTGGCAGGCGTGTCACGGTCAATTGTCACACCGTGGAAAATTATACTAATAAAAGGCTTCCCGGGTCCAAAAAGACTTCACAGGCCTCTTCCTGATGGATTCTACGGAGAAAGGGTTGTAATCGCTCTGGCCTGCAAGAAGCGACACTTTTGTCTGGACAGTGTATATTATTCCATGTGTGTGTGTGGAAACCAACCAGAAGGGGTGCTCCCAAAAAGGACACCCGCATTATATGTATATAAAATGTGTATATATATATATATATACATATTATCATACATATATATACATATTGTACTCACACAGAATGCCCCAACGCTTTGGGCGAAATGTTCTGCCGTTGAAATGGATGAAACCGCATGGTTGATCCGCAGTATGCCAAGGCCCAGTCCCCAAATCGCGCTTGGAAGGACTGGGACTCCTTTGCTTGGTTGATGGTGGAAGGGGAGCTAAAATGGACAAAAAAAGCGGCAGATAAGCTCAAAAGGTAATATGTCTAAGCCGAAAAGAAGCAAAGTGGGTTTTGGCAGTTTGCTTGGCTAAGTGGTTAGCTTTCAATCACTAAAGCAGAATAAGCAAGAATGTATCCAATGTTTCCCACCAACAACCATGTTTGGGAGTCCCAGTCCGAACAACCATCGGATAACAGGCTTGAAGCCAGGGGCCCGCTGGGTTTGCCTGAGCGCTCAACAAGCGAGAGAGGTCATCTATGCAAAACTGGCACGGGCCCTTCGACGCAAAACAATTTGAACTGGAGACCTATTGGCACCAATATGTAGGGATCGCGACATGTGTCAGTGGGCCGATTGCTGCGACATTGGCGAGCGTTCCAATTTTACAAAAAGAAACTAAGAACGAGTTCACATTTCCTTGGGATCTCACTTCCATCGAGACTGGCAAACAACAAGTTCTCAGACTTGTTGTATATTTTTGGGTATGTCTGTTTTGAGGGCCCAACAAGTGGTGTTCCCTTTGGTTTCCCTTTGCCACAAAACAGGGGTACCCTCAAAACAGACACACCCAAATGGTCCAAAAAGTGACTAAAGTCCCACCGCGCAGAAGATCAATCCGAGACCAAAAGCCACCTTAAGTAAGGGGAGGCAGGCAGCCCGAGGTTGTGTTTTGTGAGGGTTCCTGGTTCTCAAGGCGCTTTGGTCAATCCATTCAGTCATGGCACATGACCTCGAACATGGACCTGAATTACCTCACAGAACATGGCGACCTTAACCCCCCACCCCCCTCCCCATTTTCCCCGCCGCAGTCCCTCTTCGTGTCCAACGTCTCTGGAAACCGACATGCGTCCCAAATCGGAAACAACATCTTTTCCAAGGAAAGGATCTATTGGCGTAGAAGCACGGAACATGGGAACACAGAAAACCACCAAACCCGGAACTGGGGCAACATGATCGCGGCGAGCTCGTGAAAACCCCCTAGTCGAGCTCACCATGAAAGAAACGGCAGTCTAAGATAGTCTCCAGTCCCCCCAACACCACAGCCCCAAACGGAAAAGGGTATCCAACTGCACCTTTAACACTGACTATGTACCCCCATTAAATCCTTGGGGCAGAGGCTTGGGGGTAGTGAACCTTTCGCAGTGCACATCTCTTGTTCCGCGGCGCACCTTGGGTGAGAGCCAGAATCTGCCCGCGTCGGAGCAGAAGCCACATGAGCCACATGGCGTTTGGAGGCCAAAGCTCGTGTCAAAAGAGGTCTGTGGGGGGGGGGGGGGTTGATCAAAAGGACCAACTCCCATTGAGTGGTGTGTTTTTTTGTCAAATCTTTCTTGGTTTCCCGAATGGTCACCCCATGTAAAGGGCCCTTTGATCAACCCCCATGTGTCAAAAGAGGTCAACACGCACAAACACACGCCCATGCCTAAACACTGCATTAGCTAAAGAAGCAAAACAGGGTTGGGTGACGTCAATCGTCATCATTTGACTTTCCAAGCCCTTGGTATTGTTGCAAGCATATTGTGCTTTGCAGCCCCCTACTAAAAAGGAACTGAAAACAAAACAACAGACCAACAAAAGAAATGCAACAACACCCTTTTCGTTCCTTTGAACGGAAATGATGTCTGGTTGTTAAGCCATATTTTTCAGCCCAACCCTGGCTGCGTCCCCTGAGATGAGATAAAAATCAAGGCCTGGGGCGTATCCTACCCAGACACCCTAAGAAACAAAGGGTCGGACAGCTTTCCACCGCATTTGTTAGGACTGGTCTAGGCTTTGATTGTGACGCAAGTTGGTTCGCGCTCATGAAGCTGGGGCGAGAAAAACGGGGGCGTCAAGAAAGAACCAGGCAGCAGTGATCCATCCATCCCCTTGTCGTTTCCTTTCTCTAAAAGCAAGAGCGAGTGAAGGAGCTGGTGAAAAGTCAGGCCTAGTTTTCTGAATTCACTGCTCTGAAACATCCCTTGAATCTCCGCAGCACAAAGGTCAGTCAGGTAAGCCAGGTAAGTCGATTTTCAGGACACTTGGGGGTCCGGAAGCCTCTTTTCAGGTAGGCAAGCAACTTTTCGTGCTCCAGGGACTGGTGGGGAATCCATCTAACCACCCAGGGCGAACGAAGGTTCGTTGAAAAAAATCGAAGCACCCAGCTAGGGCTGACTTGCTGAGTTGATTGGTCAGAAAAGGTCTAGGCTTTGTTAGGCTTGAAGAAATATTAAAAAAGACACCTAGCAGCAACAGCTTAAAACAGTAAGAAGGGGACACAATCTGCTATGATGCCTCATGACTCCTCATAGCAGTGGCTCACGTGGAACGGGTGAGACTGTGCAAGCACCGGCTTGCAGATGTTAATTGATAAAGGCGGGAGTCAAACGAAACTTTGGGCTTGTAAAACATGTGCATAAGACTGGGCTGTCCGTTTTCAGATCCCCTGCCAAAAGAGAAGCTTTAGTGGGTTAAATGGAACCATATTGGGGATCTTGTGGGTGGTTCGGGCGAGTCTTGTTGATAAACTTATGAACCTGGCACCTCTTCAACTTGATGGTGCCATAGGTAGGTAATGACCTGCGGGGTTTGGGAATGAACCGATTGTCAGATACACTTGAAGGAGAGTATCCAGGAAAAAAACACAAGAAGTTCAGCTTTTTGCGTGGGGTCTAAGTGTGGCCAGGGAATATCTAAGTCTGGCCGCAACAAATATGCAAAAAGGAGACATTCCACACGAACCTACCGAGAACCTCCCCACTTTTCTCAAGTTGGACTTAATGGGAATCTATCACTACCGGAAAAATGTGTTTTTGTTCCTGAGGATTTCAGCAAATGGACGTAACCTCGGCAGAACCTAGCAAACCTTCCCGCAATCCTCCTCCGGGCCTTTTTTTGTACCCCCCTGGTTGCTTTTTCAAGCCAAGCAAAAACTCATTCCAAACAAGGGACCCCGATCTCCCGAACCAAGGGACCCGTGATCGAGCCACAATCACTACTAGAAGGTTGGCAGGCAGTCCCAGCCAAACATAGGTCAGATAAAGTCCGCCCTTTGATTCTTTGCCATGGTGTTGGCTAGGCCAATTGAACTGCTGGTTCTCAGCAGGAAATGAGGGAATGACTCCTACAATGAAGAACATCTCCACACCTACAATGAAGAAAGAAGAACATCTCCACACGAGCTGATTCGGAGCGGCCTCACGTCACAACGCTGCGTGAACGCGAAACGGGAAGACGGGAGGACCGAGATCTCGGACCATTGGAATCGGACAATGTGACGCGGGCGAGGCGATGTGACGAAAGTCCCCAAGCCTTATTTGGTTTTGCTGCTGCTCAGTAGGGAATGACTTGCCGCTGTTGGCAATGAACCTAGGGAATCCCTTGAAGGAAACTTTAAGGGAGGGTTTCTAAGGGATGAAAAATAGGGGTCATTCCCTTGCTCCCTGGGAGCACCAGCAAGTGATCTCAGCAAGTTTCGGGAGAGTAGGAACCAAGGTGAACATGATTCCATCTAATAATAAGACGGAGGAGGAAAAGGAGGATAAGAAGAATGAGGATAAGGAGGAGGATGATACTGAGGCGGATGATGAAAACATGATGATGAAACGCGTGATGATAATGGTGATGATCATGATGATGATGATGATGATGATGATGAGGAGGAGGAGGAGGAGGAGGACCATGACGACGATGACGATGACGACGACGATGATGACGACGATGATGATGCTGATGAGGCTGATTTTGGAGAAACATGAGGGGCTTGGAATGATATGACTGGAATAAGGGTACCAACTTTTTCCTGTCTATTTTAGGGGAACCCTCCCAACCAAAAAGTTGCACCAATCGCTGGGGGGACCTAGTGAGTGAATAAGCCATACCTTGTGATCACCCCAACTGGAGTACATGTTTGTGAGTACTGACTGAGTACATTTCCCTCAAAGTTGGTAAAAGCGCACTACTGGGGGACCGAGGTGGTTCCCCATTGAACTTCATAGCCATTTAGAACCAAACTCCCAACATAAGGCTTCTGTAAGGCCCTAAGTAAAAGTTGGCACCAATCGCTGGGGGGACCTAGTGAGTGAATAAGCCATACCTGATCATTTGAATGCAGCCCGTAACCCCAAAAACGGATGTCAAAGTTGGCACTCGCTGGGGGACCATTTGACCATTTCACTTCCTGACCAAATGTCAAGAATGCAAAGAACCTTCCGCCTCGAATGCACCAAGCCTTAAATGCCACAAAAACGGAGTATGAACACCAGTACCATAACCATTTCGCCCCATTGATCAGCCCTCATAACCCCAAAAGTGGCACCAATCGCTGGGGGGCACCATCTGACCCTTCCACGTCGCCTGGCTGCCTCGACTTCTCACGCCGCCTCGACCTTCGCCGCAGTCACCCCACCGCGATCGATCCCTTCTCATCCGCTTCCGCGGGGCCCAGCCAGCAGGTCCGCCGACCTGCGGCTTCTGACCCGGATCTGAGCCGCGGAACATCCGGAGGCATCTCCGAAAAACGCCCACATCGGACCTTGCAACTGACTTGTAAATGAGGTGGTGTGTTTCCACTTCTTTACTTTGGGTGCTGAAAAAGCCAGCAACATGTTAAGGAGCCCTGCTTAACAAACGGGATAAAATGGGACCCAAAAAGGCTGGGATAACATGGGTCCACCCCGAAATATGTTGGGGGAAATGACCAACCATGTTATTGTTTTTTTGTTTTCCGGGTCAGAAGCTTCGACTCCAGGCTCCAAACCTGCTTCCGATCGAGCGAAACAAGTCCACCGAGCCCATCCCTCCCATCATGGAAGCTGACGCTCGGCTTCAAATCATGACACACTACTTTTGTTTCTTCCTTTTGGGTAACCGAGAGTCTTGGAAGACGATGTTCCCGGCAAAGCCCCGCGAATTTTCTTCCATTTTCATGATTGGAGGGCGGGTACCTCTCAGATGGTCCAAGGGTCCAAGCCCAAAAAGTGACTCAAGTCCCAACTAAGAAAGTGAGGGTACGAGTTTCCGCTGGAAATGAGGGCTCTGTTCCCACTCAACCACTCTTACCGATCCCCCTGGCGAGAACTCCCTCGCCCCCCTCCGCCCCCCCCGTTTCCCAAACCGAGACCAAAATGAAACCCGGTGGAGGGCTTGGATCCTATGAGTAGGTCCTCCAACAGAGAGGTTAGAATAAGGGTACCCTTTTTTCTGTGGGGAACCCTCCCCCAAAAAGTTGGGTGAGAAAGGGCACTACTGGGGGACCTAGTATGAAAAGGGACATTGTTCACTGCTCCCAAGAGCTCTCCACAGCAGGCGCTTGCCCTGGAGCAGCGCTTTCAGGTGAGGTAACGAATGCGCAATGCGGCTTCCACTTCTATGAGGCCGTTCTTCAAATGGCCATGGGTCAAAATCCAAAGCGTACCCCCCAATCCAACCACGAAATAGGAAAAAGTGAAATCAAGTCCAGCAGCTCAGGAAGCGAGTTTTTTTTCTGGCCCGTGACAAGGGTCGTTCATATTGTATACTAGGCTGTAACGGCACCTCTTGCTATAGATTTGAATCAGCTTTTCTCCATAGCCCCCTTTGCCACAGGAGGCAGTCCATCTCCAATAGCCGCCACCCTGTTGAGGCCACTCCAGGGAGGGCTCTCCAATCTGCGATTGGTGGAAAGCTTGACGTTGCAGTCAACCATGAGTGTGATCATAGATGAACGTGATTGAAGTTGCAGTCAAACATGGAACAGTACTAACGTGCGTAGAGAGTGATCATATCTTCATAGCGCTGGTGACCAAATCGCTGCGGCCTGGAGACAAATGGCTTGTCTATTAAACCTATACAAGAGGTTGGACCTCTTCCTTTGGGAGGCTGTTGGCTTGGTTTCATTGAGCACGACCAGTGACCCTAGCCGCAAACCGACCTTTTCTTGGGCTTCATGCCATTTCTAGTGAGAACACCCTAAACTCACTGGCTGAGTGGATGGCCCAAAAAAAGTCCAAACTTTATATTTACCACTAAAATAGTCTTCCCACAAAGTTTAAAGTTCATGAACTCAGGAAGTGAGAAAGCCCTGACACCCTAAAACTTAAACCTCAAAACCCTAAACCGCCTGGCTGAGGTGTTCACTGCGGTTGTCACAACGAAAGGCCGCGTAAAAAGAAGACCGGGTTTTCCAGTAGGGAGGATAGAATAAGTTGGTACCAACGTTTTTCCGTAGTCTATTTTAGTAGGGGAACCCTCCCAACCAAAAAAGGGTAAAAGAGGGACCTAGTTTTGGCTTTACTTTACGCTCCAGACCAGCACAGAACCCAAAATAAGAAGTTGTCCAGGTCCCTCTCAAGTTGATCAAACCTGGCTGGGGGACCTAGAAGAGCGAGCCCGAGCCCCGCCTTCCTCCCACTCGCCGCGGCGCCGGTCGCCTCCGAATTTCCGGCGAAGCCGGAGTAGGAAGCTGCCAGTTGGGCTCACTCCCCGGGGGGAATGGCCCAACAAAACTCCAAAACTCAGTTGTTCAGTGACCCTGGAAAACGAAAGGGGAACCCTTTTTGGGGCTTGGACCATTTGTAGTGGGTCAGTCACCCAACAAAAAGGGACCAGGGGTGCCACTGAACAACTGAAGGAAATGGGCATTTACCACTAAACCGGGGACTACCACTAAAATGCCGGATACCAAAAAGTGGCCAAAGTCCGAGAAGCGGAGCTCAGGACGTGAGTGGGTGTATCTTTGACACTCAAACTATCAGAAGGGAGCGCCCAAAATCTTCCTTCCCTCGGCCTCCGGGGGAGGAAAAGGCCCTCATAGGCGCCTGGGCCTTGGGAAACGGTTGGTTGCCAAGGGGCGCGTTCGGGATCCCAACGTGATGGGTTTTAAACGCAACTGGGTCCTCCAGATTTGAGAGGTTAGAATAAGTTGGTACCCGATGGTTTTTTCTCTGTCTATTTTAGTAGGGGAACCCTCCCCCAAGAAGGTGTAAAAGGGCACTACTGGGGGACCTAGGCAAACTAAGAGGAGACCAATAATTTAGAGGGGTCCCCCCCCCATTTGACACATGCCCGAATGCAGCTGCGGTGCGTAAAAAAGAAAAACACCTAACAAGGGTTCGTTTACCAAAAAGGGATCTGTTTCAGAGCGAATCGCACGGGGGTCTACTGTTTGATCGTTTTGAGGGAACACTAGGAAGGGTCCCCTTTAAAACATCCAAACAAAATCAAAGGATCCCTGTTTCATAGTTTTGAAGGGACCATGGCGAAATCCCATTTTAGGAGTTCCCCTTTAACAAAGACGAGCTAGCCATGAAAACCATCGTGGGCATAGAAACTGCCGAAAGGCAATGAAGAAAACACCAGTCACCCTCACCAGCCACGGGGGCAAGTTGACAAGGCTCTAAGCCTTGTCACCATTGCACCACGCCATTTTTGCTCTACACCAGCTCCTGATCATCAAATCCCAGACCCGTGGCCATGAGGTCAAAGGTGTTTTTGGATGGTTGGTTTCAAATGGAAACCCCCCGTCCCCCAAGCAAACCTTTTGAAGGGGTCGGGACCTCCGTCAGGTTTTGGACCTGGCCCGACCTCCCCCAGGTCTGGGGAAACAAAATCCACCTCACTCCTGGGGCGGTAAACCAAGCACAAGCACGGAGAACGGAACAGCACCCCAGGTCGGGGAAAAAAAAAAGTCGTCCCCCCCAAGCTCCGATTTTCCGATTCTCCGGTCCCCGGCCTCGGGCGGTGCAGTAGATGCCTGTGCCGTGCTGCTTCCCGTTTCGCCACTGGCCCCGGTACTGTCGACCTCGGGATTCCGGGACGCTCGAGCAAAAGGAAAAACCGGCGGCTGGGAGAAAAACTAGGTCCTCCAGCAGAGAGGTTAGAATAAGTTGGTACCAACTTTTTTTCCGTAGTCTATTTTAGTAGGGGAACCCTGCCCCCAAAAAGGGTAAAAGGGCACTACTGGGAGACCTAGAAAAGGCACGCGGAAAAACAAAAACATACGAAACATGGCGAAAGGGGGACGGAGTAAACGCAACGGCTGCTTCAAAAAGGCACGCGGAAAAGAAGAAACACATAAAAGTGGAGCCCACTTGCGAAAGGGGCGGTCATCCTTGAACAACACTTTCAGGACCTCAGGATTTGATACTTTACTGGATCTTTTCTGACTGCTGTGAATTGCTCCGAAAATATTTGTGCACCATTTTGTGACACCATGGCATGCAATATCAATTGCCAAGTGATCCAACCAGAAATGCGGCATTGCTTGGGGATTGTCATCTGAAAATGGCCTCTGCATGGACTCTGTGTTCGATCGTGCTACGCATATGCTGACGATTTACGTTCACACTACTTTGTGCAACCTGACCGTGCACAAAGTCTGCTCCCAACAAACACATCCTAGGCCTTCGTGGTTCGAGTAATGCTACGTACAAATCCTCAGTGGAATCCAAGAGATCCTCCCCTCCCGAACAACAGAGAACCTGGCGACCGAGTCCGGGCACATTCCATGGAATGGTTCGCACAAGCCGAGGCAACCTCTAGGTTATACATGGCAAGCAGCGCAAGTCTAGGAGGCCGCTGTGCTCCTTTAAGAACTGGTGGGGGGGGTGTTGGGTTTTGGGGCGTGCTATCCATCAGGGGTCATAACATCACCCGGTGGTAAAAGGCAAAACACCGTCAATGTAAAATTTGGACCACGTTTTTGTTCCAACATCCTCAGCCAATTGGACTCAACTAAATAATGCGTTGGCTACACACCTCTCAAACTACGGGCAGGCTGTAGGGACCGTCCCCCTTGCTTCCCAAATCCATCTCCTCAGAGCTTGCAAGACGAATATTCTCTTGGAAAGGCCCTCGTCCACTTCCACTCGGGCAAACTAGAATATGGACCCCGGATGAATAAACCCATCCGGTTAATGAGGGGTGTGTGTTCCCCTCCAAAAGTGATCACTCCCCACACAACTCAGGGACACCCCCTATAAAACTCCTATCAATAAGCTGGGCTGGACTTGAGTAAGTTGGGGTCAACATTAATCCCCAGAGAGAATCCGATGGAGAACCTTTGAACGGAACCTTACGTCGCACCCCTCTTTCTGTAGTCTATTTTAGTAGGGGAACCCTCCCCCAAGAGGGACTACTGGGGGACCTAGTTACGTCGCACCCCCAAAAACACCTGAGGTCGTCGACTTGCTCCCAGAAAAACCGAGGCAACGGCCATCCGGCCATCTAAAAGTGCCCTGCGCGAGGGTTCCACGCCCAAAGTTTACGGCCGCCGCCCCAGGAATGGTTGCTACTTAAATGGGCGATCTAAGCCTGGTTGCAACCCACTGAACAGAGACCTATTACCATGGCTTTTGTGGGCTATCATCATGGTTATTACCCACTTACTATGTACAATGCCTTTTGACCTAGTCTGATGGGTTGTTAGAAGACCTTAATGTATTTCCTGCGTGGAAAATAGGGAGGTCTGGGAGAAACAACCACATACAACAGCACCAGGTTCCATGATCTCTGTCAATATCACCACGAAACACATAGGAATGCCCAAATGCAAAGTGGGCCCCACACAAAAGCGAGCCACGCAACCTGGCCAACATGTGGGTTAGTTAATATTGAGAGACGTGCGTTCTTTTAGGGGCTGTGTGCTGTCGTGTTGTGGCACCGTTTTAAACGGGGGGTGAGAAACCAACAGGGGTGCCACATGCTGAGCTGACGACTCGGTTCACATGCCACGCGGCGAGAGAAACAACCGACTCATTGGCCATGACTGCCAGAAATGACCAGCTGATGAGGGGGGATAGCGTTGCCATAGCTTTGTGCCGGAAGTTTGCCCTGGCTCTACAAATCCTAGACTTTCAGAGCGTCCCTTGGTACCCTTTGAGCACCAAACCAGTGGATTGGTCAGACAAAGCCCTAGATCCTTTAACAAACAAAACACGCACACGCTCAAATGCTGCAAGCCCCGGAAAAGGTGACAAAACTGTTCAACCCTTGGTGGCTTGGAAGAAGTGGACTTCAAGTTAGAACATCGAGAATTCACTAAACGTGCCTTGGAACGTCAAACATATGGGTAGTAAAAAAAAAAGACGAGTAGCAGTTAGAACATCCAGGTCAAACATTGCTAAAACCTCGCCGTGTTTAGACTTAGAACATCGCACGATCCCCATTTTTGCATCCCTGGCCAGTTGTGGCATTGAGAGTTGGAACATTGGGGGGGCGGGGGGGATGCATGGACAGTGCAGCCAAATTTAACCATATTTATTGCAGGTAGAACACGCAACTCACAAGCTGGAAGCCAACATCAATATGCTCTGGCGCCGGCAGCGGCGGATCCATCATGACAGTGATACTGAGTTATCTTGGTTGCTGTTGACCTCTCTGCAAAAAGTTTAACCTTTTGTGGTTTCAATGGACAACCCTTGATTTCCCAAACGGTTAGTCTAAAGATCCAACCCCACAGCAATCATGTACCGGTCAACGTAAATGCCACAATTCCCCTTGTTCTGCCAAAATACTGCCTATATGAGTTGACATATATATATATATATGTATATATTTATACAATATACATATATATATATATATATGCGGTCTCTCAGATAGCTTTTGAAGCTCGACAGAAGGACCCTCGAATGAGCCAAACACTTTTTTTGACACTTAGCCCTCAAACGCTCCAACAAAAGCCGCACAATACTTAGCCTCCACTAAAACCACCAATTTCCCGAGATGTGGGGCACAAGAACCAGCCCGAAGTGGATGTCGTAGCCTCAAAGCACATGGCTAGGAAAGAATTGGAAAATCCATGTCTTCTGCCAGCTGTTTTGGAGCTGGACCCCAATTTGGCTAATTGGATCTCTTTTTGGTTGGGGGGAGCTTTAGGGAGGGGGGGGTTAGCATTGTATGACAATACGAAATCCAATTGAGACTCTGGATTGACACCACAATTCCTTATCCCCCATCAAGAAAATTTTGAAACTTGAATTTTGACCAAAAACTGCTTGTTTTTTAAAGGTTTTCATGTGCTGAAAACCCACCCTTTTTTTCTCCCGCTCCCTACGGTCGCGGGGACGAATCAACGTTTAATAAATTTTCCAGACCCTAGACCCTGGATGACCAACAAACACAAAATGAACAAACACAAAATGAACAAACAGTTACCCATGATCATTTTGGGGCCAGGAATATTGATCAACCCCATATCCATCCACGTTTCCGGATGAGTATTGACTGCGATGAGCAGTTTGGGGCGATATCTTCGATCCTGGCCTGTCTGTTTCCAAATCCCCTCCTAAAAGTGACCAACTTTAGCGGGTGAAATTCGGCCATGTCCGAATTCAACCAACTAAAAAGATCTAAAACGCTATAAGGAACCGGATAGCCGGGACCAATCTTGGTCCCTCGACCTTTGAGCGGGTTCCAACTCATCAAGTTACCTAGTCTTGACTCAGCTTCCCTCGGTTTTTTTTTGGGTGGCTTGGAGCAGCCCGGAGCTCGGGTGGGAAACCCCATCGCCCCAAGAACCAGGAGTCCACATCCGTTTCCAGGAATCCAAGCCACCACGTAAGGCGTACCTTGACTGATTGACGTCATGTGGCAACTCCCCTCCCTTTTCATCCGGGTCAAAGAGAGCAACCCCCAAACAAATACCGGTTTTCTGCTGGTCTCACGTTTGAGCCGACAGCCCAAGGGCACTTAAAGGGGCGATCGGGTACTTTGCAAGCTAGTAAGCCTGATTACCCACATCGGAGACTTACAACCATAGCTTTTGTGGATTCTCTCACCATGGCTACAACCACTTACCTAACGCACGCCCCTTTACTTGGTTGACGTTGGAAGGGGAGCAACAATTTACATTGTAGCAGTTAAGTGGGGATTTCCCACTAAACCACCATAAGCGAAAATGTAAAATGCTTCCCAACAACAACCATGTTTAGGTACCACCCCTATCAAATGCTACGCCTCAGTGCCCCAGCTGTCCAATTCGACCGCGCCTCGCCATCCTTTTGATCGTTCACGTACTGGCCCTCGTAGCTCCGGCCATCCTCGAAACGAAATCCCCACTCGCCGACGGCTTTGTTTTCCCGGAGATCGAGGCTGGAACCAGCCCGAACTTTTTACCACCTGGACTTACATTTCCTGGAAAAACTGAGAACATATTTGTCCAGTAGTGAAAATTGCCCTTAACACCAACAAGGAAAAGTAACGCAAATGGAAGTGGAGTCTCCTTCTGACCCTTCAAACACGGGGTTACCCAAAATAAGGGACTCATGGACCCATTTATGGAGGTGGTGCAAACCCAAGTGAAAGTTCCTGAACTTGGGGAGAACTTGGGCTGTGCGAGGATGGCGAGCCGACTCGTTTTTTGTTTCTGGCGAACGCGCCACGTTGAACCCACAAAATGACAACCCCCGCATTCTGTCAAAGCCAAAGGCTTTCAGAGCCGGCAGTTCGCAAGCTCCCACCCGCAGTCACCCTCTCACACTCTCTCGCGCATCAATCCAGCATTTGGCCTCGGTCTCTCAAGAATGGGACCCCACTTGCAAAGCACCACAACTCAGATCTGAAAGATGGCCATGGGCCAAAATCCAAATCGTACCCCCAGTGAACATCAACCAATCCAACCACTAAAATAGGTTCGAAAATGGGGGGAGAATTCACCTACCCCCCAAAATGGGATCCCAAAACGGTTTTGACCACCACAGCCAGATCTCAGGCTGTGACCACCCAGGTAAAGAGCCCATAGCCATGCATCCTGCAGCGGCTTTCGCGAGCTCTCAGGATGGACCTCAATTTGCCCCTTCTTGAGTCGCGTGAAACCAAAGACATCAGAAGCAGGTCACACATGTGGCTAGTTATTTTTCTTTTTTTTCAGCTTGGTCAAAGGGACAACCTCCATTTTTGTTTTGGGGCGGTGCAAATCCCTTTAGTGAATTGGCCAACACAAGTAACAAAACTGTTAGCGTACCTAACGTACCACTAACATTGTCCGGACCCCAAGAGTGTGCAAAGTCCGAAAGGGAACGCGAAACGGAAACCCGTTCGAGTCTTTGGGCTCGTTCGGAGGAGCCCGCCGTCCCATCCGCTTTTCAGAAGAAACATAGCGGAGTTTCTCAAAATGGCTGTGGCTCAAAAACATGGACCAAAATGGCACCTTGGTAAGTGGAACCAAGACTAAAACCTGCGTAACCTTAGCTCTTTAATTTTGAGCCAAACCCAAATGGGATCCCTTCTTGATGGTTTCCCTTTCGGAAACTTAACTTCGAAGGAGCCCCTCCCATCCGCTTCTCTGGAGATCGATCGGATTTCTCCGCTCAGGCATGGAGTTGGTGCAAACGGGGGAAAATCTTAGCATCCGAGCCCCAGATGCAGAACAACGCCGCGTCCCATCCGATCTCGGCTCTCCTGTTGTGGGCCCACTGCCCCTCGAACTTCCGGCCATCGCTCCAGCGGTAGACCCCGGCCTCGAGCGTGTCTCGCGCACAAAAGATCCCAAGTCGCGTGGGGTCGAGTCGAACCACACCTAGAAACGAAGGCACGCACACACACACACAAATTCGGGGACCCAGGGGCCCAAATCTACAGTCAATGATAGTCGTTGTCTCTACAGCCCGCGGCAAGAAGTGGTTTGGGCTAGGTTGGAGCCGAATCCATCGATGTACAAAGCCAAACAAATCAAATGCAAGAAATGGTCGCCAAAAAAAGGCAGGGGATGCCGCTGCCATCAACTCATTTCAAAGGCCCCGAAGTTCGGACGCTCGAGCGGGCGGACTGACCCAAAACGGTCGCACCAAAGGCATTGCAACATCTTTCCGTGAAGCAAATTGATTGGTGCCGAAAGTGGATCTTGACCATGTCTAGGCCCTCCAGCAGAGAGGTTAGAATAAGGGTACCCGTTTTTTGCTTCCGTAGTCTATTTTAGTAGGGGAACCCTCCCCCCAAAAAGGGTAAAAGGGCACTACTGGGAGACCTAGATGTCGAACCGATTCAATCAGTTTCACCATGTTAGCTTTGTAGTCTCAGTGGATTGGCCGAACAAAAACAACAACAACCGAACTCTTTGCCACTGAAATGGCGACCAAACCCAGAAAGTGACGAAAGTCAATGAACTCGAGTGAGCCAACGGGCCTGTGATTCGCAACCCCCTCTGAACCTCAGTGTCGTCCAAACAGGTACAAAGATCCAGGAATTGTTAGGGAGGGAGTCCGCGTCAGAGGTTCCCGGCGCCGTGGATGTCGTTGTTCAGGAACTCCCCCTGAGCCACAAAACTCGAGAAGCGCCGCATCCTTCTGACCCTTAAACAATGGGTCCACCCCGTTAGTTTGGGTAGGTCCTCCAGTAGAGAGGTTAGAGTAAGTTGGTACCCTTTTGTCTGGGGTCTATTTCAGTAGGGGAACCCTCCCAAAAAAAAGGGAAAGGGCACTACTGGGGGACCTAGTAGGGTAACCCATTGTTCAAGGGTCAGAACGAGACTCGAGATGAAGCGCCGAATGCGTTGGGCAAGTCGAGATAATGCACCACCCTAAGAGTCCCATTCGACTCATTCTGGGTCAAACAGAGTTGTTTTATTGGGCGCGCCGGGATTGGTGAGAATTGCTCGCTGCGGGTTCTCCATTTTTTCGGGCTCTGGGTTGCGCATAGGGGTCATGACCCGCAAGGGGCAACCAAACAAAAATACCATGGACCCCCCAAGAAAGGAAACTTTCACTTTGTGGGAAAAAGTGCCAAGTGTTTTCCCCCGAGTCAAAACGTGTAGAAGGGGACCCGAAACAAGTTCATGCAAACCAGAGGGTCCAATTGCCCAGGGTGTTGGGGTCAAAGTACCCGAGCTTGGACAAGGACCCAACAGCTCGGCTGTGAAGTGTGTCTTGAGAAAAACAAAATGATAGATACCCACCAGGGAAGAGCACAACGGCATGCGGATGTGTCAAGGGAGTCTCTACCCACACCAATGTAAAGAATCAACAGGCCAGCCGCACTCATTTATGGTTGGGACTGCCCCGTGCCCTCAGGCTACCAGGGCTTTGATTGTGGCTCAGCACTGGCTGGACCCACTTGGAGACTTTTCAAAGCTGCTAAGGAAACCAACTTCTTAAGTAGACTGGTCAAAGCTTCAACTGCTTGTTTGCCGCTCAAATGATCCAAACCCAAACAGTTTAAAGTCCATGAACTCAGGGCGATGGAGTCGATGGGAAGCACTAGGCGCAAAAAACAGCCGCTGCGGTGGCTCGTTTCAGTTTTGTGGAGCTGGTACCTCTTTTGTTGGTGGCTTCAAAAAAGAACCAACAAGAAAACCGTTTGAGCCATGGGAAAAGACGAGCCACCGGCTTGGGGCCTGTTGGATCAAAATGACGAGTTTGGATCCTTGCCAAAAAGGGAGAATCGAAAAAATGGTTCCAAGAACCCTCCCTACCGTTAAAGCATGCCAATGCCAAACACCTAGGAATCTTCATGGGAAGCTTGGGGTATGCTCAACAAGTATGGACATTTCTTGCAATGCTGGGTTTCTGCTATAGTTCCATGTCCTGGAGAGTAAATGCAACCATCGGACCTGTCCTAGAATGTTCAATGTTCTTTCGGACCCGTGTGGTTTCCCGGGGTCGAGCTGGATTTCCTGAATCGAAAGTTGATCAGTTTATTGGTTTCCATTGCAACGATAGCCACTGTTGGAGGTTGCAAAAAGGGAAATGAGGAAACCCAGCGGCTTCCAACGGAAAAAAAATCAGACTGGGCAGCGACCAAGCGATTTTTGTTGGGAGAAGACTGCCCGACTTACTTCTACTCGGGCACGGGAAGACTTACTTCTAAGCGGCACTCTCCTGACGCCCCCGAAACCATTCATCTTGGTAGGGGGAACATATTTTGAGGATTGGGCCTCTATTGGGGCTTCATTGTGCAAGGATTCTTAGCCACGAAGAAGAAACAAAACATGCATGCAGCCAATAGATTCTGACTGCCGACAACACCCCAAAGCAGGCTGCCCTCAGCTTTTCTTTGCCTGCCATCCGGCCGATGCTGGGATTGGGTAGCGATTTCTGTTAGGCCCCAAATTGTTTTGTAATTAAAAAGACACCTCCCTTCCACTAACATAGCACCTGCCTATCAGAGCTGGAAGATCACTTTCTTGGAACCATTTCCCTGTCAGGTGCCATAGCGCAACGCGGGAGTCACGAGACGCCACTCGACTCGACTCGGGAGCCTGGAAGCTGGAGCCGTCCGCCCAGGCGAAGGTGCCCTTGCCGCACTTGTTGCCAAGCACCTAAGCGTGGGGTGGGGCGGGGTGGGGCGGGGTGGGGCGGGTGGCGGGGTGGTGGGGCGGGGTGGAGCGGGGTGGGGTGGGGTAGGGCGGGGTGGGGGCGGGTAGGGTGCGGTGGAGTGGGGCGGGGCAGGGTGGGGCGGGGTGGGGCGGGTGTGAGCGGCGGGGTGGGGGCGGGGTGGGGTGGGGGTTGGCGGGCGGAGCTGGGGGGGTGTGGGGTGGGGCGGGGTAGGGCGGGGTGGGGCGGGTAGGGCGCGGTGGGGTGTGGAGGGTCAAAAAGACGGCCAGCGCCGGGGAATGGACAAGAAATGGCAAGGAAATGGAAAGAACATGAAAAGGCAATGGAAAGGGAACGGAAAGAAAATGGTCAGGATATGGAAAGCAGTTGGAAAGAAAATTGAAAGGACATGGAAATGAAATAGAAAGGCAATGGAAAGGAAATGGAAGGCAAATGGAAAGCGATTTGAAAGGAGATGGTAAGCAAGCGGAAAGGACATGGAAAGGGAATGGAAAGCAAACGGAAAGGATGGCGCGGAAATGGAAAGGAAATAGAAAGGATTTGGAACATGGAAAGGCACCACCACCCCACCCCGCCCCCACCCCACCCCGCCCCACCCCACCCCACCCCACCCCGCCCCACCCCACCCCACCCCACCCCGCCCCACCCCACCCCACCCCACCCCACCCCACCGCTCACACCCGCCCCACCCCGCCCCACCCTGCCCCGCCCCACGCCACCCACCCCGCCCAACCACCACCCCACCCCACTCCCCCCCCCACCCCGCCCCCCCCACCCCACCCCGCCCCACCCCACCCACCCCACCCGCCCCACCCCGCCCCACCCCGCCCCACCCCACCCCACCCCGCTCCACCCACCCCCCGCCACCCGCCCTACCCCGCCCCACCCCACACCCCCCAGCCCCACCCCACCCCGCCCAACCCCCAGCCCGCCCCGCCCCCACCCGCCCTACCCCACCCCACCCCGCTCCACCCCCCCCACCCCACCCCCGCCCCACTCCGCGCTGCGCCAATCCTAGCCTGGGGTGGGGTGGGGTGGGGTGGGGCGGGGCGGGGTGGGGCGGGGCGGTGGGGTGGGGTGGGGTGGGCGGGGCGGGGCGGGGTGGGGCGGGGTGGGTGGGGTGGGGTGGGGTGGTGGGCTGTGGGGGGTGGGGTGGGGTGGGCGGGGCGGGGCGGGGTGGGGGCGGGGCGGGGTGGGGCGGGGTGGGGTGGGGTGGGGCGTGGGGCGGGGTGGGGGGGGGGGCGGGGTGGGCTGGGGCGGGGTGGGGTGGGGTGGGTGGGGTGGGGTGGGGAGGGGTGGGGTCAGGAGCAGTGGGGTGGGGTGCGGTGGGGAGCAGTGGGGTGGGGGTGGGGTGGGGTGCGGTGGGGAGCTTTGTCCAGACAAAGCAAAACACCGTGCTTGATCAAATCAAAGGGAAGCCGAAAGCGGATCCGGGATAGATATAACTTTTCTCGGGCTGTCCGCTTTCAGATCTGCAACCTGTGGGTTAAATTCGGACTCCCAACCACTAAACCAACTGAAATGTCTAACAACCTGTCTGGAGCCGGATGGCTAACCACCAAGCCAGGAGCTTTCTCCGCCGCAAATCCCGCGAATCCACCATAAGCGGCACAATGATCCTCATTTGCCAAGACCTCACTAGTTGAGGCCTTTGTGGGTTAAAGGCCGTGTTTCAGGGCTGTCCGTTTTGTGATCCCCTGCTAAAAGTGACTAAATGTGAGCGGTTTAGTGGAAACTACCGCTAAACCAACGGAAAACAAACAACAAAAATACTTGAACAAACCAAAAAAAAAACATAAGGAACCGGCTGGGACCCACAAAGGTTTGACCGCGCACCCTCCTGTACGAGGAGAGTTCATTTTCTCCTTTTTAGAGTCTGATATCTGGACGCTGCCAAAAGGTCTGGGAACTGCTAGCGATTGCGGCGGAAGGAATCTGAGTGATTCTGAGTTGCGCAGTCAGTACAAGGAAAGATGTATGGGTCCCAGTTGCCACTGCAGCACTGGCACGCAACCATTTTCTTTCCAGCTTTGAAGTGTAACCTGTTGGTCACCTAAAGTGATCACGTGTTGGGATGCCGAACTGCTCCACTGACCACAAGGTTTCCAAAAGGAGCAAAACCCTCCCGCCTTGCTGTTTTTGCGGGTCCGAGACATACTTCAAGCAGATAGAAAGTGCTTAGTAAGTCTGGTTATAACCCATACGACACTTACCTGAGGAACGTGCTTCCGGGGTCCAGAACCATAGGCTCCCCCTAACCCCCAATCAATCGGCGCTAGCCCCGTAAGGCTCCTGCATGGAGGGCTTCAACCCTATCCGATGCGCGTTACTTGACACGGCTTGGGAATGGAGAAGCTGGCTCGTCTCTAGCCCAAAGCAATAGTGCGTTTCCTCTTTGGTAAATCTAGAGAATGGTTTGGATGCGGAGAATCTGTGGATTCATCCCTTTAGAATTTAAAAAGGAGTACACAAATATTTTACGAAAATGGACCAACAGACAAAAACACGGGTTTGATTTGCACAACTAGCGCTTCCAAATTCTTTTCTAGAGTAAAGCGTACAAGACTTGGTGGCTCCCAGCCATCCCAGCAACTTTGTGTTGGATCTTTTTAATTGGATTAGAACCCACCAAAAAGGTTGGAACTTTCAAGGGAAAGCCTCCCTCTTGCTTTTTCGGCAACATGGTGTGCCAGTACAACCGATTCCCGAAACCGGGAGCCATGTTGCGAGCCTTCAACATGCCCCAAATGACCGGGCCCTATGAAGAGCCCCCCCAACTAATCCCTCGATGTTGGAGGACCCAGCCAAAGGGGCCCTACTTTTCGTTTTTTTTTGGTTTCCCTGTCAAGCCAAACAGGGGTACTGGACTTGGAAACCATGGGAAGCCATTTCACTGTTGGTAATTATTTACAGAGGAATCATCATTCCACCGATTCTTAGGTGGTGCAAAAATGAATTTCGTCCATCCACAGTAGTTCCAGTAAAACAGATTCCCGGAACCAGGCGGAACAAAAAAACGAAACCGGCTCTGAGGTCCGACGTAGGAGCCCGTGTACTTGGCGCCGTCCGGCCAGATCTCTACGCCTGCCGAGACTGAAATGGGGAGCCGGAGGCCACCTAAGTCATCAAAACCGGTTGGCAGGGAGTGAAAGAATGAACCTGGGGATTCCCACAAGGAACCATAGGGGATGGTTTATCGGGTTCATCCATCCAAATTTTGGGCCCGGGGCCCCTATTTATCCATCAACTCTACTAGGTCCTCCAGAGAGGTTAGAATAAGGGTACTCCTTTTTTCCCAAGAAAGGGTAAAAGGGCACTACTGGGGGACCTCCTTTACAAAATGGTTCGTCATTACCCAAAATAGAGGCTAGGTCCTCCAGGAGAGGGGTTAGAATAAGGGTACCTTTTTTTTTCTGTAGTCTATTTTAGTAGGGGAACCCTCCCCCAAGAAAGGGTAAAAGGGCACTACTGGGGGACCTAGCACTGGAGTCTCCTTCTGACCCTTACAAAATGGTTCGTCATTACACAAAATAGAGGCTAGGTCCTCCAGGAGAGGGGTTAGAATAAGGGTACCCTATTTTTTTCGGTAGTCTATTTTAGTAGGGGAACCCTCCCCCAAGAAAGGGTAAAAGGGCACTACTGGGGGACCTAGCACTGGAGTCTCCTTCTGACCCTTACAAAATGGTTCGTCATTACACAAAATAGAGGCTAGGTCCTCCAGGAGAGGGGTTAGAATAAGGGTACCCTATTTTTTTCGGTAGTCTATTTCAGTAGAGGAATCAACCAACCACCCACCTACCCACCTACCCACCTACCGACCCACCAACCAGCCAACTTTCCAACCAACCTACCAGCCAAGCTACCAACCAGCAAGGTCGAAGAACTGAAGCTCCATGACCTAAACATTTTAACAGCTGCCTTGTCGCCTCCCTTCAAAAGGCACAAAAGATTGCTTGCCCAGAGGCTCCCTTGGTACTTTGGAGGGTGGTTTCTGGGTCATTTAGTTCTCCTCAAAAGGCTTTCATAACCCCATCTCCATCTCCACCCCAATAGGGTGCTTGCGGCTTTTCTAGAGGCACTCCCTTTAAAAGGTTGGAAGTTGGAAACTCCAAAGGGAGAACCACAAGTTTTGGGAGGTCATCCCTATTCTAGGTCCTCCAGTACAGAGGTTAGAATAAGGGTACCTTTTGTTTTCTGTAGTCTATTTTAGTAGGGGAACCCTCCCCAAAAAAGGGGCGAGAAAGGGCAGCTAGCTGGGGGACCTAGCTATTTGAACCCACACCTTGGCCGTGCTGCTTGTCGTCCTCCCACTGACCATCGTACTTGGACCCATCCGCGTGGTAGTACACGCCGTGCCCGTGCGCCTCAATGAACCCGATTCGGAGCTTCGACTTCGATTTTTTGAGTCGACACCCAAAGGCTCCAATTCCATAAGATTTGGCTGTGGCTCAAAATAGTGGAGTTCCAATTGTTTTGGGCCTCTTGGATGGAAAAAACTGCGTAACCCCAGCTCTTAAATTTTGAGCCACACCCATTTTTGGTTGCCCTCAAAATGGGTTGTTTTCAACAGCCCCGGAATTGGTCGCGCCCGCATTGGAGGCTCCGGTCAGCCGGGAATGAGGCTTCCTGGATGTGCCTTACGAGACTCTTGATTCAGTACCCCAAACAATCCATTTGCTGAAGTCCCCTGGAAAATAAATAAAACAAAAATATGTCCAGTAGTTATAGATTCCCTTTAAAGTCAACACGGGAACATAAAGAACATTCTTAAGCAAACGGAAGGAACTTGGGTACGGGGCTCGTGGAGGCAGATAGGCCAAAATGCCTATCCTGGAAACCGGGAGCTTTGCTGTTGCCGCAGGTCTTCAACGCTCTTTCTCGCCAACTCTGCGCAGTTGCCCGGTGTTTCTCACGTGGGTGGCTCATGTTTGGTAGGATTTGGACCCCCCTTGAACGGTGGCTTTCAACTTTTGTTTCCCTCACCAAGCCCAAGAACTGGTTCCCTCACCGGTGATCATGTCGTACCCCCCGCATTCAGCTTCAAGAAGGCGTTTTGTAGTTTGAGAATAAGAACAACCCTGTCTAGAACGGCTCGCGTGGCGACTGTGTTGAAGCCAGGTCACCAGTTGACCTTTGGACCAGTTCTACTTCCGGTCCTGCCTCTTGCTGCCCAGGACAGCTTGTTTCAAGCGGAAGCCCCTTCAAAAGGTGCTTGGGCCATCTAAACCTGGGCTGTCCTCAGATCCCCTGCTAAACGTTTGATTTTCAGCGGCTGAAATTCGGAAACCCAACCACCTGTCACCAACTAAAAAGATCTAAAAAGCATGATCTGGAACCACCTGTCGCCAACTAAAATATCTAAAAACCCAACCACCTGTCTGGCACCGAACCGGATGGCTGGTTAAGAACCAGCAAGAAAAGTACTTATCTGGTGCCCCAAAGGCTCTTGCTGCCCCAAAGGCCCCTCCAAACGAAGTCGGGGCGTGTCAATTTTTGGGTTCTGCTCAACGGGAAACCACCCGGTTTCAGACCGACCCTTCTGACCCGGATAAAAAATAACCTCATGACCCCTACCAGTTCTTTTGGGGGAAAAATGGGTCCATGTGGTCCATGACCCTGGAATGACCGAGTTTTGTGTCTTTTTCGGGGTCATGGATCCAGGCACGCCTTTTGGGGGAGGGACAATCAGACACATGCACCGAACGGGTCCCAGCGGGCAAAGCGAAAGATTCGGCTCCGGACTCGAGAGATGGTCCCCTGTCGTTGTCCCTCGGTTGATCCGACATCTCCCGTCTCAAAATCGGGGAACCCGCTTTGGATGGCTTTAACTCACTGGCTGAGTGGATGGCCCAAAAAAAGGCCAAACTTTATATTTACCACTAAATTGCTCTTCCCAAAAAGTTTAAAGTTCATGAACTCAGGAAGTGAGTTGGGCTACAGAAACCAACCTAGAGAGTACATTTTGAGAAACACCCATGTCTGTGTGAATAGAACACCCTTTGGACTCAAAGTGTTGATTGAACACGTCGCATCCATTGACCGTTCCCCCAATGTGATGATTGGTGACCCGGTGTTTCTTGGTTAGGGGATTTCGCATTGACCCACAGCCGAAAGTTCAAATCCAAATCCAAATCCAATCTAAACCACCAATCCAAACCACCGGGCTCCAAAAACCACCCGCCACTCCAAACCGCCAATCCGAACACTTCTAAACCATAGGGCTCCAAACTTAGGGCGACCTTCGGCCGCGCCTTGTCATCTCTCCACTGACCTTCGTAGATGTCCCCATCTACGTGCTCGAAGCGGCCGGAGCCGGAGGCCTCACGCGAGCTTCGCGAGGTGTCCGGGAAAAGGACGCCGGAGCTGGGCTCCCAAGACCATGGCCATGGGGTGGTTTCTGTGGGGTATACCCTGGTTTTGGGCTGGTTCACAGGGAAACCCGAAACGAAAACCCGCATTTGTGTTGTTCCCTCTATCTTTGGTGGACTAGTGTCCGGGGATTCGGATGCCCGGAAGGCTGGGAAAGGCAGGCCAAAAGGCCCTCGGCATGTAGTCCAGACCCTCTTCTGATGAGGGGTCGAAAGGCTGGGGCTCAACTTACCATCCAGCCCAATCCATCTCCATGCAGCATCTCCGAGTGCTGCTGTCCAAAAGGCATCTCAGTTCCGATCCAGTGGCCAAACAAAACAGCCAACGTCAGAATCAACTCCGGTCTTAGCATAGTCGACAAAACCATGAAAAGACTTAAACAAGCGGATATCCGCACCCATTTATGGCTGGGACTGTCCCTTACCCTCCAACTACCCAGGCTAGCGTTCAGCTCGAGTGAGGCATTTTCTTGGAGCCCTTGGCCGGGTCTGCGCCATATCCGTCCCTTGCATGTTTCCTTCTAAACAAATCAAACATGATCCATCCAAGATGTTGCAGTTGAACAACTAATTGTTGAATATCCTGTTGAACAAATCAAATATCGTTGATACTGCCGTTTCTACGTTTCCCCTTGGAATACCAACCAGATTCAACGGTTGTTTGGCAGTTTTTGGCCGGGCCACCTCTCTTCCACCTGAAACATCACCCCATTTGAATGTAAATCGGCCCAAAAGCCGAGGTTTGAATCCACCAGAAGGGGAACTATGCAAAGGTGTGGAAGGGGGATCCCCCAATTCATGGTGTTTTGTCCTTTTGGTTTCCCTTTATACCAACTTTCAACTAACTTCCCGAGTGGATGGCCCAAAAAAAAGAAGCATTTTGTTCTATTTACCACGAAACTGGTCAAACCCAACAAGTGACTAAAGTCCGAAACGGAACTCAGGAAGCTTTGAAGGCTATTTCTGTAGTCTACGGGGAACCCTGACCCAAAAAGTTGGGTGAGAAAGGGCACGACTGGGGGACCTATGAAAAGGGACATTGTTCACTCCCAAGAGCTCTCAGCAGGCGCTTGGAGCACCAAACTTCCCACCAGCCCCTGGTGACCTAGAGTATGCCCAACTCCCCCGAGCCCATGTCATCTTTGGCCCCTCCGCTTCAACTCGCCTTGTCATCGAGCCAGTCCCCTTCGTAGCGTGCACCGTCCGGCCAAAGCTGGACGCCCTTCCCGTGCCTGGCGAAACAGAAAAGAACCGGACGAGTCCGCCTAGGTCCTCCAGTAGAGACATGGACGACATTGGAAGGGGAGCAAAAATCTAAAAAATAAAATAGCAGTTAAGTGGCTTTGGATTTCCCACTAAACCACAATACGCAAAAATGTAAAATGTTTCCCAACAACAGCCATGATAAGGGTACCAACTTTTCTCTGTAGTTTAGCTCAGTAGGGGAACCTCCCCCAAAAACGCTACCGGGGGACCTAGCGGCGAAGCCTCAACAAGAATCAGTCATTGCTAAAACTTCTGGGTACCTGGAGTCTCCTTCTGACCCGTAAAACATGGGTCCAGGACTGTTTTGGGGTAATAGCCCTTTGTTAAGGGTCGTGGAAATGGAAACCGGGTCCAAACAGGTTGTTAGATCTGTTTGGTTGGTGAAAGATGGTTGGGTTTTAAATGGAACCCGTTCCAGACAGGTTGCTAGATCTGCTTAGTTGGGGAAAGGTGGTTGGGATTCCGAATTTCACCCACAAAAAGTTTGTCACTTTTTGCAGGGGATCTGAGGAAGGACAGCCCAGTACTGGTTCCTAAGAATAAAGGGCACACAAAGTGGTTTCATCCCGCGCTTTGTGGGTCCGCGTGAAAAATGTGCGAGGAACCCCTCTGAAAGGTACATTCATTTCTCCAAGAAGGTACCTGTCCTAGCCTCTTGCAGAGACGACCGGCGTGGGATGCAATCCTGATGATTATTTGGTCCCTGTAGGACACAGCTGAACGCACAAAAAAGTTGACTCCCAGGACCAGTCCCAGGCCCGGTCCCAGGACCGGTCCTGGGCTTGTTGTTTTCTTTCGAAGCAAACGGGGTCTCAAAAAACTGTCAAGCCAAAGGGCGTTCCCGCTAAAGCTTAAAACCGGCCCTGGAGTCTCCAGGGCCCCGACGAGATGCCATTAAAACCCAACCACCGTTCACCAACTCAACCAATCTAGCAACCTGTCCGGAACCACTTTCCATTTAGCAACCAACCACCTTTCACCAACTAGACAGGTTGTTAGGGAACCGGTTTCCATTTAAAAGCCAACCACCTTTTACCAACTAGACAGATTGTTGGGCAGTCGGCTTGCATTTAATAACCCAACCACCTTTCACCAACAAAACAGGTCTACCAACCTGTCCGGAACCACTTTCCATTTAGCAACCAACCACCTTTCACCAACTAGACAGGTTGTTAGGGAACCGGTTTCCATTTAAAAGCCAACCACCTTTTACCAACTAGACAGATTGTTGGGCAGTCGGCTTCCATTTAATAACCCAACCACCTTTATCTAGCCAACCTGTCCGGAACCAACCATTTAGCAACCAACCAACCTTTCACCAACTTTCACCAACTAGACAGGTTGTTAGGGAACCGGTTTCCATTTAAAAGCCAACCACCTTTTACCAACTAGACAGATTGTTGGGCAGTCGGCTTCCATTTAATAACCCAACCACCTTTCACCAACTCAACCAATCTAGCAACCTGTCCGGAACCACTTTCCATTTAGCAACCAACCACCTTTCACCAACTAGACAGGTTGTTAGGGAACCGGTTTCCATTTAAAAGCCAACCACCTTTTACCTTTTGTTGGGCAGTCGGCTTCCATTTAATAACCCAACCACCTTTCACCAACAAAACAGGTCTACCAACCTGTCCGGAACCACTTTCCATTTAGCAACCAACCACCTTTCACCAACTAACAGGTTGTTAGGGAACAATTTAAAAGCCAACCACCTTTTACCAACTAGACAGATTGTTGGGCAGTCGGCTTCCATTTAATAACCCAACCACCAAACCAGTCCGGAACCACTTTCCATTTAGAAGCCAACCACCTTTCACCAACTAGACAGGTTGTTAGGGAACCGGTTTCCATTTAAAAGCCAACCACCTTTTACCAACTAGACAGATTGTTGGGCAGTCGGCTTCCATTTAATAACCCAACCACCTTTCACCAACAAAACAGGTCTACCAACCTGTCCGGAACCACTTTCCATTTAGCAACCAACCACCTTTCACCAACTAGACAGGTTGTTAGGGAACCGGTTTCCATTTAAAAGCCAACCACCTTTTACCAACTAGACAGATTGTTGGGCAGTCGGCTTCCATTTAATAACCCAACCACCTTTCACCAACTCAACCAATCTAGCAACCTGTCCGGAACCACTTTCCATTTAGCAACCAACCACCTTTCACCAACTAGACAGGTTGTTAGGGAACCGGTTTCCATTTAAAAGCCAACCACCTTTTACCACCAGTTTTTTACCCAACTAGACAGAAGCCAACCACCTTGACAGATTGTTGGGCAGTCGGCTTCCATTTAATAACCCAACCACCTTTCACCAACAAAACAGGTCTACCAACCTGTCCGGAACCACTTTCCATTTAGCAACCAACCACCTTTCACCAACTAGACAGGTTGTTAGGGAACCGGTTTCCATTTAAAAGCCAACCACCTTTTACCAACTAGACAGATTGTTGGGCAGTCGGCTTCCATTTAATAACCCAACCACCTTTCACCAACAAAACAGGTCTACCAACCTGTCCGGAACCACTTTCCATTTAGCAACCAACCACCTTTCACCAACTAGACAGGTTGTTAGGGAACCGGTTTCCATTTAAAAGCCAACCACCTTTTACCAACTAGACAGATTGTTGGGCAGTCGGCTTCCATTTAATAACCCAACCACCTTTCACCAACAAAACAGGTCTACCAACCTGTCTGGAACCGCTTTCCATTTAGAAGCCAACCACCTTTCACCAACTTAGCCGATCTAAAAAACCTGTCTGGAACCGCTTTGCATTTCGTTCATAACCACCTTTCACCAAAAAGGAGAGATTGTTAGGGAAACCGCTTTCCCATTTCAACCACAACCACCTTTCACCAACTAGACAGATTGTTAGGAAACCGGTTTCCACTTAAACGCCAGCCACCTGTCACCAACTAAGCAGATTGACTGGTTGAAACCATGCAGTGTTTGTTGGCAGTTGACGGGATAATAATCATTTCATTTCATGGTTTCTTAGTTGGTGCGAAATGGATTTCGCAACCATCCACAGTATCCAGGTCCTCCAGTAGAGAGGTTAGAGTAAGTTGGTATCCTTTTTTCTGTAGTCTGTTTTAGTAGGGAACCCTCCCTCAAAAAAGTTGGTAAAAGGGCACTACTGGGGGACCTAGGTATGTCGCAAAGGAATTTTCGCCATCATCTCCGCCTAAAGCTTCCTTTCCACTCGCCGGTGTAGGTCGCGCCATTCTCGAAGGTGTGCGAGTCCTGGAAGGGATCCCGGCTTTCCCTGAGTTGACTGGCCAACAGTTCGTGAGAGACAACTTGTTGGGCGTCTAAAATCATGAAGACGCCAAGCGGGAAAAAGGAAAGCCAACTCAACTGGGGACCCTGGAGGGGAACTACAGGGTTGAAAGTAAGGTCAACTGGGTTTAAGGGAAACTACAGGGGATAAGCAATCTTTTTTGGGGGTGGTGCAAGACACAAACACACACCCAAACATGAGTGACATGAGTATACCTAAAATAATTTTGTTGTGTTCGTCATTTGGCTGGATATACTTCCCTCCCGCCAAAAGTCATGGTACTTTTTGCGGGAGCTGCGACGGGTACCCCACTTGTTGCTGTGTGATCCGGGCTGTCAGACCCCCTGCTGAAGGTTTGACTTTTCACTAAACCACCTAAAAACAACTAAACACCTGTCTGGAACCGGATGGCTGGGACCAAGTGATAGGACACCCAACGGATGCCAACCTATGAGACAAACCCTGTTCTGAAAGAGTTTGTCCAAGAACTGTTCAGCGAGACGAGGTCCTGCGAAAGCGGGGGGGAGGGGGGGGGCAGGACCAATCACATCGTCCCTGGTGACAAGAACTGGACAATTGTTTGTTGAGGTAGATTCCGTGATGCTTAAAAACCACTGACTGCAACGCTCTGCCTCGAGACGGTCTCAGCTCCGCCAATCGCTACCCTCCGCTCGATCCCAAAGCCGGCCGTCGATTCTCCTTGCTGTTTCGCATGGATCCCGGCACATTGGAGTCCTGGCGCAAGACACGTGTGCCATGGCTAGGTCCTCCAGCAGAGAGGTTAGAATAAGGGCACCCTTTTTTCCGTTTCGTCTATTTTAGTAGGGGCACCCTCCCCCAAAAAAGGGGTGAGAATGGGCACCACTGGGGGGCCTGGTCAACACGCCTTCTGCGGGCGCATGTAAGCTGTTGAAGGGGAGCATGGGGTGCAGAGAACCGTTCGGCGTTTGGTCCACGTCTCCCCTTTCAAGGCGGGTTCAAAAATGCGCATCCAAACCATCATAATGTTTTTGGCTCCGCAAATACCTGGACCAACAAAGGGCACTTTTTTTGCGACTCTCTGCAAAAAATCCGTGCATTTCCTTGAAATCCATACATTTGAGCAAAAACTGTACTTTTCTTGCAGGCTCAACATAAGACACAGGAGCATTTTGCTACCTTTTTTCTACAAGAATCTCACTTTCAGCTCCGGCCATGGCACTGGAGATTGTCATGCTCATACCATTTGAAGGTGTGCAATTCACCAAGGACAAAAGGTGCCCATTTCCTCAAGAAAATGTTCCGCTGATTTCCGTGCATTTTCCGCAGATTTCCGTACTTTTCCCGCCGATTTCCGTGCATTTCCCGCCGATTTCCGTGCATTTGCGGTTTCTGCATTTTGGCTGAGAAAACTGCAAACTCGCAAAAGCGGCAAGGAAGCTGTCACACATTGCCCCACAGCAATTGGAGACGAAAGACCTGAAACGGAATTAAGTATGACTGGCCGTGTAAATTGCAAACTGTGTTCATGTGCATCCAAGTGCACCACAAACGCTTACTGCCTGCTAACAGCGATTTCCGTCAAATTTCCTCAAAAGTGTACATTGACACTTGTTTTCCGCATGTACGGAAATTTCAGTACTTTTGGAGGGTTCAGGTATTGGTGTTATTGTTTTCGAAAGTCCGCTTCTGTAGCGCAACCCCAGAAACTCACCGTACCCCTTCGCTCTTAGCAGCTTGCAAAGCCCGAAATCTCAGTGGCACCCGGCGGCAAGGTTCCGCTTGGCGTGGTGAAAGACCCTTCTATCGGGTCTTGTTTCCAGGAAGCCCAACAACACGCGCCTTTTAAGGTGCCGGTGCACTGCCTCGAACTCGGGAAGCCCATCAGGCGCTGGTTTCCTTCACCATCTCCGCCGCATCGTTGAAGCCGGACGCGCAGCACGAGGAAGCCCCGGCCGCCCCTAGAAAGCGTCGGCTCGTGTTGCGGAAAACGAGGGCCTCTTGGCTGGCGTGAGCAAAAGGTCCAGCGTTTTTTGTAGGTTTAATTAAACAGGGATCCTTACATTATACACCTGAACATTGCCTTGTGGTGGTTTTCCTTTATTTTCGTGGAAAAAGCCATGTTTCAAATGGGGTTCCAGAGGCAGATGGGAAGCCAGCCCTAACCTCCAAACCACCAACCCACACCAGCTAGAGGGAAGCAGAACATGCTTGAGCTTGTTTGGCCAATTCAGGTCCGAAATCCCCTTGATGTCTCTGAATCGACTTGTTGGTGAGTGACTCCGTGCCCGATTTCTCTTGGACACCATCAAACATGCCCTCCGGAAAAGACGGGCAAAATGTATCTTTTAAGGAGCCCTGTTTAAAAAAAAGAAGTGTTTCGCCAAACCAAAGATCATAGGGACTTTAGGCCCAAGGCTAGTTCTGAACTCGGCCTTAAAGGGTAAGACTGAACTCAGCATGCCCCCTGGCTATGGAAAAAAAAGTGGCGTGTGCCACACGCGCTTTCACCAAAATCATACGGCATGGGCCAGGGTGTATACTCTCAGCCTTCCACGAATTGGTGGTTTGGTGGTTAGGGGCTAGAATAAGCAGGGGTTAGGGGCTGCATTACCATAGTGTACGTGCATCCGGTTTTTTGTCGTAGTTATATTTTGTTCGTAGTAGTTATCATTTTTTCGTCGTGGTTAGAACGCTTGGTTATCCCCAAACCACCAATCCAAACCACCAATTCAGGGTTACCTGATGCTCATTGAGCAACCCGCCTTGGAATTCATTGAGCACCCCCTCCATACTAGTTTGGTGAGTGTCAATGTCCCGCCTTCAGCCAATACTGCCCGTTGCTAATGTGGAATGCTTGCTGCCCTTTTGCACATATGTTTGTCTTTACAGAACAGAGGCCCCTCGCACGCCTCGTTGTTGGCTTTCTTTCTTGGGGTAACACCTTAAGTTTTGACTGAGCTGTTGCCATTCGACGCACTGGCACAAGGGCAGAAATTCGGGTAAAGGGAACCGACGCACACCACGCCAATGTTCTAGCGTGGGGTTCAGGGTCGAGCCGGCTTTTCTGAAATCAAAAGTTGATCAAGTGAGTGGTGGTTTCCCTGGAAACTACGAGGCTCCACAAAGGGACATGGAGGAAACCCTGAGTTTTCCAGTTTTGATCCTTTGGCATGAAGCAAACTCTCACCCTTCAAGGCCCAACCAGGTCCAACGCTTTCAGGAATTCCTTGTATCGTGGCTAGCGTCGTAGGCAAGCAAGGGAAATCATTATGCAAAAACCTAGAGTCTTCGAGGTAAAGATAACCGGTTACCTACTACGGGGATCCGGAACCCTTACTCAACTGCAGGTGGGACCTCAAAGCGAACTCTGAACACATAGAGGGTGGTCAACTTATCCCTTCAGGGGGATTCCATTTCCCCTCCAGGAAGGCCAGAAATGCACCTGATGCCTCAAAATGGGGAACACGCAGAAACAAATCCCACAAAACACTAAAAAAAAAAGGCGACAAGGCCAAAACCGAGGTTCTATGTGGACATACTTGGGCGTCTTTCTTTGTGGGTACCCCATGTTTTGATGGCAACCAACAGGGAAACCATGGAACTTGGGGTCCCCAAAAAAAACGCCGCACCCACTTCGCCCCATTCATGGCGAAACAATTTCATTTAGATGCTGTCAACTCCAAGCTGGTTCAAGTCCCACCCCTCTTCAGCCAGGACTCCCATTTTGCGTTGGGTCCGCTCGCAGGGAGGAAAAAACTTTGCACTTGCTGTACGCACCTGAAAGACGACACTCGCTGAAACTCCAAAACCCGTTGTCTCGCCCCAAACCGAACTCTAAATGTGCTTCTTTTTCTTGGGCATGGAAACATTCGCCACCTTTGGCGAGTTTTCTGAGATGCTTGGGCAAAAGTTGGCGCGGACGTTCGGCAAAGCTTGTGGAGCCTCTTTCTGATCCAGCAAGCCACAACAAGTGAGGGTCCTGTACGGACATGGTAGTACCCGGATCGTGCGGAACCCCATTGTTAGGGGAGGAAACAAGAGTCGCCCCCTCCTCTAAAACATCCGGCGTGGTTCACATGAGACTTGAACAAACCCGATGCAACCGAAACCTCCGCGTGTGTTCTTCGGCCCCAAGTGGCTCCATGACCGCTTCCTGCGGGTCCATGCACTTGGAGCCCAGTTCTTGGGTCAAAGAGACTCCAGGTAGCCTTTTCCAACACCGAAAGCAACAACCGAAAGAAGACCCCAAGAGTGAGACGCCCAAAGTGATCACCGAAACGATTTTGTTCACTTGCAAAAGTAGTAGGTGAAGCTGAAGACTCCATGACCCCTAAGAGTCAAACTACATCCATTTGCTTTCGTCCAGTGGAAAACGTATGAACAATCAGTGTTTAAATCCTGCAGAAGAAAACGCACTAATATTTGTTTCAGCAACTGGAAGACTACATGGGTTCCCTGAATCTCACCATTTCAAGTGGCAACCGGAAACCCAAACGGCCTGTCCGCAATCCGCAATCCGCTCGCTTTCGTGGATTGGCCCTGTTGACCCCGGAAGAATAACCCCCTGCTTATTAATAAATTGGGACTGGGCTGTCCTCAGATCCCCGCTCACTTCGCTAGCTGGGTCCCTAAGTGACAAAGCTAAGTTGGGATAGCTGGGAATTACCACTGAAAGCGGTCTGAATCCCCACTAAATCCAGAAAAACACCCACCAACAAAAAACTGGGGTTGATGCATCTGGGGGTCGCATCACCAAAATGGTCCAAAAACCCTCAGTCTCCATTCCAGGAAACTCAGTTCCTGACAAAACAAAATGGGCCCACCCCTGCCTTCATGTGCACTTTCGTCCCCTGGAAAAAAGTCAACACATATTTCCGGTAGTGAAATCGATTAGCTTTGCAACCAACAGGAGAAAACACAACACATAATATGGGTTTGTGTCAAAATCGGGAATCCCTTCCAATGGGAACCATTTCACCAACTGGCTGTGGCTCAAATAAATGCACCAAAACGACACCTAAAGGTAAACGGAACCAAAGACTAAAACCTGCGAAAGCCTAGCTCTTTAATTTTGAGCCACACCCAAATGTCTGTCGGTCAAAACCCTGTACCCCTGGTGAACTTGAAAATAAGTACATGGGTGTTCATCCGCCCATGTAGAAGGTACCAAAACGGTTTTGAGCCACACCCAAATGGCTGTGGCTCAAAAAACCGGTACCAAAATGGTTTGCCCTGGTAAGTGGAAACATGGACCAAAACCTGCGCAACCCCTTCCTGTTGAATTTTGAGCCAAACCCAAATGACACCCCGCGCTGCTTGTTCGTCTTTTCTCGCTTCGCCGCGTTTCGAGAGCAACCACTGGGCGACTTTCGAATGGCCGGCCGCCTGCGACCGGAGCGCGATTTCGCCCAAAACAGCGGAACCGCCCACTAGCTGACACAAACCACCTTCCGGGTTTTGGTTGAATGAACCAGTTTGGGGGTTCCCTTGTAACGAAGACCAAATCGGTTGGATTCTAGTTCATTCCAATTCCATACTTTTCAGCTATCGTTGTTTTCAAAAACCGATCGCCATGTCCAACCGTTTTCTTTGTTTGTGGTTTTCCAGAAAGATCCGGATCCCTGGAAAGAATGGGGAAGTTACCCCTAGAACTTCCAAAAATGACGGCCAAGATGAAAAGGCAAGGAACCGACAGCTCAGTCATACCAAACGATACGGGGCTTTGGGGCACCGTTTCGGTTTCTTCACAAAAGTTGGTAGGTCAGTTTAAGGGCACTTGAGGTTTTCTGCGCACTTGGAAGGGAATAGTCAAGTCGGTTTGGCAAAAACAAAGCTATCTAACCGAACATACCTTAAAGAAGATAGGTCGCCTTACGACCTGATCGGAGTCTGATCGAAGGCCTCTGAGTTCACATTTCTGGTGGGGCAATTCTTCCGAGTCGCAGTGAGAAGGATCCTCGCCCTTCAGGCAAGTTGAGTGGATGAATGCAGATGCGTCCTAATGGGAGCCCTAAGTACGAAGGTGGCTGAAGAAGTGTTTTTCTCTTCCTTTTTTTCCGACACACCTTGCAACAATACCGGCCCACTATACCTTAAATTCGGCCAACGAGCCATGGCCATTTCTCTTAAACCCAAAGTCGTGAACATAGCCAAACAAGAAACCACAGAGTCGTAATCACATCCTGGAGTGGACAAATCCAAAAGCCCACGGTACTCCGACTCAACATGATTCGAGTTCGGCCCAGCTATAGAATGTAGCTTCTATTGTTTGCTTCACTTTGGGTCCTGGTAAAATGTAAAATGTATCCTAAGTCTAAGAGTCTACCCCAGTCAAAAGGGCGCGTGTATGACGCACCGATTTTTGTTGACAAAGGACCTGTCCAACTCTGGGGCCGGAACTTCTGAAAAATCGAACCCCTGAGCCCTGGCTTTCGTAGAGGGTCAATGGGAACACCGATCCAAACCAGCGATTTGTGTTGGTGTTTTGCTTAGGGTCGATATTTCTGCTGTTTTTTTGTGTTTTAGTTTGGGAGTTGTTTAAGCCAAAAAGCCGAAAAGCCACCCACCCTAAAAAACACGGGGAAAAAAAACTAAAACAAAACGAAAACAAACAATCCTAAAATAAATGGCCCTCCTTTGCTTTTTGCCTGTTTGATTCTTTGTTTTGGTCTGGTTTGTTTTCTCCAAATCAAGGAACGAGGGGAGCTGCAAAAGTGCCGTCGTCCCAATGGCTCCCAGGTCCCGGCCCCGAGTATCGCCCCAAATGTCCCTCCGACCCCGAGGGCTCCGAACAAAAAAAAATCGGCCTCGTTCCTGTTGGCCTCCTTTTGTCACATAGCGACACTGGCCCAAAAAAAGAGGCACGCCGAGCTCTGCGTTTTTTTTCTTCTCCCGCTGAAATGGTCCCAACTTGCAAAACAGAAGCTTGCTGGCGCGATAGGCAGGGAATCAGAAATGGAATGACCCCAAGAGAAACCGTCCAACTGGGTTCCTTTAAGGGGACCCCCCAGGTTCACCCCTCATTCCAAAAAAATGACTAGCTATATAGGTCCTCCAGTAGAGAGGTTAGAATAAGGCTACCCTTTTTTTCTGTAGTCAACTATCCCCCCTACCTTAGGGGGGACGGGGTACGGGGTTCCCCATGAAAGGGAAAATGGAACTATAAATGGAATTCCAGGGGTCACCCCCCTCCCCCAATTCCATTTTTAAGGGTGCGGGGATAGTCAATTTCAGTAGGGGAACCCTCCCAACCAAAAAAGTTGGTAGAAGGCACTACTGGGGGGCCCAGCTAAAGTCCATGAATCCGGGTCCTTAGTTTACTTTTCCAATAAAACTCGAGGATACTGAGAGAACCCTTTGCCAAGCCGCGGAGGGGGGGGGGGGCAAAAGAAAAAGAAACGATTCAGCTGGAGGAAGCAGCACACAAATTGGAAACCGTCACCTCAAGTTATGGAGAAAAAAGCCAATGGAAGGGAGGGAAGCCAAGTGAAGCAAATCAACCCAAGTGAGTATTTGGGTGTCTGTTGTTTCCATGTGACCCGTATCGCCCTAGGCCTGGGCCACGTGCCAGGTGTGGTACCCCGCGGTGGAAGCTGCATCCAGCTGCGCGCCTAGTTGATGTGATGAAAGCATTGCCTCATTCGGAGTTCTCTCAAAATAGGGGGGTCTTTTTGCCACCTTTTCTCTGCCAAAATGGGCGACCCCCCTTAAAAAGGAATCCTTCACTACCAGGGGGTCGAGCAATTTTCCACAAAAGGTGGCAAAAAAAAACTGTCTCAAAATAGGACATGGACCCCCAAAATTGGCGGTCTTCCTTTTTTTGTTGCTGGTGCGCCTGGTAGGGAATCTGGGAATGAACCAAAGAAACCACCGGTTGGATGGTTTGTCTTGGGGTCATTCCCTCATTCCCTGCTGAGCACCAGCAAGTTTTGTTCCCCCTGTGAATTGCAAGAATCAGCGATTTTACTAGAATACGGGACCAAACATTGATACGGACCGGAAGCGCCTGCCCTCTGCGATCCGTCGACTTTTGGTTGGAACCTGGTTATTATGGTTTGGCCTTGATCTTAAACCAGGTCGTAGAACCACCGGTTACCTGTATATTTCCCAGTCGAAACCATGCAGCCTTGGGCTTCCTCCCGTGCAGCTTGCCTGCAAGCAGATTCCTGCACTCTCAGTGATCTTTCGTCGAAGGTTTCCTCCGAGTGCCTTTAGGCCTGTTCAACCGGCAAGCACCACAAATGGGAGCTCAGCTCCAAATCCAAATTCCACAAATGGAAGCTCAGCTCCAAATCCGAATTCCACAAATGGAAGCTCAGCTCCAAATCCAAAATCTGCTGTGGCCACGAGTTCTTGGCAATGGGGTCTTGAGCTCTGCCGCAATGTCATTCTCCACTTCTGGCCAACCTCTCCGCTTCAGCCCAGTTCCAGTTCTGAGAAATTATCTTGATCGACGTTGGGTTTGGGGAGCAAACAATTAAAACCAAAAACAGTAGTTCAGTGGGAAGGGAGCAACACAAAAAAACAACAATAGCAGTTAAAACATGTTCTTTTTACAACAAATAGCTGTTAAGTGGGAAGGGAGCAAAAAAACAAAACAATGGCAGTTCAGTGCATTTGGATTTCTCACTAAACCACAATACGCAAAAATGTGAAATGTTTTCCAACAACAACCATGTTATGGTGCTTTGGGCACTGCGCATTTAAGAAATGGGACTTTTGTAAACCAATGGCATTTATTTAGACCAACACGTGCTCCCATGCCAGCCGACTGTCACAAGAGGGCACCTCGAGAGTTCACAGCCCTGTAAAACACAAACGTCATTGCCACAGGTATGAGAGTGCCGCGAATTGGTGGTTTGGAGCCCGTGGTTTGGTGAAACGGGGGTAGTTTCCCATGCACCCTCTACAAGAACCAGGGGTTCAAGTCCGAATCCTGAAAAAACATGCGCCCTTTCGAAGAACAACCGCCCAAAGTGACAAAGTCCAATTGCCCAGCTTCAAAATCCTTGCCTACAGTTGAACTTGTAGCGGATAAAATGGAAACCTCTAATAACCCCCAAAAAGCTAATAATTAAGAGCCTGGATCGCCAGTTGCTGTTTTTGTCCATGCACTTTACCTCAAAAACCAGCAGTGACTGAAACAAGCAGCAACTTGGCTATCTAGGGGGAAACAAGCTAAAGCTTTGAACTTTTTAGTGGGTAAAAGGGACACCCCCAACCACCCAAAAAAACAAAAACAAATTAGGGGATCGGATGGCTGGGAGCCACCCAAGAAAAGCTCCGATTACCCCCCCGCCTTCCGCGGCCAGGAGCCGCAGCATTTGGAGGTGCCCAAACTGCGCAGCGCCATGCGCCGGCGTGGCGCCCTGCGCAAAGGGCGAGGTGTTGTTCGCTGTGGGACTGGGGGAGACCCTCGATGTACCACCTGAAAAAATATATTGCCTGTTCTCAGCAGAGATTGACTTTAAAGGAATCCGTACAAAATGGTTTATAGGAGTCATTGAATTGGAGCCTTAAAGTTAAAGCCAAATCAGTCTAAATGAGTCTGTGTTTTTTGAGGTTGGATGGATCCTCGGACCCCTACCGGAAAAACAACACGTGTAGTTAGCTTCCCTCCAATTGGTGGTTTGGAGCCTTTGGTGGTTAGAGGGTCGTTTCCCATTCTACAAAAGCCAGGGGTTCAAACCACCAATCCAAGCCACCAACTAAGCAACCCCCTGCCCAAACAAAACAACAACAAACACAAAATATGTTTTGCTCAAGTCCCCGGGGAAAACAAGGGACAAACAAGGGGAACCAAAAAAAAACGATGTGATAGATCCCCTTGAAAACCAGAGGAACACACAAGACATGTTCTAAGTTCGACCCGAGATGGCTGGCTCTAGCCTCCTCATCCTGGACGTTGACGTCTGCTCGACGCGCAATCCTCGGATCGGATCGGCCCCATCCCAACGGGAATCCGAGAACTTCCACCTCTTTCTAGTGCTACCTTCCCCATTCTTTCCAGGGATCCTTCTTTCTAGAAAACCTCCGGAAACCCAGGGAAACGGCCGGTTTTTGAAAAGAACGATGGTTGGAAAGAATGGGGAATCAACCCTTAGACTCTTGGGCGTGTTCTGCTTGGAGTGGGTGCTCCTTTCCATGTAGCTTTGAAGGGAAAACCGAAGGGAGAACCACGATGATGAAAGGGTCGCCTAAAAAAAGGACGCACCCAATGGCTTTTTTGCCCTGAAAGGAGGGAACATATCTCCAGCAGTGATGGATTGCTTGAAAGCCAGAGGGAAAGATGGAAGCTGCGGGTCATTTGCTGCCCCATGCAGGCTGGGGAGTTAACGCACCGTTTAGACGACAAGGGCAAACAACAAACTGGAAGCGCGGGGGCCTGTGCCTTTTGTAAATTCAAGTTACGCCAGCACTTACCTGGGCCGAGAACCTGAAATTCCCTTTAAGGGTAGTTTGAGGGTCCAGGTATGTAGAAAGTATGAAAGGGTGGGTGGGTGTCCGGTTCAGTTAGAGTACGTCCTGACAAACTCTTCCTAGTGCGAAATTGGCACCTGGAACATGGAACAAGCAAGCAATTGCACCGAAACCGACGCGTGATCTCTGGGGTTGCCGAACCGTTTACTCTTAGTTTTCGCACTTGCAAACACAACACCAATCTTGGTTGCTGTGGAGCCCTCTGCAAAAAGCCACATAGCTATAACAAAGGGGGTTGCCAGTTTCCTCTCAGTTTCCCCACAACAACACCAAAGGCATCCCAGTGGCATTCTCAGGATCTCTGAGACTGAGCCTTGTCGATCTCAAAAGGTAGTAAACTTGCTTCCTGGTGGACCAAAAAACAAGAAACTGTTTGTTTGCCACTAAACTGGTCTTCCAAAAAAGCTTATAAAGTCAAGGACCTCAGGGAGAGAGAAAAAGGATATTGAACATGAACCGCGGTAAATGATATTGCTTCTGCGGAGAATGGCAAATGTTAAACCCCGAACCATGCTTTACAGTCAGATCCTAGGTCAATCATACTTCAACAACCCATATGAGCCACGGTCAATATGTGTGGTGTTTCACACTGTCATGGGATTTTGGTGGAAATCAAAGGCTAACCTTTTGGCACCTTTACGAGTTAGTTCCAACTTTTCACAGCCACTTTTTTGGGGGTACTTGTTTCTTTTAATTTTGCAAAGAAGACTAAAATGGAAACCACCCATTTTAGAGGGTATGCCTATTTGCCACAGTGCCATTTTGGGTACCGCAAAAATGCGCAGCCAAATGATGCTTCTGGGTTCGATGTACATCTGAAGACCCGGGACTAATTAAGGACGGTGTCTTTTTGTTGAGGGTAGCCTTTGTTTGGTGGTTGCAAAGGACAAAGGAAGACCGAAATCCATCTAGGGGGGTCCAAATCCTAAGAAGAGACGCACTCACAGAGACTCTAAGCCACGCTGTACGGGTCATCTAAAGTGAATCCCCTTGGTCTTGATGAAACCTCTAGGGAGACAAGGTGGCCGTGGGTCAACACCGATGGGATCCCATTTTGGGGTAGGTGAATGCGCCACCCATTTTAGTCTACTTTAGTGGGGATTGGGATGTTCACTGGGGGTACGAAGTTTTGACCCATAGACATGTCTCTGCTAAATGCTGTTGAATTGACTTCTTCCCCGCAAAGGACATGGAGAGCACCTACAAAGGCACCTGCAAAGGCACCTGGCAGATGAATTTCCTCAAAGGAGCCTCTGTCAGGTGTTAGGGTATTAGGGTACATTTTCCAACATCCACGGTATATGCCCCTGCCATATTGCAAGTAAACCAATCACACCCACCAAAACATGTTTGAAATTAATGTTGACCCCGGATTAATAAGCCCCAGTTTATTAATATGGGGGGTGTCCCCGGTTTTAGCGGCGATTTATCACTTTGGAGGGGAACACCCGCATATTAATAAATAGGGGTTTATTAATCCGGGGTCCACATTACGGTAAACATTAGGGAGTTGCCCCTTTTTCCCCTTGCACTCTGGCAGGGCACCCACCGTATCAGCACGCAACGCGCACCTCCGGCGAACCCACCTCAATCGCTCGAGCGAGCGGCAAGAGTCGCATGACCGCCACGTGGCCCTCGCCCATGAGGAAATGCCTCGCTCAGGCGGTTCGTTGGGTTGGGAAAGAGACCTCTGCGTGCTCAAGCCTAAAGAGGACACCACGAAGGGGCCCCGACTTTTGAACAACCTTCACATGGCTGTGGGTCCAAAATCGGTACCCAAAATGGAACCCTGGTAGATGGAAACATGGAGTAAAACCTGTGGCCCCCCGGTGGTTTAATTTTGACCCATACCCACATGTGCCCCAAAGGGCAGTTCAAAATGGAGGGTTTGGCCAATCCCAATCCGAAATCCCTATAGGGAAGCCACTACAAAGGTGGTCCCTTGCGTACTCCAAGGTAAGGATGAATCAAGAGATAACCATGCCACAAGAAACCAACATGCGCTTGGCTGAACCAATGTCATCCAATATCCCCTAACTGCTTTGCTGCAGTTGCTTCTGCTGTTCTTCTTTGTTGTCGTCGCTGTTGTTGCTGGACTCAACGCTAAACTAAGGCTCAAGAGAACCAAGTAAAGGATCCGTAACCACAACGGAGGGCATGGTTTGTCTTGTGTGTCCCCCGGCTCACATCTCCACCCCCGAAAACCCAGAGCCCCCTGTCAACCCCCCCACACATGATGTCCCTTACACGTATGCCAAAGCCGTTTAAAGGGGTGTGCGGCACCCCCGTTCCACACATTATTTTTGAGGGTCCTCTTTTCTTGTTTTGCTAAATGCTGACCAAAAGGACAAGCACAACTTGTTATGTTTTTGTCTTTTGTACTTCTAAAAAAAAGCAAACCACATGTTTGTCGTGGCCCCCTAAAAAAGACACCCCCACCCGCGAAGCCGCTTGGGGTGGGGCGCGATCCTTCCGGCCTCACTCCTTTGGCGTCTAAGGCAGCGGCAAGGGCCGAGCTCCATAGAAGTCCCCGACGTTGGGGTCAGCCTGACGGCATGTCAAGCCCTACTCATGGGGGCTGGGGGGGAGGGAGGGGAGGGGGTGGGTGCCCAAATAAGCCCTAAATAAGGCCATATGAAAAGGGCTTAATATGGGCTCCCTCCCCCCCCTCCTCCCTCCCCAGCCCCCATGACCTACTGGCCCTTCTCGGCCCGTTGCGCCAGGCCCATGGATCAAGCCAAACCATCCTCGCGATGGATAAGCCCAGCCCCGCTTTTCAGCGGCTTTTGCAAAGAAAGAACAAGCGGGGATATGCCAAACGCATCCATATGGGTGTGGCTTCAAATTCAAGACCTAGAATTGCGCAGGTTTAAGTCTTTGTTGGCCATTTTCCAAGGTACCATATGGGTGGATCGTCCTTTTTGCTGAGGCTCGGTGCCCTGTTTCATTTTGCTGGTTGGTGTTCAAGGGAAACCGAAAGTCAAAACCATCATGCCTGGGGTCCCCGTTTTTGGGGCACGCTATGCGCCAGTCAGAACTCCTTCTGCGGGCCAGCGTCACTGCTCGCTTGAGACCAGAAAGAGGCTCTTTCAACTCGGGGGAGAATCAACATGTTTGAACCAAAACCTGGCCCAGCCCGGGTTAACACCCTACTGGAAATATGCCTTTAGAATAGGGATTTGAACCACCATGGTAAGGGTCAATGGCCCGCAGTTACTCGTAGTCGCCAAACATGGGTCAGATGCAGTGAATGGTTCCCTTATGGCTGTAAATCATGAAAACAACAACGCGGTTGGTTTGCAGTGTCTCACAATAGCATTCGATCTGGGTGAGTAACCTCTATTCCAAAATCAGCAACGTGAGTGTGAATGTCATTGCCTTGAGATGGCGGTGAGTATTGACTGTTGCCCTCCAGTTGCTCTGCCAAATGAACATATTTCCACTAGTGATAGATTCCATTTAAACCAACGGGGGCAAATCAAGATACTGCGGATGGACGAAAACCATTTCGCAGCACCTACTCTTCTATTTGCTCAAGCTCCCTGGAAAAAACAAGCATATGTCCAATGGTGAATTCGATTCCCTTTTAACATGGCTATGGGTCAAGAATAGGTACCAACATAGAACCCTGGAAAAATAAAACAAAAAAGAGGACACATGGACCAAAACCTGCGGTCCCCTGATGGCTTCATTTGGACCCAGACCCAAAATTCATTTCACTATTTGAGTTAGGCCCAGTTATAGAATGTATATGTTATTGGTTGCTTCACTTTGAGTCACTGGTAAAATGTAAAATGTATCCAAGTCTACCAGCAAACGGAAGTCTTACGCAAACGGCAGTTGACCCTTGCTCATTGCTATGAAAACTCAAGCCTTTGGTCTACCTCAGCATCCACGGCTCCTCCCGGGTCATGCTGTGTCTTCTTTGAGGACCCCATGGATTTCTTGGTTTTAGGACCCGTAAATGTTTAGTTTACTCCTTCTTGGCTTCCTTTTACCATCCAAGGCTGGCACCAACTCCAAAAACAAACGAGAGCCCAAATTTATGGCCTCTCATGTGTGTTTTCCAGGACCCCAACATGGATTTTGGCGTGTTTCCTTTTAGACCTGGACAAAGAAAATATGTTCAGTGGTGAAATCGATTCCCTTTAAAGCGAAAAAAAAGGGAACATATCAACCACATTCATTTCAGCAAATGGAAGAAAGGTACCAACTCCACAAGACGCTTCCAGGCATCCCTCTTGGTGGACCCATTTTGGTTGAGACGACCCCTCCCACCTCCATCTCCAGCAGCACCTTACACACCTCGCTGTGCCCTGTGGTGGCCGCCCAGTGCAGGGCACCGGCGCCTGCGACTCTGCCAGCGGCTCCACACCCGCACTGGGCGACATCGAGCGGCTTTCCGGGTAAATCCGAGGGTCGTAAAAAAAAAAAGGTGTTTCCATGTGTAAAACCGTAAATCAATGGTAGGACATCGCTTCTAAAATGGATTTACAATGGTATTGAAGATTCATTCAAGTACCCAAATCGCATTCTACCTTTTTTTTTAAATAACACCAAGAAAGCCTTCAGCTAGCAACTTGAGGTGCCGTGTGAAATGGCCAAAGGGGGGTATGTCAAAAACGGGGGGACCTCCTTCTTTGGGCCTTCAAGGTGGCTTCCCCGGAGACTTCAAAAAGTGAGAAAAAGGGCTGGCAGCAAAACACGTGTCACCCTTCAAAAACGCCGCACCCATCTGGGGCTTGATCGCAATCCATGCCGGCCAAGAGGAATCAACCGGCAAAAAGAAGCCAAACCTTTGCAACACCTCAGAAAACCATCTCCCGCCCCACAAGAGATAGATGACTGTAGCCGTTGTCTTAGCAGAACACCCCTTCGCACGCTTGCGAGAAACAACCTTAGCAAACCAAAAAACGGTTGGAACAAAAGGACTTGCAAACCCACCAAGTGTCTGGGCCAAACCATATTCAAAGGTTGTACCACATACCCCTTATGTGCGGGCATGCGGTAAATAAGCTCATCATACCGGGCCTATTTGGGCTCCTTTCTCCGGGTAGGTTGTTTCCTTTTGGTTTCCTATTTTGGCTCCTTCGAGGCTCCGTCCCATTTTTGGGTTGCCACATCCCTTTTTTTTGAAAGGTCTATTTTAGTAGGGAACCCTCCCGGGTGAGAAAGGGCACCTGTCTGGGGGACCCAGTCTTGGACGTTGCCCCACAAAAACATCCGGGACTTCCAGGTAGGTCGTTTCCTTTTGGTTTGCCAAATCCCTACCTCCCATATCCAGGTAGGTCGTTTCCTTTTGGTCTGCCGTCCTATCATTGGCTTGCCGCGCATCCCTAGGCCCCGCGCCTTGCTCATCCCGCGCGTCCCCAACTCTCCGCGCCAGCGCCCTCGCCGCCACCCCGTGCCCCCGCGCCGCCGCCCAGCGCAGCGCGTGGACGCCGACGGCGGCGTCGCCGGACCCTGGGTCCAGCAGCCGGAGGAGGGGGAGGTGGCCGTTCCAGGCGGCCCAGTGCAGCGGCAACAGGCCCTCCTGAGTTGATACCCTTTAAAGTTGGTGGGGTTTGTAGGGAGACCAAAACGAAAACCGACATCCATTACAATAAAAAAAGAAGCCTCCACAAATGCAACGCCTCTTGACTCAGGCCGCCTTTCCGCCCCATAACCCCAAATCAATGACTAGTGATCCCTGTTTACCGCAAATATTGCAGCTGGTGCTCCCTGCGTAACGCAAATACAACTGCTAGCGCTCCGTGTATAAAACAATACAAAGCGGCACTCGAAAAAAACATAGCACGGGATATAGAACGGGAGATAGCCCCGATATCGCACATATAACGGCTATAGCGCTCCCTGTATATTGCAAACATACCGGCTGGCGCCCTGTATAACGCAAATATAACGGCTGGTGCTCCCTGTACCACGCAAATATAACGGGCAGTGCTCTCCGTATCACGCAAGTATACCGGCTGGCGCTCTCTGTGTAAAGCAAACATAACGGCTGGTGCTCCCTGTATAACGGCAATATATCGGCTAGCGCTCTCTGTACAACGTCAACAAAACGGCTGGTAGCCTTCCCTGAACAACGGCAAAAGTGCTCCTTGTATCACGCAATATAACGGCTGGTGCTCCTTGACAAACGGCAACATAAAGAGATAGCACGAGAGATAGCGCGTTCTCCGTGTTTGTTCAGCGCGTGCAATTAGCGCGCCTCAAAGTGGTTCCAGCGCGTTCTCGTTCTTTTCGCAACCAGAGCGCCCGAAAGTTTTCACAAGCGCGTGCAACATTTCATGCTGGCGCGCACAAAACACCCAGAAATGACCCCTGTAAACCATCCCTTGTGGTTTCCTTTACTGGAATCCCCAAGTTCATTCCCTCATTGCCTACCGCGCACCAGCACGACAAATGGAAACGCGTGAGCCCCAAAAGAGGTTAGGTGCCCTTTTTTCTGTAGTCCTTTTTAGTATAGGGGAACCCTGCCCCCAAAAAAAGGGGTAAAAGGGCTGGGGGACCTAGCTAAAATGCAAACGTGTCAGCCCCAAAATCTCGGCCACGGCTCTCCTCGTTGAGCATTCCGCCCCCCGCCGGCGCCAGCAGCGCCGCCGGCGCCGCGAGCGCCGCGAGGGCCGCGCGCGCGCGGTGGACGTCGCCAAGCACCGCGGCTCGGTGGAGGGGCGGCAGCGGTGCCACGGAGCCGATGAAGCCAATGCCCACCTGGAGTTGTCTTCAGAACTTCAGATTCCCTGCTAAAAGTTTTTAACTTTTAGCGGCTTGGTGGAACCCACTAAACAGACTAAAAAGCTACCTGGAGTCTCCATGACCCTTACAACATGGGTGCATGACCCTTTATTTGGGCTCATGACCAACTAGGACCTCCAGTAGAGAGGTGCCGAGGCTACCCTGTTTGGCTTGGTCCCAAAGTGGGGAGTGAAAGAATGAACCTGGGGATCAAGAAACCAAAGGGGATACGGATTTCAGGGTTCATCCCCTCTGAACATTTTGTGCCCGGCGCCCCTATTTACCCATCAACTCTACTAGGCCCTCCAGTAAAGAGGCTAGAAGAAGGGTACCAACTTTTTTCTCTGTCTATTTTAGGGGAACCCTCCCCCGAAAAAGTTGGTAAAAGGTCACGTAGCTGGGGGACCTAGGTTGTGTTTTGAAACCCAAAATTCAGCTTTCCTCCAATCTTGCTGGTGCTCAGTAGGGAATGAGAAATGGAATGAGTCCACGAAAAACCGCTGTGGCTTCCCTCCACTTGGTTTGGTCTTCATCATAGAACCTTTCAAGGTTTCCTTTTGTTTCCCTAGCCAACCCGCAAAATGGGCGGCTTGCGCGGTGGTTTATGTCAGAAAATACCTTCAATAGGAACTGGGTTCTCTTCCCCGGCCCAAACCCGCCAATTCAATCCACCAACGAGGTCACAATCAGAACGGCATACTGTTGACCCCGGATGAAACCCCTGGTGGATTAATGGGGTGTCCCCTTGTAGGGATTCATCACTGGAAGCACCCCGAAACTTCTGGGAGTGTTTGCCAACTGGGGATTCCCAATATGAGTCACAATCAACACCCGGTATTAAAATGGTCGATCCCCAGAACCATGCTTCAAGAATTAAGCCGGATATCCGCCTTTCTATTTCTGGCTGGGACTGCCCCTTACTAACCTTCATCTACCCGGGTGTTGATTGTGGCTCAACTAAGGGTTACCTGAAAAACGGCGCAACGGGTCAACGGGTTTCCCTAAACCGCCCAAGAAACACAAGGTGTCCACAGGAAAGGCAGGCTCCAATTGGGTCTCTTTTTTTCAGCGCCCTCTGTCTTATTAATGGGTCCCGGAGCCTGGTGTGCATCGACATTTGCTGTTGTTGTATGTCAACCACTTTTGAGGGTTTCTCTTTAAAAATCATAGCCAACGAGCCTAAAACATATTGTATGGCCTGGGTTCCCATAGGAAAAAAACATGGTCCAGCCTCAAACATATTGTATGGCCTGGGTTTTCTGGACATAAAAACTTGGTCCGGTGAGACACGTGCACCACTTCTGAGGCTCTTCATCGACACGCTCGCCATATATTTTGGCGTCTACCTACTCGAATGGCCTTCTAGGTTCGAACCCAGAGACATTCTTCTACCTACTCGAAGAACCTCTCAAAATGGAACCCGATAGGGGTCCCTTTAAAAGGAATATGGTCTGCCACCGGTTCCATTTTAATTGGTGGGAGGGTGGTTATGGTTTGTTGAAAAGCATCATGAACAAGCGATGTTTGCAACCCTCAAAGGCTGCAATGTATTGCTCAGTTGTTCAGTGACCCTGGAAAAAAAAGGATTGGAACCCTGTTTTTGGGGCTTGGACCATTTTAGTGGGGCAGCCACCCCAAAAAAAAATTGGGAAAAAGAATGGGGGCCACTGAAGAACTGAGACCTGAAAAAAAGTGGGGTGGGCAACAAAAACCACGTTTTGCACCTGCTACCCGTCGAAAACCAGGTTTTCGGTTGCAGAACCTGGTGTTGGTTGAAGAACCAGGTGCTGCTTCCGGAAACCCGTACCAAAAACCGTACAAAACCCGAAAGCCAGATCTCTCCTCTGAGAACCAGGTTATGTTCGGAACCTGCTTTTATGTTTGGAGTGGCAGGTGCGGGTTTGCCCTTCGAAATGAATTCAACACTTCAAAAGCATGCGTGATAGCAGAACCTTTCAAACACATGTCCTTTGCTTTCCCTGCAAACCAACCCTAACTAGGGTGCCTATGTGGGTGTGTCTCAAAATAGACCGCAAAAACAAGAAGAAACTCCCTTGCGTCCGTGTAAAACTTTGGGATTTGGGCCGGGACCCAAATTGGTTTCCAGTTTCCTGTTGGACTCCTTGACAAAGGGGACATAGGTACCCTCAAGAAACACAGACCACCAATGCGTCCTGTTGAAAACCACCTCGCGGAACTTGGGATGGAAGAACCCTTTACCAAACAAAGTGGGGCAACGATCCAACGGGGAGAAAGCAGACCGGAACAACCACCAACAAACGGGGGGGGTGGGGGGTGGGGAGGGGGGGGGAGGAAAACCAATTGGAGAAAATCAAGCCAAAGTGGGGAAAATCAAGTCAAAGCCGACAAATAGGCCTGGTCATAACCGAGGGACTTACTTGATGACTTGCAACTAAAAGTGGCGAGAATTCTCCATGATCCCGACTCCAAATGGTTCAGTACCTTGCCTCATCTGTGTTTGGAAATGATATATCTGCGGATAAACAGAAAATGGCCATGGGTCAAAATCCCGTACCTCCAGTGAACATCCCAATCCCCATTAAAAAAGGTGCTAAAATGGGTGGTGCACCTACCCCAAAATGGTACCATTGGTTTTGACCCACAAGCTTTGGACCCCCGCGGCTAGGTATCCCCGTTTCCTCTTTCGTGCAAGTGGCATTGAAGCTGCCCAGGCCGCAGGTGGCATGCGCCCAGCCGTCAGGCAGGTAAAGGATGTCCTCATGCGACGTGTTTCTCCAACGGTCCTCATCTGGGTCTGTTTTCAGATCCCCTAAAAGTTTGACTTTGGGTGGGTTGGCTGGAAACTACCACGAAAATCCGAAGCTGAACACCTGAGAGGTGGTTGGGGTGGGGGGCGTCTGGGAAATGGGGCGGAAGGCTGGTTTCTTCGACAAAATATGGCAGGACGAGTTATTGCGTTCAATCTCAGGGTCAAAATAATATCTTCCCATGAAAAGAAGAGTCGACACCCCTAAAGCAGACCCTTAGCATCACTCGGATCTTATATAGGGGGGTTGTCCAAGTGATGGTCCTCGGAAACTGTTGGTGTCCTTTTAGTTTCCCTTTACCAAAGGCTCGCTGGCTGAGTGGATGGCCCACAAAAAGTCCAAACTTTATATTTCCCACTAAAATGGTCTTCCGAAAAAAAATAAAGTTCATGAACTCTGGAAGTGAGAAGGGTGTCCACCATTCTCAGAGAACCCCAAGGCTGCAGGTGTCAATTGGTGTCTTGTTCGCTTGAGAGAACCGGCCAAGACAGTCTCAAACTGGTTCAACCAAAACGGGCGCATACGAGGAGGAGGTGTCCAGAAACCGGGAGAGTGAGCTTCACAGCAGTTTCGGAAATCAAAGCGGCTCAACGTTTGACGATTCCGAAAGAATGAGAAATGGAATGACCCCGAGAAAAACCATCCAACCTATGGCTTCCTCAATTTGGGAATCCCAAACACCGGTTCATTGCCAACACCCGGTCTCAGCCATTCCCCACCTGTCGTACCGCATGCCATGTGTCTTGCCGTGAAAAGGCTTGCCGTAGGGAAAGCAAAACGATGGCCGATGGTCTATTGAACCGACTGCTTGTTAGAGCCTGAAAGGGTCTTTGATTATGGCCCGTGTAAAATTTATACACGTCTACTATAACATGCCATGTATATGTGTATGTAAATATGTATATATATATATATATGTATATATACATATAAACGTGTATCATGGATATTATCATGTTTCTCCCTAAATTAGAATATGAGGTGCTTTATTTCTGTATTTTGTATTTTATTTTTATTTTATTTATTTTTTTGGGGGTGGGTGGGTTGGCAACTTTTGCTCTGAGTGGCACTAGGAACCAACATTTGCTCATTTTGCTCGGCCACCCTTGCCCTGAAACGCCCGTCTTTTTGGGCCAACAATTACACCGCTTTGCCATCCAGACCCTCCAAAGTGTTGGTGGAACATGTCCGTTCCCTTCCCAAACTTCATACATGTCGACTGAAACAGAAACGGGCGTCCTTGAAACGGCTGTCTGTGGATATTTGCGTAGGCAATACTAAACAGGGATCACCATGAACCCCCCACTTGGAAGAGTCCCTGAGTTTGACAAACTCCGAAATGGCTATGAACTTTGATTGGGGACGCTTTGACAGCATGTACATGGCACTGTCTGTCCACCAACGATTTTTGAGGCCATCCTTTTGAGTGGGGGAACCCAAGGAAAACCGAATCGATCCCGATGGAGGCTGTTTCTCCAAGTGTCGGATGGACCGGTGGTGCACTTGAGCAGTCTGAGAACACCCTCCGGCGTGTTCACCTCCACGGGACCATTGGACTTGTACCTGCAGGGCTTCCCTTTCAATTGGTGTGCGCTTGCTTGCTTGCTGGCTGGCTGGCTGGCTGGCTGGCTTGGCTTGGCTTGGCTTGGCTTGGCTTGGCTTGGCTTGGCTTGGCTTGGCTTGGCTTGCTTGCTTGCTTGCTTGCTCAGTCGGTTGGTTGGTTTGTCGGTTGGTTGGTTGGTTGGTCGGTTGGTTGGTTGGTTGGTGGGTCGGTTGGGCGGTCGGTCGGTTGGTTGGTCGGTCTCTTGGTTGTCCTTCCTTCCTTCCTTGCATGCATGCTTGCTTGCTTGCTTGCTTGCGTGCTTGGCTTGCTTGCTTGCTTGCTTGCTGGTTGGTTTGCTCGTTTGTTGGTTTGTTGGTTTGTTGGCTGCTTGGCTGGTGGATCGGTTGGTCGGTCGGTCGGTCAGTGGGTTGGTTGGTTGTCCTTCTTTCCTGCTTTCCGTCCTTCCTTCCTTCCTTCCTTCCTTCCTTGCTTGCTTGGTTGGTTGGCTTGCTTGCTTGCTTGCTTGCTTGCTTGCTTGCCCTTGCTCGCTCGCTAGTTTGCGTATTTGATTGGTTGTTAATTTGCTCACCTGTTTGCTTGCTTGCTCTCTTGCCTGCCTGTTTGTTTGTACCATGTCTGGCCTGGGTTGAAAGAAGATGCAACTCCTGTTGGACATACCAGTTTGGGTTTGCTGCTTTGGCTGAACCAACTGGATTAGCCAATAAACGGCTCAACCGTTTCTTCCATTTGCTAAAGTCCCTTGCAAACGATAACAACATGTTCAGTAGTGATAGATTATCATCAAACCAACAAGATAAAATACGAAACATCTTCATTTCAGCAACTAGAGGGTTTCTCTACGGCTGAAAGGACCCAACACCCCCAAACGTGTTTCTACCGCACAGGATCTCAGGAGCGCTCCGGAGACACCGGGAACCCATCGAGGGACTTGGTCGGTTGAGGCGGATGACTTCTAACTTCCCACATCTCTGGTTTTGCGCTGGCCTTTCAGGAGACACGTCCGAATGTCGAAAGACAAATGAAGCTGCGCGGTTTCCACCCAACGATGTTCAACAAGACACAGTCGGACAAATCAAAGGCCATTGAACCCTTCGAAGAGCCCCTTTTGGGGTCAGTCCTAGATGCGTTTTGCCCTCAAATACTCAAGTACTTCCATTTGCTTTAGAACATTGGTTGTTTTTTCTCGGGGAATCTATCACATAATCACTGGACCATAGATGATTGCTATTTGTTCAGGAGGACGAAAACGCAAATGATGTATGCAAGTATTGGGCAGTGGAGTGGACGTGGACTCCCGAAGCGCCGGGCCTTCATCATGGCCCGAGCTCGTTTTACCCTAAGCTCGCCATAAAATAGGCAGAAGCCTTGTGGTCTCGTGGCCCAAAGACGCAAAGTTGCTGCTTGGTCGAGGGAAGCCAAGGGACACCAAACAGTGTACTTCAAGGGGCCTTCTACGTCAGGGAAGTGGTTAGTAAGCCTGTACCTGACGTACCGAATTGATCGCCCCTTCAAGCATGTACCTCCGGGCTTTGGTTGAAAAAGCGGAACTAAACTGGGCTGTCTTCAGAACTTCATATATTCCCTGCTAAAAGTTCAACTTTTAGCGGTTTGGCGGAAACCCGCCCACTCAACCAACCAAAAAGCTACCTGGAGTCTCCATGACCCTCAGAACATGGGTCCATGACCCTTTATTTGGGCCAATGACCAACTAGGTCCTCCTGTAGAGAGGATAGAATAAGGGCTCCCTTTTTTCTGTAGTCTATTTTAGCAGGGGACTCCCCAAAAAAAGGGTAAAGGGGCACTACTGGGGGACCTAGCCAACTATTTTTTAGGGTCAGAAGGAGACTCCAGGAAAAAAGCTGAGGAACCGGATGGCTGGGAGCCAAGAAAACCAAAGCCTGCCTGCACGGCTGCGGCAGAAGGTCCACAGGCAATGGGCCGCCCCTTTCGCCGGCTGCGCCCACCAGCCACCTGGGTCGAAAGGGGGAGGCAGAAAGCAATTAAAGGCAGAGGCAGAGGGGCCCTTGTTGCTTGGGTGGATTTGATGCGGAGCCAAAAGAAGGTTGAAAGAGTGAGAGAGGGAGAGAGAGGAACGAGAGAACCCGGGATTGGTTTTGTTGGAGGGTTCAAAAAAGCTCAAAGTAACTCCTTGGAAGGTTTAGAGAGAGCAGTCTTGCAAAACAGCCAAGACAACATTTGAAGGCCCAACAATACTATATACCAGAAACGAATAGCGCACTATCCAAGAATTGTACTCCCAGTCTGCAGAACCGATCCCAAGCAAGACCCCTGTTTGGGTCAAACTGTTGGAATTCCGTGGCAAGGGAGAAACGCAAACAGGTGGACACCCTCAATGCACAGGGGCTTGTTGCTCCGTTGCTCTTTTTGAGCAAGATCAAGGAGTTTACATGTGGGTATGAGTCAAAATGATTCCACCAGGAAATCGCAGGTGTTAGTTCTTGTTTCCATTTACCCGGTTTCCATTTGGGGTACCAATGGTTGACCCTCACCCATGTTTGGTGTCACTGATTTTCTTCGGAAGGGCTTGGAGTGTCATGGTCTCATCGCAAGGGCAAAGCTTGCCATGGGAGAAGGGACGTCTTGGGCTGTCGCAAGTGAGAGATTTTGGATGCTGTGCTCAGATCCCCTGCGACAAGCTCAACTTGTAGCTTTTGGTTTGGTGGAAGCCCCCACTAAATCCAAAAAAGCTAAACAGCTAAGGAACCGGATGGGAGCCACCAAGGATAGATTCGCCTTGAAACCAACAGGGGAACATACAACAAGACTCTCGAGTGGAACCTGGTGGCTGCCGGGACGTTCACCCAGGGGTCCTAATCTGTGGGCCATGGTGATGGTTCTCTCAAAATAGATTCTTATCATGGGTGCCTAAGCTTTGCACGGAAAGGTCCATGACCATCCCAAATAACCATGGCGTGTCCAAGCGTGCAAGGACCATGGCAAAATTATCGTGGCACGCATCTGTGGCACGCCAAAAGCCCGGTGTTCAGATACTGCTTAATATTTGGTCTACCCTCATGACAAAACAAATGATGGGAATCTAGGTAGGGGTTGTAAGGGCATCCTTCTTTTTGGTTGTTCCGAAGCCGACCATTGTGGGATCGCTAGACTTGGAGACAAACCATACGAAAAGACCCCAAATATCTGAGAACAGGACACCCCCTGTCGGAGGTTGTCTCGCGGATAACCAAAAGGAAACAAGTACCCGCATGTCGAGAAAAAAACATAGGGGCATGTCTTTTTGTTGGGCTCTTTTTTGTGGTTTTGAGAGGGCACCCACAGGAAAACCGCACGTCGTTGCATTCCCCTACAAAAACACCCACAATGTGGATGGACCAACCTCCTGCACCGGCATTGGAAGAAGCCCTTATGCTGCGCTGATTCCCCGACCAACCGGATTCTGTGGCTCAGCCTATTACCTTTACAACCCTTAGTATGGGCCTGCAAAAAAAAACCTCCTTAAAACAAACAAACAGAACCCAACAACAACTGCACACTGGTGTTTGCAAAAACATGCCATTATTTGCAGCCGCCTGCTAAAAATGAACAAAAACTCAAAGACAACAACTTGACAGCTGTATTATTTTTGCAGCCCCTTCCTAAAAATGAACAGAACCCTAAAACAACTGCACACTGGGGGGGTAAAAAACATGCTGTTGGTTGCAGCCCCCTATTAAAAAATGAACAGAACCCACACCACCAAAAAACCTGCAAACTTGATGCAACAACCGCAAGTAGGTCCTCCAGTAGAAAGGTTCGAATAAGGGTTCCTTTTTTTCTGTATAGTCTATTCTAGTAGGGGGAACCCTCCCAACCAAGAAAGGGGTGAGAGGTCGGGCACCTAGCGGGACCTAGGTAAAGCTCCCCGGTCAAATCCTCGCCTCATGGCCTCGCACCGAGCTCCCCGGCAGCTTCTTGCCGTAGATCTGCGCCATCCAGGCCTCCTCGTGCCTGCGCGCCGAGGCCGAGGCCGGGATCTGCGAAGGTTCAGCCCATGGAAATCCAACCAACTCCAGCCTATTCATGCATATTAACTTATTAATCTGGGGGGTGTTCCCCATAAAAGGGTGGTTTTTGGCCCCTAAACATATTATTAATATGGGGGGTGTTCCCCAAAGGGGGGTGGTTTTTGGCCCCTAAACATATTATTGATATGGGGGGTGTTCCCCATAGGGGGGTGGTTTTTGGCCCCTAAACATATTATTGATATGGGGGGTGTTCCCCATAGGGGGGGTGGTTTTTGGCCCCTAAACATATTATTGATATGGGGGGTGTTCCCCATAGAGGGGTGGTTTTTGGCCCCTAAACATATTATTAATCTGGGGGGTGTTCCCCATAGGGGGTTGGTTTTTGGCCCCTAAACATATTATTGATATGGGGGGTGTTCCCCATAGGGGGGTGGTTTTTGGCCCCTAAACATATTATGAATATGGGGGTGCCCCCCATAGGGGGGTGGTTTTTGGCCCATAAACATATTATTAATATGGGGGTGTTCCCCATAGAGGGATGATGGTTGGCCCCTAAACATATTATTAATCTGGAGGATGTTTTTGAGAGGGGGTGGTTTTTGGCCCCTAAACATATTATTAATATGGGGGTGTGTTCCCCATAGGGAAGGGTGGTTTTTTGGCCCATAAACATATTATTAATCTGGGGGTGTTCCCCATAGAGGGATGATGGTTGGCCCCTAAACATAGTATTAATCTGACGGATGTTCCCCATAGGGGGTGGTTTTTGGCCCCTAAACATATTATTAATATGGGGGTGTGTTCCCCATAGGGGAGGGTGGTTTTTTGGCCCATAAACATATTATTAATATGGGGTGTTCCCCATAGGGGGGTGGTTTTTGGCCCATAAACATATTATTGATATGGGGGTGTTCCCCATAGGGGGGTGGTGTTTGGCCCCTAAACATATTATGATTTTGAATCGTATATGAAAAAGATAAGGATCGTCATCATAGCCGTCGCCTATCATCGTCATCATCATTGATGATAACCATAACCATCATCGTGCATCCTATGATGATAACGATGACTACGCATCCTCTGCATCTCCAATCGGCTCTAACGGCACTGTTCCCCATTGGGGGGTGGTGTTTGGCCCCTAAACATATTATTAATCTGGGAAGTGTTCCCCATAGGGGGTGGCTTTTGGCCCATAAACATATTATTAATCTGGGGGGTGTTCCCCATAGGGGAGTGGTGTTTGGCCCATAAACATATTATTAATCTGGGGGGTGTTCCCCATGGCGGGGGGATCACTTCGGTCGCAGTTTTTGGATCACTTTGGTCGCAGCTGAAATCCACTCACTTTGGTCGTAGTTTGAGCATTTGCGGATCACTTCTGTCGCAATTTTTGGATCACTTCAGGCGCAGTGGAAGGTAGCTTTTTGAGCACTAACAACAGGACACACGCAAAGGGTGTTGCCTCTCAAACACCTAACAACAACACATGCCGCGTGGGGTGGGGTCGACAAGGATGTTGCCTCTCAAACACCTAACAACAAGACATGCCGGGCGGGGTGGGGTCGACAAGGATGTTGCCTCTCAAACACCTACCAGCAAGACATGCCGGGCGGGGTGGGGTCGACAAGGATGTTGCCTCTCAAACACCTAACAACAAGACATGCCGGGCGGGGTGGGGTCGACAAGGATGTTGCCTCTCAAACACTTAACAACAAGACATGCCGGGCGGGGTGGGGTCGACAAGGATGTTGCCTCTCAAACACCTAACAACAAGACATGCCGGGCGGGGTGGGGTCGACAAGGATGTTGCCTCTCAAACACCTAACAACAAGACATGCCGGGTGGGGTGGGGTCAAGGATGTTGCCTCTCAAACACCATAGTCAACGGCGAAGAAACTAGGACCGAAGCGAGATGAAAACTAGGACCGAAGCGAGCCAGCAACTAGGACCGAAGCGAACCCGCGACCCAGCATAGGGGGTGGTTTTTGGCCCATAAACATATTATTAATCTGGGGGGTGTTCCCCATAGGGGAGTGGTGTTTGGCCCATAAACATATTATTAATCTGGGGGGTGTTCCCCATAGGGGGGGGGGGGGGGTTTTGGCCCATAAACATATTATTAATCTGGGGGGTGTTCCCCATAGGGGGGTGGTGCTTGGCCCCTAAACATATTATTAATATGGGGGTGTGTTCCCCATGGGGGAGGGTGGTTTTTGGCCCCTAAACATATTATTAATCTGGGGGGTGTTCCCCATAGGGGGTGTGGTTTTTGGCCCATAGACATATTATTAATATGGGGGAGTTCCCAATGGGGGGGGGGTTGGCCTATTCTAAAGCAAGGATTATCTGGTGGGTTTTGGCCCCTAAACCCATGATATGGGGGTGTTCCCCATAGAAGGGGTGGTTTTTGGCCCATCCAAAAGCGAGGATGGTGGTATATTGCTCAGCCAACTCCAACTCCAGCTTATTCGCAGAGGGGTGGTTTTTGGCCCCTAAAGCGAGGACTCCCCACATTTCACCCAGGGACACCCCCCAAAAAAAATACACTGGGGTAGATTAATGTGGGGTCAACATTGAACTTTTGGTGGGTGAAATGGAAACCCAACCCTTAAACTCTGAAAGGATAACCCAACAAAAAGTTGGGGGAGTGGCTGGAAACCACCAAGGGTGTGTTGGTGCAGAGTTGTGGTCGATGTGGAGAACATAGCCCCCTCCAGAACCCAGAATCCCCAGCCCACAACAATGAAGTCGATGAAGCGCAAAGCAAGTGGTCCACAAGTAACAACAGTCAAACGCAACGAGGCTCACACGTGCGCAGCTGTGTCTCTATTTTTTGGGGTTGTATTTATTCACTGCAAGTACCTAAGGTGCTAAATGGCCCATTGCAAATCTCCCCCCCCCATTTAATCAACAAAACATTCAAGAGGAGTGCCAAGTTGGACCTTTTGGGTTGGGACCAACCACTTCCCCAACCCTTTCACCATCAGAGCCAGAAATCCGCCCGGAGAACTCCAGGCAAACTGCTTCTCCTTGGCCCAGCCTAAGCCAGTGACCGAACACCACATTTCCAGGGTTCAGCTTCGAAATTCCTTGAAATCCGAGTTGTCTCTCCTCAGTGTCTTGGTTTAGGGAAGCCTCCAAAAAATGTGTGGCGGCCTTTTGGCTTCCCTTGAAAACCATAAATAGAAAAAGAACCCTCAGAAAAGACACACGCATAACGGGTTCAACACCTAAAAGGAGACACATGGTTCTGGTATCCAGATGCCAGTGGCAAGGCATGCCTAGGATCCAGGGTCTGGTATCATAGATGCCAGTGGCATACATGATGTATCATCCGCACTTGCGGACACAAAGGGAATAGCGTCATGTACTTTCACACCGATGTTGAGAGTCAAACCTGAACAGGATGGAAAACCTATGAAAACAGTGTGTGTGTGTGCAAAGCTCAACCCCCATCCCGGCGATATGGTGGACACTTGGGGTCTCGCTTGCGACATCCTTTTGGGACTGCAAGCTGGGCTTGTCTCAAAAATGGGGAGGGACCAAAACCTGCAGCTCGCCTTGCGAAACCGCCCATTTTGGTGGTCCCACCCAAAAAAGACACGCCCAAATGAAACAAAGAAATATACACGTCCTCCAGTAGAGAGGTTAGAATAAGGGTACCCTTTTTCTGTAGTCCACTTTGGTAGGGGAACCCTCCCCCCCCCAAAAAAAAAATATGGTAAAAGGGCACTACGGGGGACCTAGTATATATATATATATACATACATATTTAGACTCTAAGTGTCTCACTTCCTGAGTGGACTGGCCAAAGCCCAAACTTTTCGTTGGCCACCAAAATGGTCAAAACAATGTCTCAAGTCCATCCATGACACGCGGCCTCCAAAGCTACAATCGAATGTGGTTGCCGCATAGTTCCTGACAGTCCATCCCTCCCATCCACTCCCTTCTCGAGTGGATTGGCGAAAAAAAGTACCCAAACTTTCTGTTTCTCACTTCCCAAGTTGACTGGCCAAAAAAAGTCTGAACTTTTTATTTACCACTAAAATGGTCTTTCCAAAAAGTGTAAAGTCCATCAACTCAGGAAGTGAGAAGTTTACCGCTCAAACTCGGTCTTCGCAAAAAAATGACAAACACTTCAAGTTCAGGAGCTCCAGGAAGTGAGTCGACACAACTCCCCCCTCTTCCAACAACCCCAACCAACCCCGCGTCATCAACATACACCTTCACCCGTCGTCCCTTGATCCCTCACACCCCAAGCACTGAACCCAAACCAACACCTCACCCAACCAAACCCAACCCCGCGCCTTCATTGAACCCAAGCCAAAACCAAAACCTCACCCAACCAAACCCAACCAATCCCCGCGCGCCTGTGCAGCACCGCCGCGGAGTTCCGGCCCCCGATGCTCACCGAGGGCCCGTGCAGCCGCACCGCCGCCAAGGCCTCCGGCGCCCAGCGGCCGTCGGGGCCGTGGCGCAAGGCCGCGGCCACGGGGTGGTGCGGCCTAGGCGACGATTTGAGCGGCTCATCTCCAAAAACATACCCAGGCCCTAGCAAATCAAAATGGGGTTGGGGGGGTACTTCAACTAGGACCTCCAGATTTGAGTGGCTAGAAGAAGGGTACCCGATGTGTTTTTCGAGGGAGAACCCTGCCCCAAAAAAGGAACGGTAAAGGGTACCCTTCTTTTTCATTGTGTTTTTCGGTAGTCTATTTTAGTACGTAGGGGAACCCTCCCCCAAAAAAGTTGGTGAGAAAGGGCGCAGTAGTTATTCAGCATTCCCCAAGGGTTGCATGGAATCCAGACTCAAAATCCAGCAAGGGGGTTCCGGTTGCGGCAATTGGGGGTTGAGTGGCGGACCCTCGTCAGGTAAGTCGACTCGAAGAGAAGTGGATCCCTCTCAACTCCTGGCCACCTCTGGTTCCTTAAAGTAGAATACTTAAAGGGGCATTGCACTCCGCAAGTGGGAAATAACTATGGTTATAGCCCACAAAACCCAAGGGGCAGGGGAGAAAGAATGAACCTGTGGATTCCCTTATGGAACCATAAGGGGATGGTTTATAGGGATCGTCATGGATCATCCCCTACGAACATTTTGGGCCCGGCCCCCCTATTTACCCATCAACTCTATTCTAGCGGCTGCAAGTAGCTGCAGCCGCCGCCATCAGCCGTTGCCGCGTGTAGCACCGAGGTCCTCGGGGCGTTTTTGGGCTTTAACTTCAGATTCATCCGCACCCTTGTCGTTCATTGCTTGAGACCATGCTTCGTGTCTTCCCCTGTTGGTTTTGAAGGGATCTATCACATCTGTTTTTGTGGGGGACTTGAGCAAATGGACTTTGTGCTTGTTGATGTTTTTTGGGAACGGGGAGGGGTGTCCTCAGTTGGTGGTTTGGGCTGGTGGTGCACCGTGCTGGTCTGGGACGCCTCGTCTTGTGGTCAAGTGCTGAAACTCCCCTCGAAGTTCTCCCAAGCACCATGTGAAACAGGACCCAGGTCAGCTATTGTAGAGGGTTTTTGTTGTGTTGGGGTCCTCCGAATTCATCTGAAGTTGACATCATGCGCAGGAGCCACACCCGACGCTGTTGATGTCCGATTCTGTTTGGCCACCGCCATTTGCAAATGTTCGTGCAAGAAGGACCCCTGGGTTCAGAATGGGTAGAATCTTACCCTCTGATCTTGATTGACGTTGGAAGGGGAGCAATTGTAGCAGTTAAGTGGGGATTTCCCACTACACAATACGCAAAAATGTAAAATGTTTCCCACAACTACTATGTGAGGGTCGTGTCGGTCCAAAAAGAGCGGAGCCTAACCAGCTTGTCAACCACCGATTTTTTTGGCCGTTCGTCGGGTCCCTCGCGCAAGGAAAGTCGTGACGCAGGCTTTACAACCCCTAGTCTGCCCAAAGGGACCAGGAAATATAAAGTTTAGAATTATAGGGGACTAGGTCCCCCAGTAGTGCCCTTTTACCCTTTTTTGGGGCCTACTAAAATAGACGACAGAAGAAAAAAAATCGGGTACCCTTTTGGAAAAATATAAAAACGACGGCCCTAGTAAATGGGGCAACCCAATAAGCCAGTGGAAACCATCTATTTCCAACCAAAACTGGCCGACAACAAGGCCACCTAGGTGTTTTCTCACCAAAAGGACCTTGAACTGGACCGTTCTTTCAAAAGGTCCGAAGGCCGATTTTGGAAACCCGAGGTTCCAAAACCATCCGCTTGGAAAAAAGGTTCGCAACAGGCGATTGGGAAGAACTACAATGAGTGGTTTCCGTTTCTTTAAAACAACCCCAAAAAGCCAGAGTCGTTCTTACACCTACCCGACTGCAATGGTAACAAATTATACATGCAGCACATATATATATATATGGGTATGTATATATGGTCACCCCCACACCCCGGTCCACCTTTCTACTTTTGCACAGAAGAGAATCATTTTCCGATGTTCAGCCTCCACTTCATTTGTAGATACCTTGCATGAAACATAATAATATACAATGTACAGACTCAGCACATGCAGACAATCCCAAGCACAAAGCTCCAAAACCTGCGCAGGCTCGGAACAAATGCAACACATGCCAAAACCCAGATGCAACGTCAAATGCGAGGACTTGATTGGTCCATGTGGTTTTTTGATGGTATTGTTCGGCAACTTCTCGAGCATGTGCAGGTTTTGGAGCCCCTCATCCTCAAAACCGCCAGGCTGAAACAAACGCAGAACTGGTTTTGCCCAGCTGAAAGCTATGGGGTCTTTGCCCGGACCTATGGACCAAACAGGACGGTGCTTGCAAGAATAATGAATATCTATATATATATATATCTACATATACCCCCTTTTGGTTGGTTTACAATAGAAACCAAAAGGACATCCACCATTTCCCGAAATGGGCCCCGTGCGCGTTCTTCCGCGCGTTCTCGGCCAAGCCGCAGCCTGTTTTCAAAACCACATCTTGGTGGAAAATGTGCCCTTCTGCGGTGAACGTGTAACAAGAGTTGTCGAATAATCTAGGGGTTGATTCCAATTCCATTATTTTCAAGCATGGTTCTTTTAAACAACCAGCTATTTTCCCTGATTTTCCAGAGGTTTTCTAGAAAGAAGGATCCCTGGAAAGAATGGGGAAAGTACCCCTAGAAGAAAAAAAACACACAGACCCCTCAAAAACTCGAGCCTGAAAGGGGAGACACATCACCCAATTCTACAGAGAAGATACAGTGAAATTTATCTTGGGGTGCTTGTTTTTATTGTTCGTTCTGTTTCTTCTTTCTTTTTGTGGGGGGGGGGGGGAGGGATCGAAAAAAGTATATGTATGCACGGAAATATGTATATAGATATAGTTTGTGTACTGATATATATATATATATTATACAAATATGTACTATGTATATATATACATATATATATATAGTATTTGCTCAACTCAACAAGACTTGTTCAACATAAATTCGGCCAAACTGAGGTTCCCATCCCGCATTTGTATCACTTTAAAGGGGAGCTGCTTAGTATCCCAAAGTCTGATGTTCCACAATCATACCCATCTCCCGCAATGATCACAGCCCCAGACTTGCAGCATGCCTCAGCACAAGCAAGAAGATCGAGGTGTTGGTTCTAAGGTTTGAGTTTGTCTCATGAATCACCAAAGAAACATGGATTTGCAAGTACTGTTGGTTTCCCTTTTAAACGAAGACACGCGTACTCTCAAAAGGCCAACTTTGGCGGAGGATTCTGGCGCCAATGGACTCCGTGAACTCGTGTTCCGAGTATTGCTGTGCATATCTTACTTCCGATCAAGAAAGCTGAGTGGGCAGGCCAAGAAAAGCAACCGAGCCTGTTGTTTGCTCACTGAACTGGTCCAAATCAAAAAAGTGACTGAAGTCCTTCAAACGGAACTCTCCTCGCCTCGGCTTTTTCTGGACACACAGCTGCCATTTGCATCACACCATCTGGCTGGGAGAGGTTTGCCTTTGCCCCTGGCAAAAACATCCAAGGCCCAAGTTGGCGGCCCAAGGGAAGTGGGGCAGGGCTGTGGGAAATGGAATCCACTTCTGTGATACAACGTGACAAGGAAAAACCCTTGAACTCACTTCCTGAGTTGATGGACTTTAAAGTTTTTGCAAAGACCATTTTAGTGGTAAATAAAAAGGTCGGACTTTTTTTGGCCAGTCAACTTGGGAAGTGAGTGAATGTCGACCCCAGAATAACCACCCCCAGTTTATCGATCGGGTGTGCCTGGGTTTAGTGGGGGATCATCACTTGTGGAAGGGGACAGCCCCATACTGTGGATGGACAAAGTCCTGCATCACCTGAGAAACCATGGGAAACCATTGTTTATTGGAATTTACAGGGGAACCATCAGAAACCAGGGTTCCTTAGGTGCAGGACTTCGTCCATCCACAGTATTGGTACACTGAGGTTGATTCATCTGGGGTCCACATTAAGTCCGAAAGCGCCTTTGGCCCGTTGCGGCCCAGAGGAAAGAACCTCTGCTGATGGCGAGCCACGGACATAACCGGGCCGACTCACTGAATGGTTTGACCTTGGCTTCACCAGTGTGTCGGTCCTGCTCCCTTGGCAGCGAACCCCCCGGTTTATAAACATGTTGAAACCACAGTTGTTTGAGTATCGTCCGTTTGGTTTCAAGCGGATGCCTAGACCAACTGACGGTCGCCCTCGCAACAAAACAAAAAACGCCCCTGCCTCGATGCAGGTGGCTGGGCCGCACTCTCTGCGTGCCTCTGCGACACAGGAACTTGCTTGAGCGCGTTCGAAGAGCCAAACCCGGACCGCCAGGAAAGCAATGCACCAAACCCTGGCAAACCTGTCCTCAGATTCCCTGCTAAAAGTTTACCTTTAAACCCCACTAAACCAACTACAAAGCTAAAGAGATCTGTCAGATGTTCTAGCTTTTTGAGCTTTTTGGAAGTCCCCACTAAACCAACTAAAAAGCCAAAAAGCTAAGGAACCGGATACCTGAGAGCCACCAAGTCACCAAGGCAGGAAAGTACTGAGATCGAAACCGAAGCGAAACTTGCGGCTGCGCCTATGGCAAAGACATGTCACCCGGCGTCATAATCAAAACCCGGTATTAAAATGGTCGATCCCCAGAACCATGTGAAGAATGAAAAAGGAGGCCGCGGCTATTTATGGTTGGGATTGTCCCTTAACCTTCACTTCCCCGGGTTTCGATTGTGGCTCAATTGACCCCTTCGTTCTGCGTTTCACCTGCAAAACATGTGCTCCATTGGCGGAACAACGGAGCTCTCGCTTGCCCCAGGCGTGCCGCGCCTGAATGAAGTGAGTGACTGCTCCTAGAGCCACAAAACTGGAGACACGAACAAGTTGACTGCTCGAGACTCGCGGAAACTTGGAGCTTGCTGCTGAATCACCACGCACGCACCGATGCTCCAAACAGGCATAATCACAAACTTCATGCACATACACACAAAATATAATGCAATGTATGGGAATGCAATGCAGCGTAGTATAGTGATTGATTGTTTGTTTATGTATGTATGGGCCATACTGCATGGGTGCATGCCCTGCAGGCATGCATGTAGGGTATGTATGATTCATGCATGTGTCTGCCTGTAGGTGGGATTAGGTAGGTAGGTAGGTAGGCAGGAGGTAGGTAGGTAGGTAGGTAGGTAGGTGGGTAGGTGGGTAGGTGGGTAGGTGGGTAGGTGGGTAGGTGGGTAAGTGGGTAGGTGGGTAGGTGGGTAGGTGGGTAGGGTGGGTAGGGTGGGTAGGGTGGGTAGGGTGGGTAGGGTGGGTATAGGTTGGTACGTATGTATCCATAAGTGCATGTACGTACATGGATGTATGCCAGTCACTTGTTCTATTGATTGCTTTGTTGGGGAGGTGGGGCATGACGCTCGCAAGTCGTGCTCTAGGTGGACTGGTCCTATTCAAAATGTCACCATGGCTTCAAAAGGGCCTGTTTGGTTGAAAAGTGTCCACTCGGCGCAATACATTTCCTCCACGGGCCTGACTGCTTTCATACCCCAATTCCAGTCCCTGCCAAGCTCCGACGCCGGACCAAAAAATGGTCTTTTGAAAAGTGGGCTTCTTCCCCCCCCCTTTGGTGGTTTGGAGCGTGGTTTGGTGTTCCGAAAATACGGGCCAAACCCAAAAAACACATTCTCTTGCTGGCTCTCAAGCAGGGAATCACACGCACCGATGGCGAGTTCTAGGCCAGAGCCCCCCCCCCTTGCCCATCGGCCAATGGCCGGGGGCTGGGCCATGGTCTGCGAACAGCCGACTTCGGGCCTTGGAGCCCGACCGAGTCAAGTCCGAAGAGAAAACGTGTGGTAGCACCTCAGAATGTACCTGGATCAACCTGAAACCCGAAACTGTTTGGACCATGACCCCCTTTTTGGGCAATGACCTAGCCATTTACGGGTCAGGAGACTCCAGGCATCAATGGGTTGACACCAGACACCTTTCTCATGTGCCCGTTGATTCCTTGGCCAGGGATTCCATATACTAAAACATCTACCCGTATTTGTGTTCTGACTTAAGGTGGAAGAAACAGGTGGCTCCTCAAAAGCGAACCCTTTTTTGGATATTTAAAGAAACAACCCGAAGGAACACAACCGGATTTGTGGCCCCCTTTGAGAAACACCCGTGTTAGCTTCCCGCCAAGTGGCTTGGCTTGGTGGATTTGAAACCCCGCCTGTGAAGCCAAATGGAGAAGGTTCCCCCCCTTCGAAAAAAAAACAAAACCAAACCACGAATTGGGGGTAAGGCGAGTCAGCTTCACTCGCTTTTTGGCGGCTTGGAGCCCCGTGGTTTCGTGGTTCAGCAGGGGGAACCCCATTTACCCTCTACAAAACCAGGGCTTCAAATCCTCAAACCACCAACCCAAAGCACCAATTAAGGACACCTGAACATTTGTCTTCAGGTGGACATCCAAGAAACATGTTCATCCCTTGAACTCCAAGAGACATGTTCCTTCCTTTTCTGGGTTCTTTTGGGCGCGAGCTCCACAAGTATCGCTTCTTTGGCGCCCAGCCACATGTTTTGTGTCCTCCCTTCCTTCCTGGCGGGGGGAAATCGAGATCAAGGACAAGGGGCAACTGGGCCTTTACGGTGGGGTCAGGTGATGCGAATCAAATCAGGAAAACCATTTCAATTTGTGTTGGACTCCGCCACGGACACACACTCGCACGCACAAAGGCCTCGGTCGCGACAGGCAAAGCCGCAGACCGCCCCAAGAGGCTCGGAGACCCTAGGTAATGTTGAGCCTGGGTGAATAAAACCCGTCCTATTAATAGGGAACGCTCCCCCCATTGAATCCCCGCTAAAATGCAACATGTCAGTTTGCCTGACATTTTCTGATTTGTCCACCTTGCGAGTGGTTCTGAAAGCGGCTACTGAAGCAGCAATATCTCAAACAACATCTGACGCCCTCTGACTCTTCCACATTGCGAGCGGTTATAAAGGGGCAAAATCCGACGATTCCTCGACCTGTTTCTCACTTGTCCATCTCCCCTGCGGCTCCGCGCCCACTTTCGCCGTAGGCGCCGCCAGGGGCTTCCGAGTTTGGAACCCCAACCCCGCAGAACCGCGGCGCGGCGGCCCAGGAAGTGGTCCTGCGGGACATGGCTCTGATCCTAGGGGTTGATCCCAATTCTATTCTTATCAGCCATCGTTCTTTTCAAAAAACCGGATCGATCCGTTGCTTCTGGGTTTTTGATGGTTTCCTGAAAAGATTTGGATCCCTGGAAAGAATGGAATTGGAAGGTACCCCTAGAATGATGGGTGGGGTGTGGTGTGGTACTCTTTTACCTGCGAGTTCGATTTGCCAAGTTAGGAAGCGGTTAGCCACTGGGGCGTTTCGCCCCCTAATACCAAGGCTAACCGTACTTAGGGGACTTATGCGGGGGGTATAGCCGAGGTTGCCAACAACTTACTAACTTGGCCGAGCACAGGTCTGGTTGGCTGGTTCCCCTATAACTCTTGTTCATACCGACTTTGTCCCCTAATATGGTTGCTCTCCTTTAGATTTAACTTCTAATGCCGGCAAAGTCCGGCAGAGCCAGGGGAAGTTTCAAAAATACAAGCACTATAGTTTGAAGCACGCTTCTTTTCTCCTTCTCTCTCCTCATCTTTCATTCTTTCTTTCTCTCTCTCTCTCACTCTCTCTCTCTCTCTCTATCTATCTTTATCTATCTCTCTCTCCCTCTCTTTCTGTCTACTTCTCCTTTTCTTTCTCTTTGTCGTCGCCTGGCTTCTGTATCCTTATCCCCCTTATCTTTTCTGCGCATTCCTCAATCTCAGTCTCTTTTCTTCTTCGTTTCTTTGCCTTCTGCTGTATCTTTCTCTATGTTCCCTTTCTCGCCCTCTTTCTCTTCCTCTTTCATTTGTCTATTTCTCTTTGTCTTTCTATTGTGTTCTTCCTCTCCTCTTTCTCTTCCTATGTTTCCGGCTCTCTCTCTTTGCATCTCGCTCTCGCTCTCTCTCTCTCTCTCTGTCTCTCTCTCTCTCTCTCTCTCTCTCTCTCTCTCTCTCTCTCTCTCTCTCTCGCTCTTCTCTCATTCAATTCCTCGTCCTTTTTGTGTGTCTCTTCATAATTTGTTTCCTCTTCTCTTTCTCTTGCTTCTTGCTGGGTTGGCGAGAGACCATTGGCGAAACATATAATATAAAGGAAATTGAGGCCCAACACTCGCCCAGCCCCTCAATTCCCGCACCGCTCCCCATTTCCTTTTCAGCACGAAGCAATGAAGAACAACCCCAATCCCAATGATCAGTCAACGCGTGCCTTAGCATCGTCACTAGCCGCACGCTTGCTTTACTGCAAGGCAAGCTGTGTTTTGTCACGCTGAGACAGATCTGGCAGTGCTTGTTCTCGACCCCGCAAACACGGGGCATCAGCAGCCTGCCCGGCAGACTGGACTATGGTCCATTGACCCCTAGACCGCCGCGCTAGAGACTTGAATAAAAAAGCACATACCCCAGTTGCTTCAAATTGGGCGACGATCGCCGTTCTATCTGACAGCAATTTCCGGCGCCTTTGAGCTTGCCTGCGGCAACATAAAGACGCCAGGTGTGCCTGGAGATGACAGGGATGCCGTAGGTGGCGATCCTGGCAGCCATCTTGGCAACTTGGTCCTCGCTTGTGCGCCGCTTTGGCTGAGACATGCGCAAACGAACACAAAGGCACAAGACACTTCAAAGCAACATAAACAAAAGGAAGCAAATGTTGGCCTGAAGAGTTGAGCGAAGCTGCGGGTAGCAGCGCCAGGGAAAGCAGGCAGCGAGAGGCCAGAAGTAAGCAAGCCAGTTTGCAGCTGGTCGTCCCAGAGTGCAGCCTGCATGCGAGGGCCGACGGCAGCCCAGGTGTCACCCACCTCTCAAGCCGCAAGCGCGCACACGTGTCTTTCTCTGGTTGAAATTTCTCTAAAGGGATGCTAATGAACACCACCCGCTTTGGTGGGGGCACCTCAAAAAAACACGCCCAAATCAAGCAAAGCGCGGCCAGCGATCAAGACTTGCGACGCGAACGCAATGCAAACAAGGGACGTTGTAGTCGCGATGGTCCAGCCCTCATCAGGCCGACACCAGTCTTGCAACTCCCACAAAGCGCGCTGCGAACTGTGCCCTCAGCAAACTAACTCGACAAGCTCTAACAGCCCTTCTGCGCGCCGTTCTGTGAACGGCCCAAACGTGTCGATTTTCGATGTCCAAGGTTGATCCGGTGGATTTTGCCAGCGCCGCCTACCAGACACCTGAAGAATAGGTGTTGGCTTTGTTGGTCAATATAGGGGGAGCCACAGATCATGACATGTTGGCTCCTTCCCAATGGGGGGCGGTTGATGAAGGGACGAGCTGTGAAAGTATGTTGCAACCAAGTGCAAGGTTGTCCGGCAGGCGTATCCTTCGCTTTCTTATCGTAGTCTTCTTTGTTTCTGTTTCTGTTTCTCTTCCTTGCATTCTTGCTCAGTCTCTTTCCTTTTTGTCTTTCTCTTTCTTCCTTTTATCAGCTTCCTTTTTCTCTCTTTCTCTCCTTCGTTCTCCGTCTCTTTCTCCTTCCTCTTGCTTTTTCTTATTCCTCTTAAATTTTCTCGCCAGCCACACAACTAAAAACTGCAAAAACACCGCTACCCCCCGGAAGCCCGCGAGCGAAGTGCAGAAAAGCAAGATTGTCGCAGGTCGACCCACCGAAAGTTCGCAAAGAGTTGCGCAAGCGAAAACATCCCAAAGAAAGCACGAGTTGTTGATGCTCGACCCCAGCGAAAGTGCGCGCGGGTTCACTTGTTGAAGGTTGCGAAACACTGTGCGGCCGTACCAATGGGCCTGTCTCCGAGACCGCTCCGAGGCCGCGTCCCGACAGTTCAAAGTGGCTTGCGCACTGCCGAAGAGCCGAACTCACGCTCAGGGCTATACTTTCTGCTCATTTCTATTCCCCAGTTCTCGCGGTGTTCATAATGTTCATGCTTTTTCACGCGCAAACAGTTCTAAACTTGCTTTGATAACTTGACGGCCAAAAAAACGTAAGCCCAGGTGGTATCCTCAAGAGTAACCTCTGGAAGCTTAAGCTGTTTGGACAAAGACTCCAAGCGTTCAGCTGCTAAGGCAATAGAAAATTATGTGGCATCGTAAAACCAACATGAGTTGCAATTCTAGAAAATGTTTGAAATTCATTAGCCCCTCCTGTTGTGGCAGGAGTTGGACAAAGTGATTGGGTCAAACAGGGACCTATCCTTCAAAAGTCAGGACAACCATGCCAGAACAATCGTCTTCAAGCAAAGCAAGCAAGCAGCCACGCAAGCAAACAAGCCAGCCAGCCAAGCAAAGCAATAAAGCAAGCAAAGCAAGCAAAGCAAGCAAAGCAAGCAAAGCAGGCAAAGCAAGCAGCCAGCCAGCCAGCCAAGCAAGCAAACAAGCCAGCCAGCCAAGCAAGCAAACAAGCCAGCCAGCCAAGCAAGCCAGCCAAGCAAGCAAGCAAACAAGCCAGCCAGCCAAGCAAGCAAACAAGCCAGCCAGCCAAGCAAGTTAGCCAAGCAAGCAAGCAAACAAGCCAGCCAGCCAAGCAAGCAAACAAGCCAGCCAGCCAAGCAAGTTAGCCAAGCAAGCCAGCCAAGCAAGCAAAGCAAGCCAGCCAGTCAAGCAAGCAAAGCAAGCAAGAAAGCAAGCAAGCAAGCCAGCCAGCCAGCCAAGCCACGCCACGCCACGCCACGCCACGCCAAGCCAAGCCAAGCCAAGCCAAGCCAAGCCAGCCAGCAAGCAAGCAAAGCCAGCCAGCCAAGCAAGCAAGCCAGCCAAGGAAGCAAGGAAGCAAGGAAGCAAGGAAGCAAGGAAGCAAGGAAGCAAGCAAGCAAGCAAGCAAGCAAGCAAGCAAGCAAGCAAGCAAGCAAGCAAGCAAGCAAGCAAGCAAGCAAGCAAGCAAGCAAGCAAGCAAGCAAGCAAGCAAGCAAGAACGAACGCACGCAAGCAAGCAAGCAAAGCAAAGCCAGCCAGCCAAGGAAGCAAGCAAGCAAGCCAGCCAGCCAGCTAGCCAGCCAGCCAAGCCAAGCCACGCCAAGCCAAGCCAAGCCAAGCCAAGCCAAGCCAAGCCAAGCCAAGCCAAGCCAGCCAGCAAGCAAGCAAGCAAAGCCAGCCAGCCAAGCAAGCCAGCCAGCCAGCCAAGGAAGCAAGCAAGCAAGCAAGCAAGCAAGCAAGCAAGCAAGCAAGCAAGCAAGCAAGCAAGCAAGCAAGCAAGCAAGCAAGCAAGCAAGCAAGCAAGCAAGCAAGCAAGCAAGCAAGCAAGCAAGAACGCACGCACGCACGCAAGCAAGCAAGCAAAGCAAAGCCAGCCAGCCAAGGAAGCAAGCAAGCCAGCCAGCCAAGCAAGCAAAGCAAGCAAGAAAGCAAGCAAGCAAGCAAGCCAGCCAGCCAGCCAAGCCAAGCCACGCCACGCCAAGCCAAGCCAAGCCAAGCCAAGCCAAGCCAAGCCAAGCCAAGCCAAGCCAAGCCAAGCCAGCCAGCAAGCAAGCAAGCAAAGCCAGCCAGCCAAGCAAGCAAGCCAGCCAAGGAAGCAAGCAAGCAAGCAAGCAAGCAAGCAAGCAAGCAAGCAAGCAAGCAAGCAAGCAAGCAAGCAAGCAAGCAAGCAAGCAAGAACGCACGCACGCAAGCAAGCAAAGCAAAGCCAGCCAGCCAAGGAAGCAAGCAAGCAAGCCAGCCAGCCAAGGAAGCAAGCAAGCAAGCCAGCCAGCCAAGGAAGCAAGGAAGCAAGGAAGCAAGCAAGCAAAGCAAAGCAAGGCAAAGCAAAGCAAAGCAAAGCAAAGGAAAGCAAAAGCAAAGCAAAGGAAAGCAAAAGCAAAGCAAAAGCAAAGCAAAGCCAATCTCTCGTCGCTCTCCTGGAACTCTTGAGCCTGGGAGACACTGAGCTCTGGCCTGGCCACAGCGAAAGTCGCGTGAGTTCACTAGCTGGGACTCCTTGTCTTGCCTTCTGGTTCCTAGGCTTGTTGCTTTCAACTAGGCCCGTTTTTTCTGTAGTCTACTGTAGGGGAACTCTCCCCCGGAAAAAAAAAAAGAAGCAAAAGGGCACTACTGGGCAGCACCTTACCAAGTAAGCCCCAGGGAGCAAACCCTCATCCACACTAAAGGATTCTGGCTGGCCCGCGCTGTCGCAACACCTTGATTTGCGCTATCAAGTCTTGTTTGCGCAACCTTCGGGTTTCCCTTTGACTCACCTCCTGGATTGGACAACAAAAGGTAACCACATTCTTTGTCAATGCCAGGGGGAGAGTGTTGCAATTCACTTCTGGTGACGCCTAGATGTGCGCCAATTTGCCACGAACCCCAACGGGTGACTCGCGGAACTCGCACGCGCGGGCGACAAATTGGGGTCCCCCGCAGCTCGCAGAGCGAAAAGGCGTGCGGCGCCATCGCAAGGCTCAGAGCAGCGTGCATCGAGCGAACGCCTTGACCCCCCACAACTCATGTACATATCAAATATACATTTATATAGTATGTATACATATAGATAGAGAGATTCTGGGCGTGTACTATCATAAGATGTACTACCCCTTTGGGTTGATGCATATTATTCTAAATAGGCATAGATTCTGGGCGTGATATTGCATAATACGAGATATACATATAGAAATAGATTCGGGCGTGATATTGAATAATATGTCGAACCCGGTTGGCCAATCTGCTTCAATTTCCGGGGAGCCTCTGCAAACGGTAGCTGTATTGTTTGGCGTAGCCCAAGGGAAGGATGCGGCTTGCCTTTGAACAGACAAACCTCACACTTCTGGGTTTCCAAGGTTGCTTATCAACCGTTTGGTTAAGGCCCCAAGAACAAAAATCCAGTAGTGATGAATCCCTTTTAAACCCAAGGGAAAATAAACAATATTTTTAAGCAAATGGAGGTTATCTGTCCACACCCAAACACCCAACCAAAGTCTGAACAGGAAGGTTCCTTCAAGCGTGTGGGCCAGAAAGGAATTTTCCTGGCCCGAATGCTTTGGTTTTGGTTTGGTTACCATTCTGAGCCCAGGGATCCGATGTCGTTCAATCAAAAAACCCATGGAAACCGATCTGGTGTTCAATAAAAAAGAACAGGGGTCGAGCTGGATTGCCAACCTAAGGATTGGTTTCGGTCGACACGATTGCCACTTTTGGAGGCTCCAGGGGAACTGGCTCCGCATGGAAGAGACTGGAGGTAAATGGCACATAGATTCGCCTCTCGGCGGCTGCAGCCAAAGCTGAGCCAGCGAATGCGTGAAATCAGACCGACCTCTTCAGGTTGAGGGGGAAGAATCAATGCGCTTCTGCGTTCCCTACAGAAGGCAAGACATCTATCATGGAATTCCAAAGGTCACACCCCCCCCGTGCCGCAAAACGGCTTGCTTCATAAGTTTTAGCATGTGGTCGCCTCTTTGCAGCTTCTCCATACGTTGACACTGGTTCCCGGGAGTTCTGATAATATGAAATCTGAGAGCATGTCGTGCAAACAGTGCCGCGAGTCATGAAGATGAACGGTATTCTGACATTCTGAGTGGAGACCAAAAGTCGGGGAGTTAGTTTAATGCAAATGGAGACAAATCAGCCAAAGCAGGGCCACCTCAAACAGTTGGTCCAGAAGAGGCTTCTAATGTCTAGGTCCTCCAGCAGAGAGGTGAGAATAAGGGTACCATTCTTTTTCTGTAGACTATTTTCGGAGGAGAACCCTCCCAACCAAAAAAGAAACGGTGAGAGGTCGGGCACCTGGCTGGGGGACCCAGATGTTAACACTGGGATCTCTCGAAGGCCAGTCCCAACATCCTGGAATGTCACTGCGAACCGGGACCTACGTCAGGTGGCCTAAAGACTGATCACAGACACATGCGATGTGGGTCAACAACAGGGTAACCCCAAAATGGAACCCTGGTAAATGGAAACATGGACTAAAATCTGTGGTCCACTTTGTGGTGGCTGAATTTTGACCAATATCCACATCATTCTCCAATGTTCGTGCTGAAATCTGGTCAACTGGCCCAATGGCCCCAATCGAATTAGTTGCAGCCTTCACCAAACGCACGCAGTCGAGATCAGCTACCACTCCAAGACAGACCCAAAGGCTACAGCGAAACGGCGGAAGGTTGCCCCGTATTCCTTGCAGGTTTGCGTCGGCCTACCCAAGTTGACCGTTGCGGACATGATGTTGCTGATCTTTTGGCCAAATGCAGGGTCCCTTTGTCGGAGGGTCTTGCAAGTCTCAGCGTGAGGCATATCACTTTAACTGTCCCTAGTTCCAGGTCCCACTAAGGAGAGCGCCAAATAAGAGCGAAAAGCATATTAGCCACTAAGAGCTCTTAGTACCCCTCTTTTCCGCTCTTAGTCTCTAATTTTCCGCTCTTAGTTAGAACACTTTCCCACTAAAGCAGGGCTGTGGGAAGTGACCACTACTGTGACAACTGATACAACACAAAGGGCCACCCAAAGACCGTATCACAGAAGTGGGGATAAACCCCTTCCCTCAACCCAGCACGAATACAGTACCCTGGTTGTCCATTGTCTGAAACGCTTTCCACTCGGACGGCCTTCCAAATAACCCGATGCTATTTCAAACAAGCTTTTTCTCGGCTTTATGGTATCAAACAAGTCTCGGTTGCTTTCCGCTCCCCAGCTAAAAGTGACTAACCTTTAGCGGTTCAATGGAAGACCCATTGGTTGGCCAAAAGTTCAAGTCCTAACATCCCTTGGCAAAATGCACCAAAGAAGTGGCAAAGAACTCCTCGTTACCACAAGCCTCATGTTCCCTGCCCAACAACACCATGCCTCCAACAAGTTGTCCAGCATGCTCCAAACCAGGGACATGTGGCTACCTCAACCCCAGCCCAACATGAATCATTGCAAAAACGGGAGCCTTTTGGAGTAGCGGAGCACAGGAGACTGCAGGCCTGGGTTACTTTGCTTCTTTTCCATGGGACGCAAACAGGGGCTTAGACGTCAGGATAGCTTTTGGGTGCCATGCTAATCTGCGGGAGAGCTAATTCATGAGTATCCTTCTTAAACAACGTACCAAAAAAGCACTCGCTCAAAATGTTTTTAGAACATGATCTTCAAACACCCTAGGGGAATATCAACACCTGCGTTCCGCGACGGGGCCCCAGTGCGCACCGCTTTTTTGACTCCTCCGCTCAACTGCCTCGCGGCGCTTCTTTGGCCCCGCTGACTGCCGGTGGACCACTCACCACTGGAGAACACCTCGCTGGCGTCACCTGGGTCCCAAAGGGTCTCCAGAAACTCGACTTTCCGGCGGTTACTTCTTTGCCATTCCCTGCGAGGTAGATCTCTGGCTATATACAACTTGGGTCCTGCAGTAGAGAGGTTAGAATACGGGTACTAACTTTTTTCTGTACTCTGTTTGAGTAGGGGAACCCTCGCCCAAAAAAGTTGGTAAAAGGGCACTACTGCGGGACCTAGCCTGTTCAACCTGACCAAATTGGCAAACGTTTCTTTGGCCAATGACGTCACCAGATCCGATTTGTGCGGCGCTTTTTTCGCGCTGTGACAACTTGGAGCCATGTTGCGGGTGCCCCTGCTCGGTTGTCTAAACTCATGAAATGATCCATTACCTTGGGATTCCGATTCCTATTTTGAGACAAACCCATTTGTGTGTTTCGGCCACAGTTTCCGGCGAAGCACACCGTCAAACAAAGCCGACGAAAGACACCACCCGGGGTCCCTGCGCGACGGGGGCCGGAAGATCTCCTCCTCGCGGTCGCGAGGCGCTTTCCGGACGCGTGAGATGTCTCGCCTTTCTCGGGTTGTTTTGTCCGGACTTCATCTTCGAATTGCTTTTTCACCCCCTGGAAAAACAAACATATTTCCTGTGGTGATAGATTCCCTTTAAAACCAGCAAGGAAATATCACAAGTGTGGATAAAAACTAGGGTAAGGTTGACCTAATAAATGGAAACAAGGACTAGAACCCACGGTCCGATTCCTGGTGGCCTAATTTTGACCCATACCCATTTTGGGGTTAGAACTAGAACACAGCTGACCCAAAAAGGCACGAAAGGAGATGACCAGCACGGTGCGCCTATGAACCCGAAGTGGAGGCCCACTTAAAACTCCAAGCCCAAGAAAAACATCCTCAAACATGGGTGTCCTTTTAGGTTGGAAATAGATGGGTTTCCCTGGTAGATGATGAAACCACCAGGCAAACCAGGAATCGCCCTCTATTTGTCTGGCAAAACCACCAAAAAGGACACCTATGTCCTCAAAGCGAGCGAGGGCAAACCAAGAGCACCAGAAAGGTCCAGAAACCGAACCGACCCCAGAGGCCTTTGACCCATACGGGAAGGGGAGGTCGTCACCTTGCCCCTAGGTTCACTTCAGTGGGTCACTGGGTCGTGTCCAAATGCATGTCAGAAAATTGAAGGGGGGCAAGGGGCCGATGTGTGCGTTTTTCCGTTGTTTTCCTGTTGCCCCTTCAAAACAACCCACACAAATACCCTCCAAAAGACTAGCCATACCAATTCACGGGGCGAAGTGACCTTCCGCTGGTGTGAAAAGAAGTGAGCCGCTTGCTTGCCGGTTGAAATAACATGTGTCGCAGCCCTCCTCTTCTAATTCCTTGCCCTCTCCGCATTGCCATGGAACTGTTTTGGGTTTCGGGGTCCTGGAACTTCAATGTTCCTTTCGAGCAGGGAAAAAAACAACATGGGAGTGGACAGGAGGGTAAATAAAGGGACCAAATAATTGGAATGGGAGGCTGGGATGCAATAACACAACTTATTTAAGTCGTGGCCATGACCACAGGACAATCATGTAGTTGCTTCAGCCGTCCTTGGGACAATCGATCTGCCGTAGCTTCGAAGAGTTCGCGGCTCCTGCCATACGATTTTTGGTGTGAAATGGGGAGTCCTTTGGCTAAAGAAACCAGCAGGAAACCAGCAGTGTTGAGTGTCAACCTCTACTTCCATTTAGTTACGACCCCAGGAAAAATAAGAATATGTCCAGTAGTGATGAATTCCTTTTAAAACCAAGAAGGGGAAAACAAAACAAAATATATTAAGCAAATGGAGGTCTATGTTGGACTGCCATAGGATGCTCAGGAACCGTGACCATAACCAGGCTCGTGGAAATGTTGCCCAGAAATGGCAAACAAATAGACCGCGTTGACATCCGTTTACATGTTGCCACTGAGGGGAAACGACCAACTCAGCCCCAGTATAATCAAACAAAAACAAAAGAACAACCACACAAGCACAACCACTGGGGCCAAATTTTGGTCTTCCTGGCCGACACCCCCTGGCTTCTAGCTTATCTCTCTTGCAACCCTCCGTGGGACAAAGGAACCCGGAGTCTCCACCCCTTACCCCCATGGACAAGACCTGGAACCCCAATCGATCGTTCATCTCGGTTGCGGGGGTTGTGCATGCGTTGCATTTTCCAGACGAAATCACACCCTGATTGAATTGTCTCAAAATAGGGAAACCTAAGCTAGGTCCTCCAGTAGAGAGAATACGGGTACCAACTTTTTTCTGTAGTCTATTTAGTAGGGGAACCCTCCCGCAAAAAAGGGTAAAAGGGCACTACTGGGGGACCTAGATATATTGGTGCATGCCTGCCGAGGTGTGTCCCAAATGGGTGATTTGCCATGGTTTTTCCCTTTTCAACAGCCCTAGAAAGGGTACCCGCAATTCACAAAATAACGTAGAAATAAGGTGCAAGGAACTATGGAGCTCGTTGAGCCCTTACTTGAAGGGGCAGGGTACACGGTTTATCCCACTTAGGAGACTTATAATCATGGCAAGTGGGTTAGAGCCAGGGTGATTACTAAGTACAACACGCCCTTTCAGAATTGGCACTACTGTACAGTAGCTCAGATGCCCGGTGATGGGAAAAAAAGGGCAACCTTTTTGGGTTAGTTGAGTTTCAAGGGGAACCCTTCCCAAAAAAAAGTGGAAAAAGGGGCGGAATCCACCGGGCAACCTAGGTAGTCCTCATCTACATCTCGAAGCCGCCCTTGATGGCAAGCCCCACTCTGTTTGGACCCACCCATCTAGCCGGTTGGGTGCCTGTACACGTGTCTTATGGGTGAACAAAGAGAAGCTGTCAAGTGGCAAGTGCAACCCATGCCGTCGACCGAGGGGGTTTCGCACAGAGAAAAACTGGGGGGACGTTAGACTCTACCGGGCTGTTCCCGGATCCCTGCTAAAAGCTTAATTTTCAGTCGGTTAAATGGAAACCCACACCAAACCAACCAAAAAGCTAAGAACCTAAGGGGGTGGCTAGGAACCACCAAGTGTTGCACAGCAAAAATAGAGAACCGTCACCTATTGTGGCTGTGCATTTGAGTTTTCATTGTGAAAAGTGTTTATTTTTGATCACCTGAAAATCAAGGAACCCAAGTTTACAAGTCCCTCTTCCATCATTTTTTGGAGAGCTTAGCTTCCTGGATCAGTGCCAAAAGGCCAGCAGGAATCGTGGAAACCATGGCCGGAATCCGAAAGCCGGTCGGCTTGGAATCTACATGGGTCTTCTAGGAAACCATTGTTGTTTTGGAAAGGACAATGCAAGGAACACCACCATTCTGGCAGTCCACTGAAGAAAAAAAAACACGGCAACGATTATTTTGCACCGATGCAAGGAACACCACCATTCTGGGGGTCCGAAAAACAACAACAACAAACACGGCCACATGGTTGCACCGGGACCCGGAAAAGGGGGGGGGTGCAATTGTTGGCCGGCCCGGAGTCCGAGTCCGAGACGTGCATGCCCCCTGTGTGAGGTCGAATCAGGGGTCACTGGACTTTGGTGCTGTCGACCCCTCGGCATTTTTCTTTTTTTACTGCTTGTGTGTTTAGTGGGAAACCCGACTTGATTTCCCAAAAAGTTAAAGTAAGTGGATTGCCCCGAATCAAGAGTCCACGGATTTGCTTGTGGCTTCCACGAAAGCGATCGCCGCAATAGGCGCTTCCACGAAAGCGATCGCCGCCTTAGGCTCCAAGACAGGACGATGCCAACAGATTTCAGATGTCCCGAAGGAAGACATACAAAACCCGGAAGAAAAAAAAAAAAAACATCCCAGGGCAAAGTTGTGAGTTTTCGAACGGCCAGCTTCACGCCCCGCCCAAGCCCCAGGTCCAAGCCCCGAAGGCCTTCGGCGCGGCGGGCCGAGGAGCGCAGCAAAGCCGCAGGGCTCAAGGACTGGGGAAGGAAGCGAGGCGCGCGGGAGAAAAAAAGACAGGGGCTCAAATCCAAATCCAAAGCAATCCAAAAGGCAAACCGGATCCCCTCCAAAAACAAACCCATAAGGCCCTGAAACATCAAAATGGGGTTGTGGGGGGGGGTACTTCAACTAGGTCCTCCAGTAGAGAGGTTAGAATAAGTTGGTACCCGACTTTTTTTTTCTGGAGTCAATTTTAGCAGGGGAACCCTCCCAACGAAAAAAGTTGGGTAGTCAAAAAGGGGAATCTATCTTACTGGGAGAAATCGTATCTTTATTTATGTCAGAGTCGATATCATGTATGCCCTCGGTTGACACTTGTCTTTTCTGTTTCCCAAATTACGCAATCCGCAACGACGGACTTCCTTTTTTCTGCAGTCTATGTTAGTAGGGGAACCCTCCCCCAAAAAAAGAAACGGTAAAAGGGCACTACTGGGTACCCTGGTTATCACCCACTGAATGGAGACATCTTTTCTCACCATGGCTTTTGTGGGTTATCTCACCAGAAAAAAGCCTGACGTACCTGCCCCATGGCTATGGGTGTGGTACTCTTTGCTGAAAGGGGCGTGGGGAATAACCATGGTGAGAATTCCCGCAAAAGCCATGGGCCATGGCAAAACATGTCTGAACGGAGACATGTGTTACCATGGCTTTCGTGGCACCAGGCCTACTCACCCACTTGGTAAGTACCCCTCCAAATTCCCTGTCCACGTTGCCACGGAACCTGACGTTTTGGGGAAGACGAATGCTGACACCTGATTCAACCCCCCCCCACCCACCACGTATTAAGGGGGGTTCTTTTTAGTGGAGAATCCTTTAACCCACGGAGACCCCTGTTTTAATCAGGGCTCAACATGAAGCATGTGTCTTTTTCGGGACTCTGTGTATGGCCACTGGAGAGGGAAGCCACGGCCTCTGGGGTCCTTGGTGTCCTTTGGAAATGGATGGCTGGGGTAAGGGATCAAGGTACCTTCCCCATGGAAATCCGTGGTAAAAAGCTGCCAGGGGCCCAATCGCCCACGGGCCCTGCTGGGTCCAATCCGCCCAATCGATTCGGGGATCCCAGCATCCCAGGCAAGCCAGTAGCTTAGGCCACCAAACACTTTCCTTTCGTTTTTCTTTTTTTAAGGCTGGCTTTTCTTGGTGACCTATACACATACATGGTGCTTCACCGGGCCGAATTTCTCTGAATTTTCCGGTTTGGCACGGCCTGATGTGGACGTGTTCCCCTCGAAACCATTCCTTGACGGCCTTGCGGCTTGAGCCGGATCGATATTTTTCACCCGGGTCCCCTCGGGAGAGAAACCATATGGCTGTGGTGGTCAACACCGTTTTGGTTGATCCCATTTTGGTTGGTATGTGAATTCACCACCCATTTTAGAACCTATTTTAGCGGTTGGATTGGTTGATGTTCACTGGGGGTGCGATTTGGATTTTGACCCATGGCCATATCTTTCCCGCAAAATGCGCTCCAACCCCCTTGAAACCCCGCCCACAAGAAGCAGGAATTCAAAACCACCATCTAAGGGTTACCTGACATTCAAGGAGACAAACCTGTCTTTCTTCGGCAGAGGCAACCGAGGTAACCCATATTTCCTGGAAAGGCAGAAACAGGTGGCTATGACTTTGATGTCCCAAAGAAGCAACAAAACAATAAAGTTCATTTGGCTCTGCCTTAAGAGTAAAAACCCTAAGTTGGTTGGGAATGGTAACTTCCGATTCATCCGGTGGGCCATGCTAATCAGGCGGGGGTCCAGTTTAGTCAGGAAACTATCTCGTTTTTTGGGGGGGTTCCTTTGACCAGCTTGAGGCCCCCAAATGACCATGGGCAGCTTTTGCCTATCTCATTGTTAAGATCCTTTTGATCAACCTCCAAATACCAACGGCAAACATATGACAATTTGGCAGGCCCAGGATGGCGGTTTTCCGGGGCTCCAGACGCGGCCCACGCCTCAAGAAAAGGCATTTGGCGAGCGAGGGAAGCAAAAGGAAGAAGCAAACTTAAGGCATTTGGGTGTGTCTCTTTTTGAGGGAACCCAGCTCAGTTGTTCAGTGACCCTGAAAAAAAAGGGAACCCTTTTTGGGGAATACCATTCTTTTCTGGGGCAGCCACCAACAAAATGGGAAAATGGGTGCCACCACTGAACAACTGAGCCAGGGGTCAGTGGAATTCCCCTTCAAAGGGTGCAATTCACTGGTGGGTTCCATTGAAACTGCCACTCGTGCAAATTCCAAGAATAGAAATGGAGGAAACCTTACCCGAGGAAGCAGGTGCGGTTGACTCTAAAGGGAGACAACCGGAAACCCGCCATTTGCGGGGGCGTAGTCTCCACTTCAGACAAACCAAAGCCTCTGAAGTGACTCCTTAGGTCCTTTCCGCTTTGTACAAGAGCATGCGATACTGGCAGGCGGGTCTGTTGATGGAGACAAACACCTGCTCTATCTGTGAGTGAAGACCTAGAAATATGAGGAACCACCTACCAACAGCTTCCCTCTTGGATTCGTTGGAGGTGTTCCGGGAGGTTTCCCATTTACCCTCAACGGGCTCAAATCCAAATCCAAAGCAATCCAAAAGGCAAACCGGATCCCCTCCAAAACAAACTCCCCTGAAAAATCAAAATGGGGTTGTGGGGGGGGGGGGGGGTACTTCAACTAGGTTCTCCAGTAGAGAGGTTAGAATAAGGGTACCAACTGTTTTCTGTAGTCGATTTTAGTAGGGGAACCCTGCCCCAAAAAAAGTTGGTAAGAGAGTGTTTTTGGGTATCCCCAAAAAAGAAACAGTAAAAGGGCACTACTGGGGGACCTAGCCAAACTTCCAATGCAACCGGAAACCAAGGCAACCAGCGACTGTCGACCCCTGAGGCATGCGCTGAGAGCCAACGAGGACAAACGTCCCCTCGGCGGCCTAGGACAAGAACTGCTCAGGCCCAATGGAAGGGGGTGAAGAACTGAGAGCTTGGAACAAGAGAACCATTTCTTTATTTCTGATTCGTCTATCTTAGTAGGGGAACCCTCCCAACCAAAGAAGTTGGCAAAAGGGCACCGAGGGATTCTCTTATGATCAAGTCCCAAGTTCTACTGAACCCTGCTCCATTTGGATATGATGTCCCGTTGGCAAAATTCGGCGGGGATTCATGTCCACCAAGCACTTGGGTGGTTCTACTTGGGCCATGGTCAAAACTCCCTACATGGCCTATGGTCATGCTTCCCTCAACGGGAACTGTTCACTATTCTTGAGGATCCTTACTACCTGGACGACCATCCCAACGTCAACCCGATGTCAAGGAACCTGTGTTTCGACCATGGCACATTTGGGCCCTAGCTAGCAGGCTGATTGATTTCCCCAAAAATCAAAAGGTTGCGGGTACCAGCGCAAACTACCCATCCCCTTCCTTCTGGCTCCTTTGTAATAAAAACTAAACAAACAATGGGCTAAAAAAGACGCCCAGGAACCAATGGGAGGAGTCTCAACGACCCCAAATCACAACGGGCGAATGTACCACCCCACGCTTGCAGGGGACATGGAGACTCCAGCGAACAAAGCCGAGATGCAGGCTACATGACATAACCTCGCTTCCTGAGTGGATTGGCCAAACAAAAAGAGATCGAACTTTTTATTTACCACTAACATGGTCCAACAAACGAACAAGCGGGGATACGGCGGGGCGGGGATATTTATGGGTTCCCTTGGCGCCATTTCCCACATCAAACTTAGTCCAGGTGCATCAAACGGGCGAATCCTCCCGTATCCAACTGGTTTCGTCTGTATCCCTGCTGGTTGGTTTCCCTGACTACAGTCCAAGAACTCGGGAGTATCTCAGCAACGTGAACAGGCACACCTGGTTGCTCCGCCGTGTCTTGTTTTCCCGCGTTCCTTTCTCGCGCGCGCCTCGCCGCCTCCGCGACTTTCAGCGCCTCACGAACAAAACCCGCCCCCTTGACTTCAAGCAACTGACCGTCGACCCATCCAAAAAACATGCGTTAATGGGTGTGGTTGTCAAAAATACATTAACCCCAAAATGGAAACAAGAGCTAAAACCTGCGGTCCCCTGTCCCATACCCAAATACCAACTGGTCTCATGTCGAACTACCACAACAAAAGAAACCCCCGAAGTGGGTTCAGGGGACACCCACATTTTCAGACTTTGATGAACAGGAACAGTCAACAAATAAAGAATCCAGTAACGCGAGTCCAGGCAAATGCTTCCTCTATGTTCAAAAAAAACAACAACACTAACAGAAACTTGAGTTGAGGGGTATCTTGTCTAGGTACATTGGTTGCAAAACACAATTATAAACTTGGTGCTTGCAGTTTAATGACCCAGATAGGGCAAATATTGTCGCAAGTTGTGATACTGCAACAACCACAAACAAGAAATGGACCCACAAGCAAGAAACCTTCATGAAGTACCATCCCAACCACCCTAACCCCCCAGGCACGCGGCGTCGCGCCATTTTTTTGCCCCAAAAAACATGATCTTTGGAGTGCTGTGGGATATACCTGCTCCGCCCTTCAAGTTTGATTGAAAAGCTTGCAGCCCAGCTTGCTTTGGGGTCCCATACCAAGGGCTCATGTCAAACATCGCCTATGATAATTCCATGAACACAACCCAATTGAACATGCCTCCCTGCAGACTAACATGGAACCTTCGAAAATGCAAGTCGCGCTTTTGTAGAGGAAACATGCCTTGTGGGAATCTGGCCCCTGCCCCCGCCCCTGCCCCACCCCTTGTGGGCTCCATCCATGTTAGTCTGCAGTCGTGTACTATGTTTGGCGCATAGCAGTCCTGTGCTTTTTAGGGCCCTTGCGTTGAATACTCATTGGAGTAGCCTAGAATCAGGTGGTTGACTTCCTCGGCCAGGAGAATCCCAAAAGGAGGAAAGGTCACCTTGGACACTGATTAAGGACGACCAGGTAGAATATGAGTTGTTCAACACAAAGAACATGTCCAATATAATATCCCCAAAAGCGCACGAAAATCATAGTTCTGTCCAAACACATGCAAAGAACCTCTAAGGACATGGGAGAACCAGCGATTTTCTGGATTTATGTGGATATTTTTCGAGCTCGGGTTCCCACTTGGACAGACCCTAGGTCCTCCTGTCTGTTTTTTGTTGGGAAACCCTCCTGGTAAAAGGGCATAGGGCACTACTGGCAGACCTACCTCAATTTGTCTTCCGAAGCGCATGGGTTCGGCCCGATCGGTCCAACGGAACCGCTGGACGGTTCAACGGAGGGCTAGGCCTCTAACCCTTACAAAAGTAATTTCAACTAAAAGTAGAAACAATTGCATGGCGTATTATCAACACATTTTTCCGGGCCATCCTCAGATCTGCTCAAAGTGACTAACTCTTAACGGTTCAGTGGATATCCAACCACTACACCAACCAAAAAGATCTAAAAAGCTCAGTCTTGAACCGGATACCCAACCACTAAACCCACCAAAAAGCTTCAAAAAAAGAGCTAAGGATCCGGATGAACCCACCCCAAAAGCTAAAAAAAAAAAAACACCCAGGACCCCGATGGCGCGGCGGTTCGGGGGGGTTCGTTTCACCGCAAACCGAACCGGATTCGTCTCGGGCCTCCTGGGCGGACTTCAGGCTCCTGAGGAGCTCTTCACGCTCGCTGAGCAGGCTCCTCACGCTCGCCCGCCTTCCCCGCCGGGGCCTTCCCCGCGGCGGGGAAGTTACCGTAGCCCCGCCAAGCGTAGGCCCCCGTGGTGTTTGCTGTGTTTTGCTACGAAAAGGAAAGCCACCATGTGCTTTTTACGAGGTAGAAAAAAAACATATATGATATTTTGTTTTTATTTTTGTTGGGGGGGGCAACCGACATGTATGTATATATATATATATATATATGTATATATGGGGTATCCTTTTTTGGTGGGATTTCAAAGGGAAGGAGACAAGCGAAGCCATTTTACTGGGCCCCGTCAAGCAAGAAACCCCTTCACCTATTTGGGCCTTGACAATCCGAACAGTTCCATTGCTCGAACCTTTGCAAGTCCCAGATATGACCATTCTATTTGTGACCAACGGGAACAAGTGAAAGAAGCACGTTAGCCCAAGGGTCCCATGCTACTTCCAAAGTACCAAACGACCTCTCTCAACCCCCCAAAAAAAACAATCAAAGAGGATACCAAGCAAAACCCTCTGGGCCAACAAAGAAAAGCTAGAAACGGCGGCCCACTTTGGCTGGCTGGTCCAAAAACGGCGTCCCTCCTGTAGTCGTGGATGCTGATGTCGCTCCACACCTCAGGCGTCAAGAGCCGTCAAGAGCCGTGAAGGCCCCAAAGCCTCCGATCTGCCAAAAGTGGGTCTCATCGGTTTTAGCGGTTTTAACTTACCCCACCACACCAACTAAAAAGCTAAAGAGATCTGTCAGATGCTCTAGCTTTAGCTTTTTGGAAGTCCCCACTAATGTTAACCCGGGATTAATAAACCCCTGGTGGATTAATAGGGGGGTGTCCCCCTTTAGTGATTCATCACTTTTGGAGGGAACACCCCCGTAATCGTGGGACGGTTTATTCATCCTGGGTCAACATTAGGGGAAACCCCCCACGAATTCGGCCCTAGAAAGCCAAAAAAGCTAAGGGACCGGATGGCACTAACTTTTAGCGGATTAGTGGACACCCGATCATTGATTAACCCCGGGAAAGCCCAAAAAGCGAAGGAACCGGATGGCTAGGAGCCACCAAGAGCAATGACCACATTTGCGAGAAAAAACACGATGAATCCATGTTGAAACAAGGATGCAAGGTTATATATATAGGAACCCATATTAGTACATAGGACGGGTTTTAATCATCCGGGGTTCTCATTAATTGTGGGGTTCCCGCAATGGACACGGATACACGTGGGTCCGCTCCTTGTTTTCGATGGTTGAAGTTGCATCCCTCGTCCCAGTCGTCCCAGGCCCCAAATCGTCGATGTGACCGAACGTCAAATGGAAGCCCGGGACGAATCAAACCCTGCCTGGAGTCGCTACGTTCTGTTCAAGATATGGCAACGACTCCGAGTTGATCAGTACGTTTCCCCACGCTTTATGTTCTGCAGACGTCTGGTGGATTCATTCACAGGGCTCATGTCCTCTTCGGAATGCCGAAGAAGAGGAAGAACAAGTGACACTCCCAAGAAAAAGAAACCCGGAGTCTCCACGACCCTGAAACAATTGGTCCATAACCCCTTTGTTTGGGGAAATGTGCCCATTTTTGTTTAGGGTCAGAAGGAGACTCCAGGAATCAATCTTACTAGAAAGTGACACAAAGCACAACTGACAATTCTAGAAGGAAAATGGTCACTGATGGTGTGTGGGCGGATGCGGGCGGTCCCTGAAAGTCAAAAGGAAACCAATCCCTTGTTTGGGTGGCTCCATTAAACACAAGGGCGATGTCCATAGGTGTCGGTTTGGATTGGTTAGCTTGGTTAGACCTTTGTTTCCACTTACCAGGGTTCCATTTTGGTACCACTTTTTTGAGCCACAGCCAAATGGGTTCCCCTGATTTAGATTGGTACTGTGGATGGATGAAATTCATTTCGCGTCACCTAAGAAACCCTTGAACGATTCTCCTGTAAATACTATCGGCTTCCCATGGATGCTTAGGCGATGCCAAGTAACCCCGCCAGCGATACCAACTCCAAAACCGACACGGGGCCAAGGAATACCGCTGGCGGTGCAACGTCATGCTCCATGACATCATCGTCCGTTGCAAATTCCGCAGGATCAACGGGTGCAAAGTCCAGCGACTGGCGGGTCTCAATTTCCTCTTTCGTGAAAGGAAGACCAATCATCTGGGAAAGGCTGATACCACACTTTGTGAGGGTCTCTTTGCAGTAGACAAGCACCTCGACATTGACCGTGCTGTGTGACTGATTGCGCAGCTCACTGTCCGCCGCTCATCTCCAAAAAACACACACCCATAAGGCCCTGAAAAATCGGAATGGGGTTGGGGGGGTGCTTCAAGGTGAAACTAAATCATAGTCATAGGAGCATGGGAGCTATATATGCAGTGGCTCAAAATTAAGGAGCTAGGGTTGCGCAGGTTTTAGTTTTTGGTTCCATTTACCAAGGGGCCATGTTGGTACATTTATTTGAGCCACGTATGTTTGAGTTTATTTAGCCCCAATCGTATCCCTCCAAAGCTTGATTTATTTAAAGCCATCGTATCGCGGATTAAGCGAAAGCACGGAGGTGGGGCCCCCAGCCCGTGACTCCCAGCGCCACTCGGAAGGCCGAAACTCCTCGTTTCGGGCGGTCAAAAGGAATGAGTCAGAGGCATCGGTTTGATGAAGCCTTGAACTAAGCCATCAAAAGGACACCTAGGCCCATAGGTGTCCTTTTGGGGCAAACAGATTTCCCTGGTAGATAATTAAACCGCCAGGCAAACCAGGGCCATTTATTTTTAGACCAAAACAACCAAGAAGGACACCTATGTCTATGCCTCGGTCCTTGTAAACAGGTAGGGAAAGGAACACCTGCCGGGCTGGAGCTACTGCCCTGAGTCATGGGTCAATGCGCACTCTTGCCGCCTGATCCTGCCGCTTCGACTTTTGAATTAGTGAAGGACGTGATCCCGGGTTCACTGCACAAAAGTACCTTAAGATTACCCTCCCACCAATTCACATGGAACCTGACAGGGGGTCCCTTTCAAGAGGAAATCGTCTTTGAGCCCCCCTTGTGAGGTTCCATGTTAATTGGTGGGCGGGTAGAAGTATTAGTTGGACCCCCAGCTATTGTGAAAGGCTTAAAACCCAGCAAAGCAAACCTTGCGGCCACGGCCTAAGAGCGTCACACACACACACACACACGTAAACTCCCTGTGAGCACATCTAGGTCCTCCAGTAGAGAGGTTAGAATAAGGGCACCCTTTTTTCTGTAGTCTATTTTAGTAGGGGAACCCTCCCCCAAAAAAGGGTAAAAGGGCACTCCTTACCTAGACATAAGCAGTTTGTTTGCCGTCTCTCTTGGAACTCCGAATGAGACTGCCATGGTCTCGTGTTCTGCCGCCCGTTTCAACAGGGGAAGTTGTTTTCTTCAAAGGCATCGTTCTGACGCCTGTCCCCCCCCCCCGCCAGCCCCCCCCCCCCCCCCCCCGCCAGCCACCTAGACTGTGGAGAACAGCGATTTTGCCGGAGGTTGTCAACTTTAGATCAAACGCGCTGCAACTTGGCAGGGATACTCTGTTGACGTGCTTCCACTTTCTGTCGCAAAGGTCTTCACTGATTTACCAATCGTCTCCACGCCACTGCGCACTGAACATGGTGCGTCCTCTGCAGCATCGCTATCGTCAGCATCCGTTCCTGCAAGGCTCACAAAGATCGCATCGAAGGCTTGCCCCAAGCTCAGTGTTTTGGATGTCTGAAACCAACGCGAGACAAAGAGATGCGCCGGCGCTTGAACAAAAGGTACACATTGAAACAGCAATCCTCAGTGACATGTGTCGGAACAAGGCGCACATTGGCAACATCTACCCGTCTATGATGTCTATCTGTTTGCTTCTAGTACAGGCCCAACATGTTCAAACTGTTTTTGGCCGGAAACCCCATACTAAACCAAGGCTTTCCTTCCGTTGTTGAAACCACCGCGAAAACCTCTTCACATACCTGATCACAGGGTTTACCCCTTGACCAAATGCTTTGGCAGAACGTCAAGCGGCCCCTCTTCATCTAAAGTGTCCCAACTCAGCAGGCAAGCTTCTAAAATCGAATTTTCGTCTGGGGTTTGCTAGCCCATTTAGGCTACCCCTGACCAACCCTCTTTCAAAACCATAAAGAAGCAGCGGCGAGGGTACGGAGAAAAGATGGTACCTTGGACCCAGCCTTGCGCCACCCCATAAAAAGGCGTGGGAGGGGGGTGGGGGGCGGGTACCGGGGTACCTTAAAAGGGAGCCTCCATTTTTTGAGGACGCATGTAGACACGTAGTATATACCCTCCCTAACATGGAAGCTGCCAAGACCCCTTTGGAAGACTTAGATCCATTTACAAAGACCGATCTAGCAGCTTTCGTGGTCTGAGGGACTGTGACCTCCATGCATTTTAGAAGCCACGTAACTGGGCTGTCCTCAGATTCCCTGCTCAAAGTTTAACTTTTAGTGGGTTAAATTCGGAAATCCAACCACTCAAAACACCAAAAGTCTAAAAAGCTAAGGAACCGGACGGCTGGGAACCACCAAGCTAACCGCGTCCAAAGAACGGGAGTCGCACCCTCGCCTCCCTCTTGGGTGCAAGTCGTCAAGGAGTCGAAGAGCAAGGGCAGACGATCCTCGCGGGGTATTTCCGGGTTTGCCGTACAGTCCGAAAGAGGCTATCCACCGGAGGTGGATTTACACGGACTAATCTCTGCATATATACATATGCAGAAGTATTGCCTGTTTATACATATACATATATATATATATATACAGGATAAGAATACATCATAGAGCCATAACATAAACAAACAAACAAACAAACAAACAAACAAACAAACAAACAAACAAACAAACAAACAAACAAACAAACACATAAATAATTAAATTAACACATAAATCAACAAATAAAGACATAAATCACTCAATAAATAGATAAATAAAGAAAGAACCAATACAACAACAAAAACAACATACATGCATGTGTCCCCAAGCTCCTCCGTCTGACACACTAAAACCATGGCTAAGAAGGCACGATGGGGTTCGGGCTTCTGGCTGAGGAAAGAGCTTAGTTCTTCCAAAGGGAAGCGCTTCACGAAGGGTACCCGATTCTTTTTCTGTAGTCTATTTTAGTAGGGGAACCCTCCCAACCGGAAAAAAACAAAAACAAACTGGTAAGGCGGCACTGGGGGACCTCCAAACTGCTGGAGGGCTTCACTTGAAAGGGGAATGCTTTTGAGTAATGCAACTGATAGTTTACTGTTTGGAGGGGGGGGGCTGTGGGCTTGCAGACTAATGTGGTTTCTGGAAAGAATGCCTTTGTTGTGGTTCAGTGGGGTCTGTGAGGGGTACCCGTGTCCCGATTGTGTTTTTTCCAACTTTTTAACACGGTTTAATACAGAATTTGCAGTTTCAGGGATGGCTTTCAAATTTCAGAGGTTTCAGCTGGCGTTGGGTGTTGTGTTTGAGCAACCGATTCAAAGGGGAATGCTTTTAAGCCAGTGGGCCACCAATTGAAAGGGGATGCTTTTAAGCTAGTTGCCTCTGGAACCTGGGCTGTTGTTCAGATCCGCTCAAAGTGACTCACTTTTAGTGGGTTAAAGTCGAAAATCCAATAAACACTCGAAGGCTAAAAGGCTAAGGAACCGGATGGGAACCACCAAGGAACCCAGAACGGTCCGATTCCCAAAAGCAGATTCCTCTACAATATGGCCATGGGTCAAAATGCAAATCGTACCCCCAGTGAACATCTCAATCCCCACTAAAATAGACTAAAAGCACCTGGACTTCTGAAAGGAGTTCAATTAGCTGATCTTCTTGTGACATACCATATATGGAGAGACCCCCTTACCCCCTCACCCCTTTGTGCCTGAGTGACCCATAGGTAAAAAGGCTCAAGGCGAAGGAGTTCGTCGTGGGCCCAGGGGAAACCATGCAAAACCTGAATGTCAAAATTGACGTCCGCTTGGGATTTCAGCAACACCCGGCTCCGGACCAAGGAGCCTCTTCGAGTGACAAAACTTGAAAGGAATCCACAGGTAAGTAGGCATGGCTGAGTCCCCTCACAAAACACACCCAAATGGATTCATCAAACAACACCCTAAGCTTCCCCAGAGCTTCTCACAACTTGCAGACTACGCAGGCAGGAGCACGTTTTGATTTGGAGAAGCCCCGAAACTCCAACCGGATCTTTGGTCGCTGGAAATGGCGTGAAAGGCTTCTCCAACCGGCTGGAAGCATCCGATTCCGTCCTGCCAAAAAGTCTCCACCTGCGAGGGGTTCCACAACTTGCAATCGGTGCCATCGGTAGGGAATGTCCGGGTGTTCGATTAGTTGAATGAACCGGTTTTGGTTTGATAGGTCCTCCGGATTTGAGAGGTTAGAATAAGGGTACCGACTTTTTTCTGATTCGTCTATTTTAGTAGGGGAACCCTCCCCAAAAAAAGGGGTAAAAGGGCAGCATCGGGAGACCTAGTTGGATTCCTGAATAAAGGAAACAAATCGGTTGGATGGTTCTCGTCGGGGTTTTGTGTCAATTTCTCATTCCCTGCCTATCCCACCAGCTAGTCTCTTTCTTTCTGTTGGACATGTAGTCAGAGGTTCTCGAGGGTCCCCCTTTATTGTGGCTTTAAAGGGACACCAAAAGGAAAACCGCTTCTTTTGGTTGCCGGGGCTGCCAAGACAAAAGACACACCCGTGTTTTGCTCAGCGCAGACCAGAATCAGGCTTTGCACCGCCCCCCCCACCAATTCTTCCAGGCTTTTCTGTCGTTGTGCTTAGCTTTGGGCAGAATCGGGTCACTTGCGTGGTGTCCGCAGCAAAATTGGTGGCAGTGGCAAATGATGGCAATCAAACTGAAAACAGCGGAATCCATCTATTTTCAGCAAAACGTTACGTTTCACCAAATGATAGATGATATGTCCATTTTTTCCATGGAGATTCACCAATCCAGGCGTGCTGGCTTTCTTTTAGGGAATCCCCAACATGGCTTCGGCTTTCCTTTTGGATTCCCTTTGATACGAAACGTGAGCATAGATGTCCTTTTGGGAAAATAGACGGCCCGGTAGATTCTGAAACAACCAGGTCAAACCAGGGCCATCGAAGTTCTTTCGCCAGCAGCTGCAAGCTATCAGGTCTCTGTCCAAATAGGCTAGGGCAGCTTTCAGGGAGAGTTCCAAAGAGTTCCAGAAGGTTCGCGAGGGTTCCAGGAATTTCGGCAGCTGTTGGGGATTCCATTTGGGCTTGTTTTACCAAAACAACCAAGGAGACCTACGTCTTCGTCTTTCTCCCGCCTCCCAAATGCCGGCGACCGCGTTTTCGCCTGGCAACCCCAAGGCTTGCCAACCACTGACCGGGGGGGAAGGAATTCCATGATGGGTAGTGAAGCCTGTTGGTTGCCAATACGACATGCCTCCGTCATTCGCAACTTTGGCTTGGCTGCCACGAGTTTCTCATGGGCATTGTCTGAAAGATTTGCACAAGCCAACACCCCAGTGCCATGCTTACTTCCTGGATCATGAGAAGGTCCAAGCCCAGTTGAAGGGATCTTGCTTTAAGTGGTCCATAAGCCGTTCGCATAGATCGCGCCTCCGAACCTGTAGCACGCCTCCCACCCCTTGGCCTAACTGCATTAAGCTCTTCTTGGGAGAAACAAGGAGGGGGGGGGTTGGGGCAATGGATTCATGGATCTAGGGCTCTCACTTAACTTCACCTACGGCTTTCTTTGTGGCTTCCATGATTCGGGGGAGGGGGGGGGGGGAAAGGGGGAGTGGATTCATGGATCTAGGGCTCATGATTCCGGCACACTCCTTGAACACCGGGCTGAGACCCACAGAAACGTCTACTGAAAGAAAACAAAACCTTGGGCCAAGCCATTGAGCCCTATCATCTAAAATATAGGTGGCTAAAACATCACTCAAAATTGGTTTCTGCTCTCATAGGCAACTGCCGGCTTCTGGTGCATGTCAATCATGTTCTGGTAAATTCTAGTGTTTGCTGCCCGCCCGTTTAAGAGGTGGGGAGAAGGGGGGAGGAGGGGGGGTTGATACCCTTCGGAACACCGGTCAGCACAAAGTACCGCACGGTCTTGTCTGTCTGCGTGCCCAACAAGAGACACGATCGCCTATGTGCACGGAGAGAGATTGGCGAACAATTTCGGCCCTTCAAAAATTGGGTTCCCATTATCAGCTAGCATACTGCACATACTCCACCAGTTATCACACATTTGAAGATTTCAACCAGGAAATGGGTGGGCCACATGTAGAGGCTGCATCATAGGTGACCTTTTGGAAAAGTAGACGGGCCTGGTAAATGGAATAAAAGCAATTTAAACCAGTGGAACCCATCAATTTCCAACCAAACTGGCCTCAAAAGGACACCTATAGGCTCCGTGTGCTAACCGGCTTATCTGGGCTGCCTGTTTTCAGATTCCCACGAAAAACCAACTAAAAAGATCTACGAATCCGGCTGGTTGAACCACCAAGCCTCGGTTGCTTTCTGCTCTGCTAAAAGTCTAACTTTTAGTGGTTTAATGAAAAACCCATTAGTTGTAAAGCTAAAGTCCTAACATCCCTTGGCAAAATGCAACTCAGAAGCTATGTGGCTGTGGCTCAACAAAACGGTACCGAAATGAAACCCTGGTAAGTGGAAACATGGACCAAAACTTGCGTAACCCCTCCTGTTTAATTTTGAGCCACACCCATTTCTGGCTCGTCAGACTCCGTCGGCAACCTGCCGATTTCGGATTTCGGCCTGGACAACGGCGGGCCACCACGCACACCTCGCAGACACCAGGCGATTTTATGGCCGGGGGCGGGGGGGGGGGGGTTGAAAAAGAGATGGGGGGTCCAAAAAAAAGGCGCGATGGGGGGGGGGGGTTCAAAAAAAAATGGGGGGTTAAACAAATGGGGGGGGGGGGTCAAAAAAAGGGAAAGGGGAGCCCAATTTGATGGATCCCAGCCCTGCAAACTCACGTCGGAAGGTCAGGCAGGGTTTTGCGGGTCGATCGATACAGCAACTGATGCCAAAAAGGATTCCCATCCTGACTACCGTTCGAATTTCCCCATGCCTGAAAAACCTGGAAGAGCAAGAAACATACCCACGGAAGGGAAGAACACAGCTACCAGAATAGGATTCTCATCCTGACTACCGCTCGAAGGGTGGATTCCCCACATTGCTTGATCAGGTCGATTCGCTTTGGTGGCCAGTGAGGCAAGAATCACCGGACCCGACTCTTAATGGATGTGGCCCTGCCTACAGTAGGAACCCAGGGAGATCGACCCGGATCAGAAAGTGAGCTCAACTAGGTCCTCCAGTACAGAGGTTAGAGTACGGGTACCAACTGTTTTTTTTGTAGTCTATTTTAGTAGGGGAACCCTCCCAAGCAAAAAAGAAATGGTCAAAGGGCAGCTAGCTGGGGGGCCTAGTCCCTAGTCAATGTGGGGCACAAAGCTCATTATCTTTAGACCTTTTCGGTCAAAACCCACCGATGGGATTTGGTCTCGTCGGGATGAAATCCGCAATCTTAAAAAGGGGCTCAGCGAAAAGGAAGCTCCGGACATGATTTTTCTGGTCCGCTGGTAGAGCAAGGGCCCAAGAGACTGACCTGCTGACTTGAGTGTTCCCAGCCTGCCAACTCAGCGCCAAGAATCCCTTGAGTCCCTTCATCAGCCCACAATCTTCCCCCTTGCCCGGACTAGGATTTGTCAACATCTGGTCGACCATTCCCCAGCATTCACTACGTCATTCCAGTAAAAAGACTAGAACAAGTTGGCCCCCGATTTTTTTTCCGGACCTCTATCTTAGCATCGGAACTATGAACCCCCTCCCAAAAAGTTGAAAAGGTAAAAGTTGGCAAAGCCTCCCAAGTCGGGTGAGAAAGTTGGCAAGCTGGGGGACCAGAAGGTGCTCGACACCAATTCACCGTGGAGCCTGACGTGCGGCTCGGGGTCCTGGCTTGGACCGTTTTCCTTTTGGAGGGACCCGCCAACGTCAGGTTGCATGTGAAAAGGGCGGGGGGCACAAGACGTCTTTGCACATGGCCAGAGTTTGGCTAAGTGGAAGAAGGTAACCAACACATGGCGCGCACGGCAAGACCTTAATACCCAAGCTGCGTAGGTATATCCAAAACAAAATGCCCTGAACCTGGGCCTTGGATAACTTGCCGACTTCTCCCCAAAAGAGACTTGGGTGGCTCGCCTGCTTTGAAGGTACCACAAACACAAAGCCCACACCCAGGACCGTCCCCTGGTTTCTTTTGAGGAAGCTGACACGAGGAAACAAAAAGCGGCCACAGCCCGAAGCGAAAAGCCCAACGCGCGACAGCGCGAGCGAGCCTCTGGCAGGCCTTGGGCGTTAAAGAGAATGGACAGCTCGAACCTGACGTGCTGAGGGGGGACCGTCCAAGGGCTTGCTGATGCTACGTTAACCCTAGGGTTCAACCCCCATGAAAAGAAAGGTTGACCAAACTTGGGATGATAACAATCCTTAGGCAAACAATGGTGGTTACACGAGCCCCCATTGGTTTGAATCCCAGGATTGAAGGGAATCCCTAGGTTCATTCCCAAAACCCGGAAGGTCATTCCCTACTGAGCACCAGCAAGATCTGTACGAAACCTCCTGCATGGTTCAAAAACCAAAAGGAAAACCCAGCGGGTTTTTGTCGGCTGCTTTTGAGACATGTTCCCATATTGTCTCTGAACACCTGCCTCCCCAACCAAAATGTCCCAAACCTATGGAAGTTCCCCTGAGTGCCATAAAACTCCGGTCCCGGGTTCGTGGGGCAAAGCCACATGCCTTGCAATCTGACAGGTCCTTGCTGGCGTAACTTGCCCCAGCCATTTCGGTTTTCCCACACCCCAGGATTGCTAGGGTAAAAATAGCTTAGGTAGGACAATTCCAGTGTTTTCGTGACAGAACCAAATGACCCCTACCAAGCCCAAGTGAAAGCGTGTGTGCTGACCAAGCTGCCACGAAAAGGAACATGTGGCACTGAGCTGTCCTCAGTCCCTTTGCTAAAAGCTTAACTTGTAGTGGGCTACATGGAAATCCCCACTAGTCCCCAAAAAGCTAAAACACCTAAGGGGATGGCTGGGAAGTACCACGGCCAGTCATTGCCAATTTATTTAACACCAGTGCAAAACCGTTCTGAACAGCGCCTAGAGCAAATGGTGAAAAACAAGTCTCCAGTTGCGGAGGCCAAAAGGTCAAGCTCCAGTTCCGGAAACGAGAGTCAATCCAAACAAAACCGGGAAACCACACAAAAACATGATCGAACTTGAACAAACAGCCAAGCTATTGAAAAAAAAAGAAGAAACAAAAAGGAAAGCAAAACAGCACAAAAGGCTGCCCAAAGGAGGCATGGCAAGATCATGGCCCTGAATGGTCCTTGGCCTAGTCACTATTCAGCTTCCCTCTGATTTGTGGTTTGGGATTGTTTGGAGGTGAAAGCGTGCCTTTCCCAATTTGAATTCAACAGGTGGGGTTCAACTCCCTAAACCACCAATCCAAACCACCAATTACGGTTGTCTTCTGAACTATGGCTTCCCAAACGCTCCTGATCAATTTAGGGCCCTCAAACAGCCATTTTTTGAGACCCCCAAACAACTCTGGGGTGTCTAATGGAGGGGTCGGGTCTTCCATGGAAAGCCCCAGTCCCAAAAGCCTCTGGGTTGAGAATTTGAGCGCACCCCTCACGGCATCCCGCCTGCGCACACCATCTGTAACCTTCTCAGGCATCATCTGCAGCACGCCGTTGGCCATTTCCTGAGAACCGGGGCTCTTGGGCGAACCATCCCCTGGAAGTCATGGGAACAACCACCTCCATTTGCGTTTTCAGAAGCCCTGGACAAAATGAGAACATCTATCCAGTAGTGATGGATTGCCTTAAAACCAACTTGGGAAAATATAGTTTTCAGCGAATAGAACATTTGGGGCCAGGGCCCAACGCAACTTTTCATATCAAGTGGCAAAGTTTGCCTGGGCCAAACAAATCGGAGCCTCTCCGCTTGCGGATTGGGGTTCTCAATGCAATTTCAACTAATGTCGAGCCCGGATTAAGGAACTCGTCCTGGTAAGGGTGTCCCTGGGTTTAGTGGGAATTCTTCACTTTGGGAGGGGAGCGCCCATCAATAGGACGGGTTTGTTAATGGGGTCAACATTACATTTCAAGTTGAAATGTAATTAACCCTTTCCAAGATTGGGAACCAACTACAAACATCTGACGTGATTCAAGCAGGCCAGGAACCCGTGCATTTGCCAAGCCGCGGTCTCATGCCCGCAGCGGGCATGAAGGCGAGAGTGTGGGCGTGTGAAGGCGATTCTCGAAACTGAGGGCGTCTGCAACGTCGCCTCCTGCTCCAAGCCAGAATTGAGATTATTGGCGTTGAACTCTCGGTTGTGGGCCTCCCGGGCCTGCTGCGTGGCGTCCGTCCTTCAACTCTGGGTGGTTTGTGGCCCACAGCTCAAGGATGCTTTCCTGGATGACAAGGGTGCCGTCTGGCAACGATACGCACACCTCATGGTTGGTCGGCGTGACACCCTTGTCGATTTCCCGCAGCTGACTTGGGTTTGCCTGCTAATGGTTTCGTGCTCGCCTCTTCCGACCTAGGACAAAGAGACAAAGGACACCCAACACTTCTGGGAAGCTCATCCGCTGGACAAATGTGTGACTTGCCCAAAGGGCCTAGAAACATCACCCGCAAGGAGCTCCCTCGTCGGCTTGGGGTGGGGGGGGGGGCTGGGGGGATGAAAGCCCCGCCCCCGCGTTGTTCAGATCCCTGACGCGGCACCTTTTCGCCCATCAGCGGATTTTTCAGTGTGCTGGAAGCGTTGGCGTGGTACATACAGAAAAAGTCACTCGGTTGGAGAGTTCTTCAAGCGGAGGTTTTCACAGAGAAAACATTTTTCACAGCCGAATGCGTGAATGCAACGTCTGCTCAACGAATTTGTTCACCATCAAAATGGTCGCTCATGTTTCTTTCTGCGCCCTCCCCAACGAACAAGTGCGTTCGAACGCAACTAGGCTGGAAAAATCGGGCCCCAGCAAAAATATATATATTAATATATATCTGTTTTGCCTGGTTCGTGGAAAACCAAGAGGCACCCCCCCCCAAAAAAAACCGAAAGGGGAGCGGATCCTGGGGGAAAAAAATAACAATTAGCCGGCTGCTAGCTCAGTTTCCGCGAGCCACGCCGCGAGAGTTCGCTTCGCCGTTTGGTCGGCCTGTTCGAAACCTGGGCGCCGCAAAAATTTTTGGACACCGAATATCCGTCGGAGCAGCTGTCGACGAAAAGCTGTTTTTTGGAAAGTGGGCTGGACGAAAGGGGCTCAAGCCATTCTGGCCCGAAAAAGCGCTGCCGAGCGTCGCAAGCTTCTGAGGCACGCTTGGCCTGGCGCGGGTTTGGGGTGTGGTGTTTGGAGGTGTGGATCCGGAGACGTACCACCGAACTGCGGCGTATATCATATATATATAGTATATATATATATATATGTACATATATATATATGTATCTGTGTTTATACGCAAACAAACCAAACAAAACAAATCACTTTTCTCAGTTGCCCAAAGGACTTGGAAATACAAGGTTACCCTTTTGGCGCCTCGACTAAACATGGACCAAAATGGTTGGGAATACCAAACAAGTCAAAAGGTCGATTCGCTTTGGGCAACTGAGTTTTAGTACTTGGCTGGAATCAGGACCCAAGCAATTGTTCTTCTTCTTTTTTGCCTGGTTAGTGGAAAGCAAACAGAACCCCAAAGGGACCCCAAAAAGCAAAAAGGGGAGCTAATTCTGGGGAAGAGTCGTGGTTTTTGTAACCTCCGAAACCACCAAGGCTTAAAAACAAGAAACGCCAATCCAAACCACTTGAGTAGCCCAAAGCTCAAAGCTTTTGCTGGGTCCACTCCAACCCCCCTTAACTTGAAGCCCGGAAAAAAAAAGTCACCCCTGCTTGGTTCAGAGTGCCCCTTCAAGTGGGGATTCATCCTGAGGGTTCTACTTCATCAATCCGGGGTTGCCAACTGTGGACCACCTCCATTTACTCAACTCCACTAGAAAAATGAGAACATCTATCCAGTGATAGATTCGATCCATTTAAAACCAACAGGCGGAAATAAATGCCTTAAAAAAGAAAAGAACAAAAACTTGAGAAAGCCAACAGCTCCCTATGTGAGAAACACACACACACACACGCACACCATAGGGGCCCTTCTGAAAACAAGACAAACACTTTTCAGCAAGTGGAAGAGCAAAGCTCTGGGCAATCCCCAGACCACCTGCTAAAAGTTTAACTTTTCGTGGATTAAATGGACAGCTCCACTAAACCAGCTAAAAAGGACTACACGCCTAAGAAACCCAATGGCTGGGAACCATGAAGATTTGATGTTCCTTTCAACCAGCCCGAAGCAGGTTTCCCTTCAAACCTGGTAGGCGGACCAACAAGACCAACCGCAAGAGGTTCATGGGGCACTTCAGCCCATCCTCTTCCCCCCGGTTTTGGGGATGTTGGTGCTTCAGGCCCGCCACCCCAAAATGGGGGGGGGCATCTTTTTGTTGAGGCTACCCTTTCTGTGTTGGTCTACACGGAAACCGACACATCGCCTCCTTGTGGGGCACCCTCCAAACAAATTTACAATCCCAAATGGACGGCCAATGGGGGAATCTATAGATTCCCTTTAAAACCAGAGGGGGAGTGTTGTAACAAAAGATTTCAGCAAACCTCGAGGAGCTTCCACCCATTCTGATCCCAGCCGGTTTTCTTGAATATATATATATATAACATGGAAACCGATCAGATTTTCGAAGAAGGGTTCAAAAGAACAGGGGTCGAGCTGGAGTTCCCCTTTTCACACGTTGCCATTTACCGGTGGGTTTCCATTGAAACGATCGCCACTTTAGGAGGGAACCCCAAAAAGGGAAATGGCTCGGAACGCCCTGAATCGTTGGACTCAACCCCACAAAATCTGCAAATGTTACTCTTATTCCAAAAAAAAAACGGTATCAAAATTGTCTACCCAGAACCATACAAAGAATTACCAAGGCGGCCGCACCCATTTATGGCTGGGATTGTCCCTTACTAACCTTCATCTACCCGGGTTTTGATTGTTGCTCAAAAGCTGAATTAGGGGCTCCCCGAGTAAAGGACCTTTCTCATGCTTGCACTGAGCTCCCTACTAGGCTGGACCAGGAATCGCCATCCATGTTCTACCACGGGCATCTATTTTCTAGGAAATCCGGAGCCCGGTAGTTTGCTACCCCTGTAGAAAGATGACTTTCCTCTTGGTTAGTTCGCCTTTTTGCACTTCCATGTTAGTTGGTGGGAGGGTTGCCAAAAAAAAAACACCAAAAAAAGAGGGGTGCTCTCAAAAAGACACACCCATATGAAGGTTGAAACAATGCACCAAGACTTTAGGGACTTCCCATAAACGTTCAAGAAAGCCGGGGTTGACATGTCCAATTCCGAACCCCGGGGCTGGGAATTTCCAAATCCAACCCGACGGGTGTGGAGTTTCCTACTCCGGACGCTTTGGATTCGGACATTTCCACCGGGGGGGCCTTTGGATTCAGAGACAATTCGAAGCCCGGACCTTTGGACACCTTCAAGCCCGGGGTTGCAAATTTCCAGATCCAGCTTCCGGGCCCTCGATTATTTTTCCACATCCAAAGCCCGTGGAAATTTTTCCGAATCCAAAGCGTCCGGGGTTCGAATTCACTGGGCACCGTGTTGCTTTTGGCATCTTTTGGCATCTTTTGGCATCTTTTGGAATCTTTTGGGCTGTCGGGCTGTTATCTGGGCTGTTGGACAGTTGGGCTGTTGTGTTGTTTCCGGGCTTGGAATGTCCAAATCCAACTTCCGTGGATGCTTTTTTGCTCCGAATCCAAAGCCCCGGTTGGAATTTTCGACCCGCGCGCTTTTTCCCCGTGGTTCCCCGCGGTTCCCCCGCCTGCCGCAGCAGCTGGCCCGCCGCCTCGTCCCCGAAGTCGCTCTTCACCAGCAGCATGGCCTCCGGCGCGTTTTGGCCGCGGGGCCAACCCAGAAGCCTTGCTGTGCGGACCTGGAGTCTTCATGATCCTTGAAAGCGGGGTCTCCTTCTGACCCTTAAAAGACTGACCGGGTCACTGCCCAAAACAAAGGGATCATGGAGGGATATTTTTTTTTCAGGGGTCATCCAGGGATGCAAGTGATTGAAGCTCAATTTCAGGGTGCCCTCTTCTTTTCTTTGCTTTGTTTTTTGGAGGGGGGGGTAAAGTGAAAAAAGGTAAAAACCACGGTGCCCCAACTTGGGAGTTTTGCCTCTTCGCAACTAGACACCACACGTTTTGGGCCGTAGGTTTTTAGTCAGAAACCACCAGGTAGAAAACACCAAACATTCACCAGATGGCTCCCATGGGGGTGTGTTTGGCTGCCAGCTCCAGCGCCCTTGCTTGATTTTGAACAGAAAGGAGCCACCACAAGTTATAGAGCTCGGCACTGGGAGCCACCGCGTCTTCTGTCACGTGATCAGTGGAAATGTGAGTTGAACTCTGTTTGAAACTGTGCTTAAGTCCTAACTGAACTGCAAAGAACTTGTTTCGGAAAGAAAGTCCCGAGCTAATCGAAACTCTAAAATAGAAGTGTTGATTGCTGTCTTTCCTTACCAAATTATGTTTAAGGTCTACTTGAATTGGGAATCGTTATTGGGAAAGGAATTCTATCCAAATTCTAAATTAAAACACAAATTCAAATACATTACAAAGAAACACAATTCACACTGGAATCGGAATATTGGGTCCTATCAATTTGTAGAGAGCGGCTGTTGGTGGAGATGTGAGCTGAGTACGAAAGAACGTTACAAATCACAGTGTTTACGGTATTCTCTAACCATGGTAGTGCTGGGGCAGTAAACAAACACGTTTTGGGACCTCTGAAGCAAACTTCACTTTTTGATCAATCAAATTCCACTCAATTTCTAACTGAAACTAAACATAATTTAGTCAGGAAAGGATCAAACATAATTTATACCTTGAAATAGAATTTAATAATCATTCTATTTCAAATTTGCACAGGATTTCCGTTCCAATAGAACTGTTTTTGCAAACTCAACCTATTTTTCGATTTCAAAAAAAACGCATTTACACTGGAATTCCTTTCCAATAATTTTGATCAAATCACAAGTGCACTTGAGCACAGAAGCTCCCGCACACAGGCCTGAAACGTGAAAATGCAAAAAAAAGGAAGAACAAAAAACATATAAAACCAAGCACACAAATAACACACACACACGAAAAGCTCAGACCCATGTTCCAAATCCTGGACCCCCCTTCCCAATGGGTCTGATATGTTTGTCGCTTTTTGGTTTTACCCTTTTACAAAAGATGTTCTGCATATTTTGTAAAAAGTGTGAACAAACAACCCCGAAAAACCCAAAAACAAGTTCCGACCCATCTCCCAGATCTTCTGGTGCTAAGTGTTCATGAATATCATCCACAATGCTGTCCCACCACACTTGCAGTGCCGACTCTAAAATCGACACAAGTTCCCCACTGAAAGGAGAACCACCTCTGAGTAAAAATAGTTCCCTTGGTTCATCCAAAGATCCCGCTAGAGCTTTTAAGAGTCGGCCGCTGGTTTGCGACCCCGCCAGCTCCGTTTATACAGAGGGGCTCCCTATACACATCAAGTGTTGCTCCGAATTGCATGCGCCGAGGTGCGTAGAAAGGAACAAATGGTTCTGAAGCAGGTAATAATCACGGTTTGCTCACTTGCCCAAAGGATGCCTACGCCTACCTCATAGACATGCAATGAAACCGAAACTATCCTAACATCTTGCGAGACTCACGCTCGCAACACAGTGGTCGTTGGGCGACACAGCACGACAGGGCACCAACAAAAACCCAAAGGCCCACAGAAACTGGAAAGCTTGTGGTTCCGGGGATCCGGAGAACGCCGAAAAACAGGGATCCTGACATGAGAAACACCTGAACATTGCAACTTGTTAATAGTGTTGTTTCCCTTTATTTTGGTGTTGAAAAAACAACATGTTTCAACTGGTAATTTAAGGAGCCCTGCTGAACATCTAGGCAAACTTTAGCAAACCAACATGAAGGTTATATTGACTTTGGACCAGGGAGGGTTGTGACTTGGAGGGTGCCCAAACCCTTCTGCAAAGGAGAGTGCTGTTGGGTGCTAGCGTGCTGGGCCAAGATGTGACTAAGGATGGCGAGGTCCTGTTGCAGGTAGGCCTCCAACAGGCAGGCCAGTCTTCTGAGACGCAAATTTGGCACTAGAGAGAAGTCCGGATGGTGCCCAGTGCAGGTTGTTCCCGGACTGCAGGATGGCTTCTGCTGAGAAATCACTTTCGGTACCTGAAGCACCCAAAGCTGCATTGAGGGAACCGGTGGCAGCGGAACCACAGGCGGCCGTTGCTCACGAGCTGCCATTGGCATGTGCGCTGCTGGCATGTGCGATGCAATCCTCCATGGGTCCAGGCAATTCGCCAGGCTGCACTTGTGCCAGCTCCTGCTTGGCCCCGGTTGGAGGCCAACCCGGTTGATTGTAAAGGGAAATGCTGCGGGTCTGGAAAAATGCCGGGAACCTTGACTTGCAAAGTGGGCTTCATCTGGCAGGCGACTGTGCTGGCCGACTAGAGACAAACTTGCCGATATGCCCGAATCTAGGAGAGTTGGTATGACGAATGCTTTGTTTGGTTTTAATAAAAAGGTGACACCTATAGATAGTGCTTCGCTTGATTCCAAAGCGCTTGCCTGTGCAAAGCTGGCCACGCAACGCTTCACAGCTGGTCCTTTGGGATCATCAACAACAAACACACCCATATGATTACCTTTATTGAATCTTCCCCCCTTTTTGCCGGTTTTACAGGAAACCCTCAGGAAAACTTCTTCTTCTTTGTTGAGGGGGGGCCCAGCCGAAGAAAAATATACGAGCCCTCCTCCCTTTTTTGCGGCCATGCTGATGATGTGACCCCCATGCGGCACCCCTCCTTGCCTTCTGAACCCCGTTCTCCCACTGTGGGTCGATTTGGGCGCACGCCGAGATCTCCTGGCGGAAGATTCCGACGACCCCAAAAAGAATCCAGCGGCCCTTGAAGCCATGAATCTAGCAATTGATTCGTTACCATGAATCTAGGGGTTTCACACCATGATATAAGGTGATCACCCTTGAAAACGTGAATCTACCTGGAGTCTCTTTCCGACCCTAAAACTCATTGCACAAAATACAGAGGTCATGGACCCATGTTTTTTAAGGGTAATGGAGTCTAGGGGTTGATTCCAACATATTCCAACTCCATTCTTTTCGACCATCCTTCTTTGCAAAAACCGGCGGTTTCCCCAAGTTGTTTGTGCTGGATTCCGATCCCGAAAAGAAGGATCGCTGGAAAGAATGGGGGTCCTCTCCTTAGAATGAACAAAAACAAAGGAATGTCCCGTGGAGCAGATGCAAAAACCAAGCTTTTGTCCAAAAACCAACCCTGGTTTTGGAGTTGGGGCCAATTTCAGAACCTATACGCGGGTGGTGTCCTTTTGGTTCCCCTTAAAACCTCCAAAAAGAGGACCCCTATGTTGAGAAACAACGATGCGTTCAAGAGAAACTAAGAAGAAACCCAGCATTTTTTTTCTTTTGGGGAGGTCCCCCGATGTTGAGACACACACACACATATATGTATATATATATATATGTATATAAACACATACACAGCACTCTAAGGATCCAAGTATAGGAGGTACTTTGACCCCTCACACACACACACACACACCATAGGATACCTGGTGCCCACTGTGCACGTGTTGCTTGTGTTGCGATGGAAACCAAGCCCATGAGGGACCAAAGAAGGCTTGCCTCGAATATCGCGTCTCCCGCTTCGATCGTTACGCCCGGAACCTAGTCTTCAGTGGCGAATCTCCCCCCTTTCAAGTGGAGCACCTCCAAACAACCTCCATTGGACTCTGAGAAGCATCCCCATGAGCTTTCTCGGACGGCCGTAAGCGGCGTTGGGTAGTCTTGCCAAAGCGCAAATTGAGCTTTGTAGAATATGGCCGAAAGCGTCAGTGTGCAAGTGCAACGCAAGCAAGTGTTAATGTGTGTCATCTGTGCCACTTTCATGGCCAAGGAGGGCATTCTTTATCTTAGAAGAAGCAAAAACAAGGCTTCGCTTCACCCTCGAAAATCCCACAGAGGGGCTCCTCCAGCGCGCGCTCAAAGTCGTCCGTGGGATCCTGATCGGCGGCTTAGAACCTTGGGGGGGGTCTTAGGAATCGGAGAACCCCCCCCTGTTGGATATAATGCATGTCTTGCAACTCAAAGAAATATTGCCCAAATATACGTAACATTTACCAACAAAAATGGTTCTTAGGACTTTCTTAGAAGGAGAAGAGGGTCTGAGAACCTTTGCGGGTACAGAGGAACCTCATTTCCCTGTTAACAAGGCACTGGTTCCCATCCTTACGAAACCATCGCTAGGTCCTCCGGTAGAGCGGTTAGAACAAGGGTCCCCTTTTTCTGTAGTCTATTTTAGTATAGGGGAACCCTCTCCAAAAAAGGGGAGAGAAAGGGCACCTAGCTGGGGACCTAGATTGGGAACATGTTCCGGTTACCTTTTTGGTCGCAGCCCGGAATCGTGAAGTTCCTTCGCGCCATGTCCTGCGACTCGGTGCTGGCGGCGCGCGGAACCTGACGATTGAAATCGATTCCAGGGAGCTCGGTGCGCTGGGGTGGCACCCCCAAAACTTGTTTGACGTGAGAAGGGGAGCAGACATTTAAGTTTTAGCACTTAAGTGGTTGGATTTCAACCACTAAACCACAATAAGCAAAAATGTTAAATGTTTCCCAACAACAATCATGAACATGGCGCAAAGGTTTTTGGCAGAAAACAAACCAAAAACAAAACCAGCAACCAAGGGTTACGATTCCAGGGATCTCCATGACTGGCGCAACGGTTACCGATAAAAAGTGCACAATCCCTGCTGTGCTGTCTGTGTTCAGATCCCCTGGTACAGCTCAACCTTTACTCGGTTGCGAAATCTGCCCCCCTGCTAAAAGTTGAGCTTTTGGCGGTTTAATACGGAAAACCCATCTGGCAAAAAGTTGCAAAAGTCCTAACATCCCTTGGCAAAATGCACCAAAGTGTACTGGGTTCAATGAAAACCCGACCAACTAGATCTAAACCCTTATGGAACTTGATGGCTGGCCTCGCCAAGCTCTGGATTCGGGCTCACCCCATGTTCCGTGAAAGCAAATGCCAATAGAGTCAACAGCCAAACCTTCTGGCCGTCCGAAATCGTCGTGCCGGTGGCATGGCCAAGCATGTGCTGGCCACTGACCTATGATCACCTGTTGAGTGGAGTCACACAAACATATTCGCGCTTTTTGGGCTTCTACTACACTGGGCGGTCCGTTTTCTGATCCCCGGCTAAAAGTGACTATCTTGTGGCGGAAAATTCGGAAACCCGACGACCACTGAACCAACTAAAAACCTCACAAGCTAAGGAACCAGACGGCTGGTGGAACCAAGTAAAACGGTGGACCAACGTGGCAATATCTTATTTGCCTACTCGGCTGGGCCCTCCAGTAGAAAGGTTAGAATAAAGGTACCAACTTTTTTCTGTTTCGTCTATTTCAGTAGGGGAACCCTCCCAAGCCAAAAAAGGGGTTAAAAGTTGGCACCTAGGGTGACCTACTCAGGCAACGAGTTCGAGTTCGTGTTCGGCAGCTTCAGATCCCCTGCGAAGTAGCCTCAGTTTCCGTGCCACGCGGGTGAGGACCCGAGAGATCCGACGAATCGCTTTCAGGCCCGACTGCAAGTGAAGGAGAGAAAAGGATCCTTCCACACGCCAGGAGACCCAAAAACCTCTAAAAATGTCATGCCCCTAAAAAACAGGAGAAACAAAAAAACCTCTAAAACACGATGTTTTCATGGCATATCCCCAAAAGAAAGATGTTTCCACCAAAGCAGGAAACACATTTGCTGTTTTTTGAGTCTCCAGGCTGTTTACTTTCTACTTCAAGGGGCGACCGATTCAGTACATCAGGTAACGTGGTGATCGTAAGCCTGGTTTTGACCGACTGAACGCAAACTCAGAACCATGGCTCTTGCACCCTGCCCCCTTAACTTGGCTGGAATCAGGACCCCAGCAAAAAAACATATTTTTTGCCTGGCTAGTGGAAAACAAAGGGAACCCCAAAAAATCAAAAAAAAGCAAAAAGGGGAGCTAATTCTGGGGAAGTTAAGTCATTGACAAGACTTAACTCGGGTCCCTGAACCCCAAGCCTCAGTCACGCAACCACTTCGCTGAGACAAAGAGGTGGCTCGCACCCCTTTTTCTAGGTTAGGATCTGCGCCGTTTTTTGCTTCAACCATTTTCCTCGTGGTTTTCCTTGAACAGCCACATGGCCATGGGTCAAAAGCCAAATCGTACCCCCAGTGAACATCCCAATCCCCACTAAAATAGGTAACCTCAAATGGGTGGCGAATTCACCTGCCAACGCCACATAAACAACTAGTTAACCACTTCAATTCGAACGCACGTCTCGAATCGAATCCGTAGCCTGCACCAGGAAGATGTAAGCACGGCCGATCGCAAGCCTCGATTGGGGGCTCTCAGGAAACTGCGGGGAACCATGGACTCGGCTGCCCAAAGGTGAGCCCTTTGCGGCTATGGGTGTGGCTCAAAATTGAAGAACTCGGGCAAGGGCATGATTTTCAGCAACACTAGGGACTTCACTCCTGAGCACTTGCTGGGTACCACTTGTTTCCGGCTTTGCCGATGAAGCTGAAATTTGGACTCATAGGTGTCCTCTTTGGTTGTTTTGGTAGAAAAAACGATGGCGATTCCTGGTTTGCCTGGTGGTTTAATCATCTACTAGGCCATCTATTGGCCCGCAAAGGACACCTATGTGGGTGTGGCTCAAAATGAAAGAACTCGGGCAAACCGCAGGCTTTGGCCCATGTTTCCACTTACCAGGGCAACCCATTTTGGAACCCCGGTTTTTTGAGCCACACCCATATGACTAGTACTGGGTACCAGCAAGAAAACAAACTGAAAGGTCAAAAGGTCGGCAAGTGGATGTTCTATGAGATTCTCCCTGTTTGTCAAAGGGTGGCTCAGCAGGTTTGTTTCCTTTGTGATGAGATTCTAGTTGAAACCTTGAACTGCCCTTGGCAAAACCCACACCCCCAAGGCCTTGCAATCTAACATCCACAGCACCGGATATGTAAAACATGAAAACACAGTTCAATGTTCTGCTTGATCCATTTGGGTGTGTCTGTGTAGGGGACCCCCCCGAAAGAAAAACAAAAATAAAGGAAACAAACAGAAACACAAACGAGCCCATTTCAAACATGACTCACACATGCTTGCATGGCTTTTCTCAGCTTCCCCCTGATGGGTTGGTGTCCCAGGCGTGGCTTCACATTTGCCCTCCAGCGAACAGCCAGGAAATGAAACAAAAAACATCCACTGAGATTTCCAGTGTGAGGCTTTCTTAAACAAACACACAACTGGGCTGTCCTCAGATCCCCTGCGAAAAGTTTACAATTTAGTGGATCCAATGGCAACCCAACCACCAAACCAACCAAAAAGATCGAAAAGCTGCTAAGTTGAACCGGATGGCTGGTTGAACCACCAAGAAAGCACACGGGATGCCAAACCAACGCGCAGACCCGAGTCCCCCCTCCTGTCGCCATCCCGCAGCGGCTGGCCCTCCTGGTGAGCTGACAAGAAAATTGTTCGGTTCCAAGCGAGTCGGCAATTCATTCCAAATTTCAGCTTCATTCTCTGTGCTGCCCTCAGATCCCCCGATAAAAGTTTAACTTTTAGTGGGTTAAATGGGAATGAGGAAACCCGTGGCTCAAAAAACCGGGGTTCCAAAATGGGTTGCCCTGGTAAGTGGAAACATGGGCCAAAGCCTGCGGTTTGCCCGAGTTCTTTCATTTTGAGCCACACCCACATAGGTGTCCTTTGCGGGCCAATAGATGGCCTAGTAGATGATTAAACCACCAGGCAAACCAGGAATCGCCATCGTTTTTTCTACCAAAACAACCAAAGAGGACACCTATGAGTCCAAATTTCAGCTTCATCGGCAAAGCCGGAAACAAGTGGTACCCAGCAAGTGCTCAGGAGTGAAGTCCCTAGTGTTGCTGAAGATCATGCCTTATTTTTGAGGCGTTCTTTCGGTTTCCCTGTATAATACCAGCCCCAAAGTCAGCTTCCCTCTAATTGGTGGTTTGGAAGTGACAAACTGTTTGTGGATTAAATCAACACCCGACAAGGAAACCAACTAAAAAACTACAAACCTGTGCCATGTTTGTGGACAGGAGGGTGAATTGTTAGAGGTGAAAGAAGGTAATTCAGTTTCCCTCGCCTTTTGGTGGTTTGCAGCCCGGTGGTTTGGTGGTTGAGGGGTGAATCCCATTTACGCTCTACAAGAACCAGGGGTAACTGCAAACCACCACCACCAACTAAGGGGTACCAAAACCTGATTCTTCCATTTGCTTTTTGCCTCCTGGACCAAACTTGAGCAGGGGAGACACGAAAGGCATACCGTAAAGTTGTCCCTCTAATGTGTCCCAAAGTGGCTTCCCCTAATGTGTCCTCCAAAAAAAAGGAAGAGGCTTGCATCGAATACCATTCAGGTGCGCATAAAACTCAACAGGCAATTTCCGTTCCACGAAACAGGGAAGTACTTGTTGACCATATAAAGTGGGGGCACTGACGAAGCGAGCAAGGGACAAGGTGCACCGTGACTTGGTGCAAAAAGCGGACCAAAGTGTGAAGCGAAGCGAGCGAAAAAAATGGAAAAATGACTCTGTCTAGCCTTGCTAACGCAAGGACAAACTCAAGCTAGCCTCCTTGAGGCTACCTTGCGTGAAAACACAGCACCTGATCGTTTCCCCCAAAAAAACGGGTCAACAGAGGGGAATAAAACGTATTCTTGGGCAAATGGAAAGAACTGCCCTAAGAATTGGACCCCCAGAATTGGACCTTCATGGTGAGCTCCTTTTACCCCGTGAATCCGAAAAGGCCGGCCTGAAAATTGGGGCACACTCAAACCCCGAAATCTTCACGAGGTCTAATTGCCTCACCTTAGCAGGTAGCACCTCAGGTGGCCACATCCCCAGTCATCACAAGAAGAAGGGTTTCAAAGGAGAGTCTTTTTAACACCCCCTAACATGAAGAAGGCTTGGATTGCCTCTTTGAATTGCCCCTTCAAAGCGATTTGCCATGTGCTGCCTGTCGTCGGGAACAACCCGACGCCCCACCCCCGGAAAGGTTCTTAGAACCGTCTTGTAGAAGAGCTTCTGATTAAAACTTTCTGGTGAGTGTAGGGGGTGATTTTGCCTCTCCTTCCTTATCCACGGCATCAGGCAAACCCTTGGCATCCCCCCCTAAAGCATCCCCTCATGGTCCCTGGTCTTTGCAGCAAGGGGTTGATCTGGAATCCCATTCAGCGGGGGCCTAAGGAACCCTAGGGCTCACTTCCCACCCCGCTTGTACCTCCCCCCCCACCCCAGGTGGGATACGATGGGTTGACTTCACAACCCTTGGTTTGGTTGCAAACATCTTTGGTTTTTGCAGCGCCCTACCAAAAATGAACAGAACCCAAAACACAGAAAACGAAAAGCCAAGAGCCGTGAAGTTGAAGTACCTCGTCGAAAAGGTGCCAAGAACTACCGGAGGTTCAACTCCACCGCGCCTGTGGCACCATCGCGCCATTCACCTCGGGTTCTCCCGAGGGAAACGGGTCTAGAGGAGACACCTGTCCACGAGCACTCGACCCCGAACAAAAAGGGAAGAGGAACCATGAGACAAACAGAAAGTACTGGAACCCTCGGAAACCGATCCGGTTGTCGCAAACAAGGGTGGAAAGAACAGGGGGCCCTAGATCTCCCCGAACTTCAAAAGTAGATCATCAAATCCCGGTGGTGTCCATTGAAACGGTGCAAGCTTTTGGAGGCTCCCAAAAAAGGGATGTGGAGAAAGGCAAATTAATGTTGACGATCTAAGTTGAACCCGTCCTACGTAAAGAGGTGATTCCGGGGTTCCCATTATGAGAAACCCGAAGTGATCCACTGATCCCTATAAAAAAGGATCAATCATGGGACAACACAGACTGTGTTGCCAAAAGCTGGAAAACCCATCATAACCCATATTGGAACCTTGGCAAGACTTTTTCTCCTGGTGACATTGGGCTCCAAATAGGAGAAATGTCCAACTCAAGGGGACCACTCGGATTGGTATGGCCCTCTTCATTACACTCCGAAGTTGCCGCTCTGTGGCGCTAATCAACCGCGGTGGGGAACACGGACCTACACCAGGGTAAAAAAATCGATGGCGCAATTTTCCCGGGGGGGGGCTGAAACCAAAGTGGGGGCCTTTGCATCTACTTTCGTCGAGCTTGAGAGTTGCAGCTAGAACTTTGTACCAACCAGTTGGGAGGATCGTCCCGTTCACGCGCAAAGCGGCAAAGCGCTTTGCTGGGGGATGGCTTTAAAGGGGAACCAAGGAAACCACGGGTGGTTCAGCCCTCAAAGCCGAGGCATTGGCTCTCACCAGTCCGTTGCCCAGGGGTCGGATGGACAGCGCCACCTCGGCTTGAAGCGAAGCGGGCTGAAGCACAGGAAACCTATGATGATATAAATGGAGAATCCGTGTTGCCATAGAAAGAGATGATTGTTACGAGTTCTTATGAATGTAAAGAAACGTCATTTCGGGAGAAAACACAACTGGCACGGTTTGTTCCTGTGATGAGTTGAGTTCGTTGCCTGACACCCAACCTTGCGACTGATTCTTGGGCCTTTGGAGTCACAGGTAAAGTGCACGAACTCTGACGAAGCGGACGCAAGTTGTCAGCTTCCCTCTTTTTTGGGATGGCTTGGAGCCCTGTGGTTTGGTGCTTAGGGGTTGTCCATTTACCCACAACAGGAACCAAGGGTTCAAATCCAGAGCCAACCCACCAATCCAATTCACCAACTAGCGGCAAGCCGAGATGTGCCGTGGAAACTGACGCAAGTTGATGCGGGGACGATGGATGCCCTGAATATGGCAAGTATGGGAATAAGGAAACCCTCTAATTTGCTGTGGTTTCATATGGCTTTGTGGTTGAGTATGGTTGGTTTGCTTGGAGTTGGAATGAAATTGGAGTGGAGTTGGAGAGTTGGAATGGAATTAAAGTGGATTTGGAGATTGGGCTAGACTTGGTTCAAGTTTTTCTAGTAGGCCCTAGCAAAGCTTAACTAGCGCCTGGTAGAAAGAACTTGGATGCAACATGCCAGGGGCATCCACCTGAATTCCGCAAGATCCCCGAAATAAAGGACACTATACTTGGCTGGAATCAGGACCCCAGCAAATATATATATATATATATATCTTTTGCCTGGTTAGTGGAAAACAAAGGGAACCCCAAAAAAGCAAAAAAGTGAAAAGGGGAGCGAATTCTGGGAAAGTATAGGGGGTTTATAGTCATTCCCCAATTCCCTGCTGAGAACCGGCAAGAGTATGTAGGGAAAAAAAGAAGCAAGGCAAGCATTCAGTATGGCCAAGGCCGGAGATCAGCTACCCCTTCATTGATCAGGGATCCTTACATTATACACCTGAAGATTGCCTTGTAAATGGTGGTTTCCCTTTATTTTGGTGGAAAAAGGCATGGTTCAAATGGTTGCAACATGTATCTTTTAAGGAGCCCTGTTGATGCTACCAATTTTCATCCACAACGAATCTAGCTGCCGTTTGGAAAAAAATATGCGGACCCCAAAGGTTGGCTTTCGTTGCTTCCTTTGAAGCCATCCGAGGGACTTCCCCAATCTTGACGCAGACTCTGTCACTGGCTCAGTTGTTCAGTGACCCTGGAAAAAAAGGGAACCCTTTTTGGGGAAGACCATGTTTAGTGGGGCAGCCACCAAAAAAAACATGGAAAAAGGGTGCCACTGAACAACTGAGCTGGGTCTCGCTTTGGCTTTCCAAATCAGAATGCAAAGCGAGCTACAAACCACACTAAGTCATGGTCCTGTAGAAATTGGGTGGCCCCTCCACGACACTCTTTGCAGATCTATGGCTATGGTTCCCACTTGCCGCAGACAGGAGCATCGGACATGACAGCATGTGTACCGCCACCACCTCCACCTTGGGATGGGTCAACCCAGAAGGGAAAGACTCTCAAAGGCCGGATCTCCGCACCACAAATCGTGGTCGTGACAAGCCCGCAACCCTTCCATGCCATTTCCCATTTCGGAACCTCCAAAAGCGGCGATCGTTTCAGAGCAAACCGCCAGTACACATTGATCAACTCTTGAAATTCGGGGAACTCCAGCAGTGGCTCAAACAAGCGGTACCCATTTGTGGGCCTCTTGAAAAAGACGAAACCCTGCGTCGTCCGAGCTCTTTAATTTTGAGCAGCCTGGACCCTTGTCCCCCGGGTGTCCCGGGCGTTCTCGGCGTTGTCCACGGCACAGACCTGGCGGCAGCTGAGATTCGCTCCGTTTTGTGGCCACGCCCTCAAAACCCGATTCGGGTAGATGAAGAAAAGGTAAGAGTCCAAAATCCATTAAACTGTGCGGATCCGTCCGCCCTCTTTGATTCTTGAATCACGGTTCTGGATAGACCTGCTTGTTTTGCTCGTCCCTGCCAGTTGTGAGGTTCTAAAAGACTCCCTCTTGTTGCTAGCTACTCTTGCTGCTAAACCAAAAGGAAGCCGTTCATGGCTAGGGGGAACCAAAAGCAAACCACCGGAAACCACCCAAAGGGTAAGCCAAAAGCCCTCCCCGCCCCGCTCGATTTATTTTGAGACCAACCCTACAGTTGAAGATTTTACTCAGCAGACAAGAGGATACCTCCCCTTTAAGGGTCCTGGTGGGGCGAAAAACAGTCATTGTTCCTCCCAACCATTCCTTGAGGCCTCCAAGAGGTATTGCGTAAACTAGGGCGGTTGACACCACAGCATAATCCCATCAGCATACAACTTGCAACACCCTTCTTTCACACGTGCAAGCTATTGATGATCTACTTCTCCACGTTAGCAGGCAGCATTGTGGCATGGCAGCTTTATATATATAATATATGGTCATTGTCTCTGTTTGGGGGAATCCCTCTGCCTCCCATCCTAGCCTCCTGCAGAGGGGACCGGCGTGGGATGCAACAGTGTGTGACTTGTCCGCTAATGCCGCCCCAAAGCAACGAGGCCCAGTTTCGGGAGGACAGCAATTAACGGACAGGCTCCCATGTTTCTGACTTTTCCGTTGATGCCGCAGATCGCCCGTCGTTTGACGGCACGGTCCCAGGACAGGCCAGCTTTGGGAGGATCCCTCAAAACCAACCTCCAGAAAAAAGGACTGGCGTCGGATGCAAACAGCCTGACTGCCGAGGGGCGGCGGCAGGCGGGAGCCTGGTTCATCCGGCTGCGCCTCGTAGCATGTCGCCGCTAGGCAATTAGCCTGCTAGCTTTAGCTTTAGGGGCTGCACCCTGGTGCCGCCGCCCCTCGCCACTTGGTCGTGATGCGCTGCCTAAATCCGGCACCTCTGCATCACCAGCTCGAGCTTGCGGTTTTGCTTGCCTGTGGGAAACCCTTGCAAAACATCGCGTATATGCAGGGTTTTTAGGCCGTGTGGCTGACATCGTCCGGGTCTGGGGTTGGGCATGGGTGATGCTTCAGCGGGGCTTGGTCTGCATCATCAAGACTTCCTTCCAAAAAGCCTCTCAACCCATGAAGCACTGTTTTTTAGAAGGTATCGGAGGGATATAAGCGAGGCTCATTTTTGCGCATTTTGGCGCCAAGCGCTGCCGGGGCATGCCGGCGATGCTGGGTCCTCGTTCTACAAAACGCTGTAAATACCGCCAAAAACTGCAGCGCGTTCTGTCTGTTTTGCTTTTGCTGTGGCTGGCTCGCGTGCTGCTCGGTCCTTGCTTTTGTCGCGTTTGTTTTCGGGCCCAGCCACAAAACGCTGCCATTTACGGTGTTTTGTTGCATTTGCGTTTCCGGGCTGGCTTGCGGGCTGTTCTTTTTGGGCTGCTGTTTCTGGGGCCTCTGGCGCGCGCGCGCGCGACCCCATGTCAGCCTTCTGGGTTGGGGTTGGGGCCCGGCTGGGCCCAGAAAGCTGGCATCCCCGGCATCATCTGGGGGTTGGGGTGGGCAACATGCATAACCTAACCAGCCATATCATAGCACAGGATACGTTTTCAGACAAAAAACATGACATGACATGGCATAACTTCAAAGAGGCGTAGCCGGCTAGAGGCCGCAGGCCCAGAAAATTATCGGTGAAGAGCCCGACCTGAGCCCAGCATCACTATTTGCGATGCTGATTTCCCACAACTAAGTCCTATAAATCCAGCAGACACTTGTTGCACCAATGCTCTGGGTTCACACCCGCGGTTCACACTGGAGGTTCACATTAGCATTATTTGAACACTTGCCCGTTGCACAACTAGGTCCTCCAGTAGAGAGGTGAGAATAAGTTGGTACCCAGTTTTTTCTGGAGCCTATTTTAGTAGGGGAACCCTCCCCCAAAAAACAGGTAAAAGGGCACCAATCGCTGGGGGACCTAGACAAACCCGTCAAACAGACTCCTGGCAACGCCAAGGTGTCCAGCTGCAAACTGCGGGGCCCCTCGCTCCGAAGGGGCCAAAGTGTTCTCCGAAGAGGACCTCCTGACCCCCTCTTGTGGGAACCGAACTTGGAACGGGGGAGGGGGCGCCTGAAAAAAAGAAAAATCGGGGGCTCATCTGTGCTTGAGCCCAGAGATCCAACCCCATCGAACGTCTCAGAACCTTGCGGGCCATCGACGAAAGCTTGGCCCTTTCGGGTGCACAGCGAAAACGAAACACTGTCTGATCCTGCTTGTGAAGGTCTAGATGGGTTTGTCTCAAAACGGGGTATATACCCAAAAAATATCGGTGTTTTCTCTGCTGTTCCCCTTTAAAGCCACAAAACAAAGTAATTAATTACATCGCAATACACAAACATGTACATCCATTTGCTTAAGCCTCCCGGAAAAACATATATGTCCAGTAGTGATAGATTCCCTTTAAATTAAAGAGAGGGGGAAACAAAAAAAACTATTCAGCCAATGGAAGTATACCCCATACAAACTCCGTTTCGCAGACCGCACATGGGACCGGTCGCTCCTCCCAAAAACGACCAGAACCCCTCGGGCCTCCTCAGCCACGTTGGGCCCCGAGAGCGCCATGCGGCACAAGTTGGCGTCGGCGCCAATCCGAGTCTCCCCAAGGGGCAAGTAGTACACCAGGCAGCCCTGAGCGTCGCGATAGCCCCGTCTGGGCCAACAATTTTTTGACTCAACTCCTGAGTGGAGGGGCCAAAGAAAGACACGAGACTTGTGATTTACCGCTAAAATGGTCTTCCCGAAAAGTGGAAAAAGTCCAGGAACTCAGGAAGTGAGTTGACCCCATATTAATCAACCAAGTCCAGTTTACTAATAGTGGGGTGGTTTTTGGCCCCTCTAAAAGTGGTTTGAGTGCCCACATTTCACCCGGGGAAGCCCCCTAGTAATAAACTGAGGTTGATGAATATGGGGCCAACACTACGGTGAATGCCCTGGCCATGTTGCAAGTAAACCAAACCCAGAGGGAAAAACAAGGCCTGAAATTACGGACAAAATTAGGAAGTTCCCTTGTTCCCCTGCTTGCCTAGGTCCTCCAGTAGAGAGGTTAGAATAAGGGTACTGTAGTCTATTTTAGTAGGGGAACCCTCCCCCAAAGGTAAAAGGGCACTACTGGGAAACCGACTTGCATTTAGGGCATTCATCGTCGTTTGGTGTTTTGCTATGAGTTGGTACCCTTTTTCGGGGCAGCTTTGTGGGGAATTTCAATGACGCCCACTGCACATGTTGGGCGGCTTTCCGTTGGGCATGTTCATCTTCGTAACGACCTAAACCACGAATCCTCACCCCCTAATCATAAAGGTCCTCCCAAGCAATGATTGTCCAGAACCCGGAACCAGCAATCCCTGAATAGTAGAATTGACCAATACTAAACCAACTCTAAACTAGTGCCCAGACAAAAAGAAAAAAACACAAATCCAAACTAGTGGCCAAGCCTCCACAAACAAACCATTTAATTAAGCTAGTGGTGGCCAAACATCAAGAAAACAATGCGAAATGCCAACTGGCCCGCGATCCCATCGTTCGCCGCGGCATTCCCTTCCGTCCTTAAGCGCAGGATCCGGGTGCAAGTTGACGAGCTTTGGTGCCTGGCAGCAACAAACACGATTCCCGTTCGGATCCATGTGCGTTTGTTTGCCCTGGAACAAAATAAACGTATGTCCCGCAAGTCATAGATCCCCTGTAAAACCAACAAGGGAAAACAACAAAACATGCTTTTAAGCCAATGCAAGCGTTTGCCGGTTCGAAGTTGAGGTTTTAAGCCTGCCATAAAAGGATTGTGGCTACACACGATAGTTCCACAAGAAACTGCCAGGAACTCCCCGCATTCGCTTCACCGCTCATTACCGACTGAGTGCTAATTACACCCTCCCCAGAGCCTTGCAGGCCACCTCCTCGGCAATGGGGCGGGGGGGGGGGGGGTAGAGAACCACTCAGACTTTCCATGCTGGGTTCTAACCATGGCGTTTTCGAACCCAATCGACCTGATGTACCTCGGCTGTCCTCAGATACCCTGCCCAAAGTTCACCTTGTTTTTTGCGGCTTAATGCAACTCCCCATCAACCCCCTAGAAAGCAGCAAAGCTGGGGGCCGCCAAGGCACCCCTGAAGCGTTGTAGAAAAATCAGACCTGTGACACCCAAGACTTTGTCCCTCAGACTACCTTGTTACCTGCAGCGGGGGAGTCCCTTGGTATCACCGAACAAAAAGGCCTCAAGCCCCATTTTTCAGCCTTCCATTTGCTTAAGTCAACTAGAAAAAAAACATACATAGATATGTATATATATATATGTATTTATATATATATATAAACAGTAGCAATAGATTCCCTTCAACACCAGCAGGGGAAAATAAACAATGATAAGCAAATGGAAGCAGCAAAGCCCTTGCCCACTCCGAAGCCAGGCCGCAGCCCGGCTGTAGCCCCCCCAACACCCCGCCCAACCCCCCGCGGCCCCGGGCTGGGCCCCGATGTGCCTTGGGCACATCGTCAAGGTCCATCCCGGCAAAGTGCATCCCCAGCTTCGAAAGCTCCGCCTGCGCGGTTCTTCTTTTCAAGCCATTCTCTCGCTTTCACTTCCTCCCCGCAAGGGTCCGAGGGGTCCGAAGGGTCCGAAGGCCGGGTCTGAAGGGTCTAAAAAAA